TTCCCCACTCTATCACCTCCTCCATGACGTACATATAATGGGTGATTCTACTTCTCGGTCAGATGGACAACGTCGTCGCAATAGATTTCTAGGAAGCAAAAATAAAAAGCACAAATCCTCCTCGGCTCGCGCTCGCGGTCAGATGAGCTTGATGCAATACGTTCCTCCGCGCTACCTTTCTTCAGAACAACACGGCATACCAAGCACTGAGGCCACAGCCTCACCACCTGATATCGATGAGCAACCAAGCTGTAAAGTTTCCTCCCAACAGGTTGTATCCGGGAAGGGCCACCACATACATATACTTATTGTATCAATTATATAGGCTCGTATGGATGACGATTACTATACTTTGAAGGACTTGATCGACGAATTAGAGGAAGAAAATCATATTAATTATGATACTGGCGTGGAAAACGAGGAAGATCCCATCCCTGACGAAGCACAAACACTCAATGATGATGACGACAGAGGATACAAAGAAAAAAGTTTCGGAGTGCTCGCCCAGTATTTCTTAAGTATCCAAGATCGTATCAAGACCAAAGATGGTGGCTATCCAAGGGAATACAAGAATGGAACTTTTTGGATTGAGCCAAAGTCGCCTTATTTTGCATTACGAGACGAAAGTATATTGAATCCCAAGGCATTGTACTTTCCTCGTGTATTTCTGTGGTTCCCTCATTTATTGGTTGATCGATTGTATTGCCGCGATCCGAGGTGCTACATCGAGGCAGACGAGAATACTTTTAAAAGAAGCAAACTTGAAGATAAAGGCTTCTACAAGGATCCTTATGCACGTCGAGTGGTGGACATGAACAGGTATGTATTGCTGGCAGCAACAATGATGGCAAGCCTTTAACAGTGAACTATGTGTCTGAAAGATGCTTTTATATTATGTCAAGACGATATGAATGCAAAACCTGTCATGCCTCACTGGGTGCACACGATGAAACAGCTGCCCGACGAACTAGCAGCAGATTTTCCCACCATTATTTGCTACCGATGTGCTGCCTCTAAGGATCTCTTTGACATTTTACGACCATGTATGCAGCACGGTATGGGAGTTGCAAACTTTCAAGACATGCTACAGGAACTGTACCTCAAACGCCATATCTAACTGCATATCATATACACCCTATATCAAATACATCGTCGAACGAACCCAACTTACAAGGAGACCGAAAATTGCATCAGAAGCTACCCTGAGTTCTCGACATTCAAGGATCCCCAAGGATACGCTGGATACGTTCCTTCTATACCATACTTTTGACTCATACACAATGCTATCATGGATTCTCTTCGGCCAATTATGGACAAGCAGATGGTTACTATTGATGGAGAGATACTCAATGGAGACCACACATTCAAGTTTTTGAAGAAAGCTGCAACAATGGGTGACGCACTGACTTTTGGCGCTCTATATACTATATGTAACGAGTATGAGGAGATACGAAATATATACAAAGCTTGTGTGTTTTCGTACACTGGGTAAAACCGTACCAAATCCTCCTCCGCATGGTGCGTACGTTACTATTTACTCCCGTCTTCAATGTTCATTTCCAATTGCATATGGCGAGATATTACACAATGAGCAGCAGGTACTTTACGATTTACGTTATATTTTTTGGAAGAAACACATGATTCATTAACCACATGTGCTTCTCTTCAGGAATTACCAGTTAACATTCGACGACAACATGGCATATAATCGATCAATCACGTTTGTTTTCTGGCGCAATTCTTGACTCGCACACGACGTTGGAGACCTCCCTTTTGCTGTGACAGTACCTATATCCATGCTACGATTCGAAAAAAATGAGTCGCTATGTTTATGGAGAGAACAACCACCGCATCAAGGCAATAACCCATCACAAGCCAACATACCTGACGAGATGCGCGATGCACATCATATAATCGACAGTAAACCAGACGACAGTGATCAGGAGTCAACATCACACGAAACCAATGACAACTCCAATGAACAAAGCTCATCGAATATACCATGTTCCGGCTCTTCGAACTTCAATTTCACAGGGTATCCAGCAGCAACCAGTATATTCGAGAATCCTAAAAGACGTCTATCATTTCATGGCGCTAATCAAGATACCCAAACGGCACGTTCTCGCAAAAGAATTCTCCCGGCAACTACGCAAAGCTATCTTTGCTGTGGATCAAGAAAATCGGCAAAAAGTGGAGCAATATCTACCGACCAAAGCATTACATGGGAATACATGCTGAACACGATCCATCTTGGGTTATGCGAAGAGTGAAACGTATCGTCCCACCACCACGCCCACCGTCAAGCCCAAAACATGCTCGAGGCAATATATGAAGGCCAAGTTTCTGATCATCCCGATATGCCGCTGTACTATAAAATTGGATACGACAAAAAAGCAAACCTTCCCCTTTATCGGTGTGCCCGTGGAACTAACTCTCTAGAGGGTGGAGATCATCAAAACATTATCCGTGCTGTTGATTCTAGCGGTGCCGGACCACATTTGGCTGATTGCTTTCTTGCTGAGTATCGACTTCGTCATAACTTAAAGGTAAAAGGTAATATCCACTGAAAACAATTGGTTTTGATATTAAGATACCTTACATATCAGGTCGGCACTATGAATTGATATTTACGTCAGTACAAGGGACATTATGATCCATGGTTGAATGAATCATTGGTATATCTACGGATGAAGCTTGGTATTTTTGGCACTGGTGGTGCTATTGAGGAGCAAGCGGGTGCCCATGTCCAAGGCTTGGAGCTGAAAGAGTGCGGCGAGACATTTGGTGTTGCAGTATGTGCACCTGACGTTGCTCGCACACTTGGGATAGACATGTGTTCAGCAGAAGGACGAAACAACAAAGAGCATCGCGACCAACAGAATACGCTCAAACCTCGGCCATACTCTCTCAACATTAGTATCAACATCTTCTTACCGCCTAGCTCTACGGCCGATCCTTTGAATAAGCGCTGCTATATCTTTCTTGCCCAGAAACAAGGAACAAAGTAACCTGTTCACACGAAGCAGGAATTCGAAAAGTTTCAAGAAATCATCCATGGACCAGCTCAAAGAACTATTGGTGCATCAGACTGGACCAGATTGGCAAAGCTTTGGAACGCATCCACATCCAAGCCGGTAGATGCAGTAACAGTATTTTACAAGACACCAGATCATCTAGAAATGCATTACGAGCGATGGAATGAGAGACGATTGACACGCGCTAGCAAAGCAATCAGCGATGGCATTTGTGAAACGATGAACGCAGAATTGATGTCACCAAGCAGAGGATATTCGGCATTACCTGCTAGCACACCGTCACCACCTCCATTTGCCCTCCATTCCATAGTACAAGGAGATCTGCAGAACTCGTTACCATCATCAACAGCAGTAGCTGACCCGTCATCAGTAGCAGCAACTACCTCAACATCAACACCAAACTCTCTCGGTGCATCACCATTAAATTTTAGTCGCAATAGTGCTAGAAGGATTGCTCTGGCGCCATCACCATTGTCTACATCATCACAACCACTGTTTACAGTTAATTACAAATACCCACGAAACGAGCGCGCCGTAAAAAACAAGTATTACAGGTATCCTAAAGACTAAGCTACCCACCCTTGGAACTATATACATTTCAAATTATATTTATACCTTGTTATCTACACCACTATATACTTTTACCGTCATCGATACCACTCAACAATAAATGTATTTTATTTATGCTGCTCCCAAATAGCTTATCAAGTCCTATGTCTTTTTTTAATAGTTCCTCCCCAGGAACATTACTAGGGCCGTTAAACAGCCTATTAGTCTATAATTTCTGAGATAGTAGTGTATCATTGCCTTTTCACATTTATTCGCTAAAGTTATTGAAAAACAGTTTCACCATCTACATACAATGTTAAATGCTCGAGCCTCTTGTCGAGATGTTCGTAATATTCTTTAACTATATTCAACGGAATTATCATACATCTGATGCACGGCGTATATCCCAAGTCATACTGAATTATAATAAAAGCCTACATACCCTCTCCCAACCCCCGGTGGTTACTCCATCTTCTGCGGGTACTTGTCAGAGTAACGGGTTTTACCTTGAAATATAATAAAGCCAAATTTTTGTATGTATAAATGATTGTCGATGTACAGAATAAGTCGTCAATGTAGAGGATATAAAATGAAGTAAACAGCTCAGGAGGTATAACGATGCGGCAATTTGTGATGATGGCTGAAACGTTATATTGTTACGGTGAATTTGGGGTATTCCAGGTAGTTGCGTAACGGTTTAAGTGTATGTTTTGTAGTGAGCACCAGTAATAATATCGTTTATTACAGACGGGTTGTGAAGTGATATGAGTGTAAAGTAAGGTAAAAATGTGTATGGGTTATGTCCAAGGTTGTAAATAGTAGGGAGCTGTTGTCTTGATTAAGCTCAGTGAGTAGAAATGAGGATCAGGGATGTTACGTCTGTCCAAAATGAATGAGGAATAAGGATCAGGAATGTTACGTCTGTCCAAGTAAATGAGAAATAAGAGCAGGAATGTTACGTCTGGTCTTAATAGAAGAGTTTATTTAGCTTCAGTTATGAGCAATAAACAATATGTAAGATAAAACAAGCCGTGTTTAGGTCTTGAGTGATTGAAAACAACACTTGAAAAGTTAAGTCAAAAGTGGGAGGTAGAAATTCAATGTCTTTATTCAAATAAAATGAGGGGGTATTTATATCTTTCAAAATAATTCAATACATCTATAATAATTGAACATCAAAGATGATGCTCGAAGGTTGTGGAAAGTACTCGCATCCAATGGTTATGGATGTGGAATCAATTGGAAAGTCTAGGAATAATGCTACTATTAGCTATTCCTTGGCAATTTGGAAGGTGCCAGAAGTTTGTAGAGTTGTTGCTGCGTAGTTATTGGATCGCTGTGTCCTTGGCTTTATGGAAAGTGCCAAAATGTTGTAGTAATTGCGAGGTTGCTGTAGTAGAGCTCTTGTTGTTGTGTGATGTGATGTGCTTGATGTTTGTTATGCAGCTCTTTCTTGTATTCAGATTTTATTGGAGGGATAGTTCTCGGGGTATCAATATGTTACAATTACTTATTGGTGTTCATCAGGCTCAGGCTTGGCTCATCTTCGTTTTTTACTAGTTGATTCAGAATCGACAGAAGTTGGCGATGTGGATGGGGTTGACGATGCTGCCTTGTTTGATGTGGATAGTGCTTCTGGTATGAAACATGGTGGCAGTGGGGAGACTTGACTTACAAAATCGGCCAAGCTTGCTTCTGTTTGACAGAACTGCTTCCATGTATCATCGATGATACACTTGCCGATAATCGCAAGTTGTAAGAGCGGGACAATCGTTGTGGCGTAATCGCTGCTGCTAGATGGGAAGGGCACGTCTTTGATACGACGTATGCGTGTAACAAAGCCTCTGGGGGCGTCGACATCGAGCAGAGAGATTGAGTCACCTGATGATTTAAGTTATGCAAGATGCATTTAGTACACGCCTTAAATACATGTGGGTTTGAATGGCCATGGCTAAGAACAGCTAACCCTGCCCGGTATTAGACGTAAATGCCGTAACGTCTTCTTATCATTCATTAAGTATATAAACTTACCGTTGATATTATAGCCGAGGACGTGAATCTTGCGCAAACTCGCTCGTTTTCGTTCAGCTACCGCAATGATCATGTCTTTGAGCACTGGTGGCATCTTGATCATGCTATCCTTATATTCTTTCGTTGCGTCGACCTTTCCTCCGATTTCCAAGCAGCCGAGCTCGATGTTGCTAATCTTGTATATGATGTCTGTACGGCTGCCCATCTTTTTGTTCGTTATGGGCTCAATTGCGGATAGTTTTCGCTTGGTGTTTCTAGCCGTTGCGTTGGCCTCGCTAGAAATCTCTTTGCTTTTTGAAAATTAAGATGTTGGACTAAATGTTTTTTAAGTATTGCCTAATATCGACACAGCAACTTACCCGAGTGCCTTTACTTCAGTGTGGTCGAAAACTGTGTTGACAAAGCCCCACAAGTAGTATAGCTTATCGCTTTCTAAAAGCGAGCTTGTCGTTTCTGATGTTGAATCAATAAAATACTTTGCTGTATTCATCACACTCAGCGCCAACCATGCTAGCAGCGGTTCAGTAACGATGTTGTAGTCGAGTTTTCTCGCAAAGTTGTATGCGTCGACTGCACTTGTCTATACATATACACAGTTGGTTCTGTATTAACAAGAAATAAAAATGTTTCCAGCCTCCAATGACATCATATTACCATCTTCCCGAGTTCGCTCAATTGTAATGCCAATTCTTGAGGGATTTCCCGAAGAATAGGATCGCATCTCATCAAGTTCTTCTTTGCTGAAAACGTCCTCCCAATGTTTATCCACAAGATCGATAATCAGCGATTGGCAGGGGCTACATACATAATATATTAGACGTAATTATGTAGGCCTTTCCTTCCACATATCTTAAGCGATATATACTTACTGGTAGAAGTGGCACTTGACAGCAAAACCATGGATCTTTTGTTCTACAGAATTTGGCTGTTCACCCGTTTCTTTCGCCCTAGCTTTTGTGGCCTCCAAAACCCAGTATTCTCTTTTGTCCAAATCAACCAGCATATTCTCAACCTTCTTTTTGTCACTATCCGACAAGAGGATTCTGTGATGCTGCGAGGACGACGCAGTTTTTTTGAAACTGGTTGTTGTGCTGGCTGAAGTTTCGGATGTTTTAAATGCCAGCTTGCGATCGATACGTGTTTGTATCGTTTTCCAATTGATTTTTTTCGAGGACTTCAAAAGAATTGTCACGAAGATGTTGTTAGAGAATCTAACCTACTAGTTTCTTTACCTTTTCTTCTTACTCACCAAGGTTATATTCAATGATTTTGCGCAAAGTAGCACGTTGTTCGTCCAGTCACTTTTATATTGCGATTGCGACTCGGAGTATGTGTCTACAATAAGATCTTCTAACTCGTCAATGATCTCTTGGAGATCAATTTGTTCACGCGTCGCTAGATCGCGTAGTACTGGGACAATGGCTAAATAGGATCGTCGGATCACGCCTTTATATGTTAATAACGTATCCAGACACGTAAAAATTGACGCTGTATTAGATACGCAGCTGCCTACAAGAGAAACTAACCGTCTTTGTAGTTGTCATCGAGATTAACCATAGCAACAGGCTGGTAGTTAGGAGTAGGGATCCGCACGGTTCGGTTCGGTTCTTGAAGGGAACCGAACCGAACCGTCTAAAGCAAGAACCGAACCGACTAGAACCGACGAGAACCGTAGAACCGAAGGATCGAACCGAAGAACCGAACCCATCATGTATATAAAAAAGGCAAGATTCGGTATTTTTAAATGAAAGCTGATGTGTGTGTTCAAATGTCGCGGTATACTTGAATACTGCAGTAAAAAAGAAAAGTTTATTATTGTACATTGAACAGCGATCTCAAAATGAATAAGAGAAACAGAATGTAAACATTCTTATACGATATGGGTCATTGCATGGTTAAAAGATTGAAGCACAGTTTTTACAAAAAAAAGTGGAGCTTATAGTACTTACTTAGAGCGACTTAGTATTACTAGTACAATATGTTATCGTAACATTGGAGGAATTGAACCACAACCGGCAGTACATACAGCTGCTGTGTCTCTACGTGTGTATAGTGTCTCATAAAAGGCAAAGGGTGAATGGGTAAGATAATTCTGTTATGAGCCCCAGAATGCGCAATCTCAAACGGAATGCACAAACTTGATGAAACTGATCGAGAAGCCATGATAAATCTAGTAAAGTAGTACGTCATGGAGAAAAATGCATTGTGGGTAGCAAAGTAGAGGAACAAGTAATAATGCGCGTCATGGGCGGAGAAAGCAAGCTGCCATCAGAAGTCTCTTCTCTTCTTTACTATTTTTCCCTCCCTTCTGCTTTTGCAGGTTTTGTTAAGTTTTTAAATAAAGTATGGCTTGCAAATACACTACTTCTTGGACTTTACGGGATAACATTGTTCGTTACTTCCATTATAGCCTACTTTATTCTAATTACCAAAATCGCTAAATGCAACCTTCTGCCTCTCGGTTCTTCGGTTCTACGTATACAAAACCGGTTCGGTTCCGGTTCGGTTCTTAGTAGGAACCGAACCATATTTTCTCGGTTTCGGTTCGGTTCGGTTCCGGTTCTACGGTTCTGATACGGATCCCTACTTGCCATCTAGGTAATAGCCAAGGGAAAACAGAGATACACTCGCATAGTTCGTCAAAAGTATTTAATGTGTACACAATGTTTCGAGTGTAATGACATTTAATACCAGTTGCAGTCATCAATTTCATCATCGATATTTGCTTCGTCGTTTTTAAGATGACTTTTAGAAGGAAAAATGAGAAAGGACGACCACATAAAAGATATACTCCTCTCCTTAACACATAGTCCACTGCACCAGCGAACATATAAAGCCCACCCACACAACGGCCAATCGCCTTCAAATCACACCACTCTAGTCATATTCATTTTTCGTCCAGCACAATGCTGATTTGTCTGTAAGGGAACCGCCTTAGTACCGACAAAGAAGCCAAAGTGCATGAAGAAATAAACAGAAAATCAGGTTTCTTTTGTAATTTACCATCTTTACATTGTAAAATCCGATAATCTCTTTGTCAGCCCCGATGAAAGCATTGAATGCCTGTAGATTTGTTCCAGTCTTGTCACCTATAGCATTAAAAGCAAAAGAAAGCAAAACAAGTTTCCTTTTGTTCTTTCTAGTTGAAATCGTTGCCAAGACTATTAGTCTCGTTGCATAAAAATTACCTACCCGCCCACACACGGCCTATTTTAGAGCTGTTTTTTTAAAAGGAATCACTGGATGAGTGCCTTGAATGTTCCTGTCGTTGCTTGGAATGATTAATAGTACGGGCTTCATGAATGAAAAAGACTCGTCAAAAATAGCAATGATTTTTTCATAACTCCTTCTCTGCATAATAAAGGTGTTCCGGTAGGAGGGGTGGTGCAAATTAAAAATCCGGGCCGGGCAGTGACTGGGGGGATGCACGAGGGGGGGTGCAAATAGATCTGCCCAAAAAATACCGGCTGGCATAGAATATATACTTACGAGTTCCTCTGTACGTGCAATGGCGTTGCTGATATCAGAAAACGCCGGTTTTGACAGTGATTGGAATGACCACTGAGGAATTGTGTAAAACGTGTGTTGTATATTCGTTCGTCAGAGTTTTTATAGTGTTCGAGTGCTGTGGGTACAACTGCCGCCTTAGTTTTGTTACTTTGATATGATAAAAACGCGTGGCCAACACTCTATATATATTATAACGTTGCAGGCGAGATGATCTGCTAATCGTCATCCAGAGAAATCGTTGTATGCAAACATTCGTGAGAAGCACACGGTGTCAGTGATATCAGTAAAAGTGTATGCTGAGTTGTCAGAGGTGCTAATACGATGGATGGCTGGGAGCGTTCGTGATATTCAGAGCTGTGCTGTTCTTTTTCAGCAGCACAGTCACTCAAAGACAGCACGATCATCATGGTTCAGTATAGTCTTTGTCATATTCGGATGTCATCGTTGTTCGGTTATCCATATGTACGTTGGTAATCAAGCCAAGTTATAAAATAGAGAGCCTTCTGTTTTTATTTCTTTTACTAGTGCTCTCACACAATCCGTCGTATCAGTAATCCGACAAAAGAACTGCCTTTCACAGCACATCTTCTAACCCACTCAAACAGTATTTTTTCTTTTTTAAAATTGATCGTCTTTATTTAAGAATTCCATCCTTCTAGTCCAACACTGTTGCCTTCAGCAAACAAAGACCGGTACTCTGAATCATATACCCACACCACTCATCCACCACCAGCATGCCCACCACAATTAAACTAAGCACAGCATATCCTGCCCAGCAATCACTCTTTTGACCACTTACCTGGATCCTCACACGTAACAATGATACAAAGACGTAGTATCTACATTATAAACCACAGCCTCGAATTAGAAAATAGCTCAAGTTGATCCAGCAATACACATATACCAAAACGTAAAGTACCTAATCACACCAACAGCATCTTGATATGGCTACACGGTCAACGGTCTTGTATCTGTTCCATAAACAAACAGAATAACCTGCCCATCCAAATTCCTCTGCCACCGTCGCCAATACCCACAATGGCTGCCATCAACGATCGCACGTTTACATGCACTCATTCATCCTGTTAAACATTCTGGATTTTAATAAAATAATCCACAAGTTCTAACCAGCTAATAAAAAGGGAGATTTTAAAATAGAAAAACTTACCATGTGGATCATAACTTTGGCAAGCACAGCAAGAGCTCACTACGGAAACGCATGTGTCAGAAAAAAGCAAAGCCCATCCATGGAGAGCAAAGGCAACCAACAGAGTCTCAGCCGTGATCTTGATAATTTCAAAACGGCGTATGAAGGCATACACAGCTTAAGCATACACAGGAACGCTATGAGAACAGGTCATCCGTTTGGAGCGGCAGAGCAGCATCTATGCACAGCATCGTTGGTAAGCACAGGAAAACCAAGAAACAAGACCGTCCAGCAAAGGAGCCTTGGAAACAAAGACGCCAAGTAGAGCCACAATACGTTCGGCAGAGTTTAAGACACCCAAGGAAAGGAATTCGGCTGTACAACGAGTAGAATATACACGTCCGCGCTCTTGGATAGTGAGAGAAATGCGAGATGGAGCAAGTCAACGTATACGACAGCCAAAAAACCAGAGTATGTATTGCAGGTGACAGAGCAACATGGGCGCCGGCATTGCTGATTCCATATACAAGAGCAGGATAGCGTCACCACAGATGGCAGCCAGCACGATTGACGGTAGTGACAGGTAAAAACATTGTTTTGTTGACGGCAAGGACAGAGCAGGCGTAGCAAGTGAAGATGACAAAGACGCGTAATGTTCGAGTGGCGGGGAAGCGAGATTGAGCAAGCGTGAGGAGATGGTGATGAAGGACGTCGAAAGATGAAGCAATGTTGAGTGATAGTGAGCAGCAAAAGAACTTTGGAAAAACAACAGTGGCGCCCCTTGCTTTAGGTATTTATAACCTCCTGGGACTCTGAACCAACAGAGCAATGAACCATCGGAAGAAGTGCTTCCCAATAAGCAGTAGTGGCCTTGACAACCGCGGCTTTACTCCTTTTCGTTTAGCTCTTGTCATATTCTCATGCTATCTTTCCTTACTGCTTGTGCTGCGCCCTTTCTTTTCGTTTTCATGCGTTACCCTGCTTAATCAGTCACTTCTTGTGCTGCACCCTTCGCTTTTCGTTTTCAGGCGTCACTCCACTCGACTAGTTCTTATTTCTTCACTTCTTGTGCTATGCTCGGTTCTTGCCCTTTTCGTTTTCAAGCGTCACTCCGCTTGTCATTGCTCCCTTTTGGTTCACTGCTTGCCATTTTCCCAACCATTCCCTTTTCGTTACCACTGTTCCCTTTTCGTAACCGCGGTTTCCTTTTCGTCACTCATCCAAAAAGGGTTTGTCACTGTCATTTTGCTTCTTTCCCTGCTTAATCGTGTCCGACATAGGTTTATTAGACAGATACGTAGCATAGGCACATAGTTATGATCTAGCGGAGTAGCTACATTGTGTGGTGTTTCTATTTTCTTGGGTATACCCTAAACGGATTGCCTCTTCTTCAAAAAGTGCTAAGCGACGTTGTCGGATAGTGTTGTGTCAAGTATCAAAAAGAGTTATAAAGTAGACCTGGGTAATTTTTTGAGTAAAAGAGAAAGGCGAAAGCATCTTTTTATATGAGCCACCACGAAATTGACTGTCTACTGCCTTTACCTCGCCCATCATGACCTTTTTACACACAACCACCTGCTTTCTATTCAAGCATCCCACCCAGCCTTTTTTTCATACAGAATACCCAAGAATAACACCCCACCTCCCACCAATACAAATAAACATATATACACAATGAACAGATACTAGTAGTATTTTTTTTTAAATTTTTTTATTACTCATATCGAGCAAAGGAAAACTCATTCTTATAAACGTCCGGCCAGGAAACGCCGTCCTTATCCCAGGCATATGCAGCACTAAGCTGCACATATGCGTCGTGGACGCGGTCGCGCTCTGCCATCGCTGCATTGCTGTCAAAACGGATGGCGCCTGTACTCTCGTCCAGAGTTGCAAACCGGCAGTCGATGGGGCGCGACTTGTTCCACCCATATTGGTGCTTGCGGCAGTGGTGGAAGGCTTGACCGGGCTTCGGGCGGGGTTGGTGGACGCCGGTCCATGTGTGTGCCTTCTTGGCCTTGACCCGCTCAAAATAAGCCCTCTTGGCCTGGGCTTCCTCGGCGCCTTCTGCAAGCTCCTTCGCCATGGCTTTGTACTGGCGCCAGGCCTCGCGCTGACGTTCCTCCTAGGTAAGTTTTCCTGGGCGGGGCACGGGAGAAGGCCAGGTCGAGAAGTAAGCACCGGAGACGTCGATGTTGTTGGTTGTGGTGGACATGTTTATGAGAGAGAGAGAGAAAGCTGGTGCAAGTGTGGGTGAGAAGAAAGCAGTGAAAGAGCGAAAGAGATGGAGAAGCTATCTTTTATAAAGCTTTTCTTTGTGGTGTACTGCACTTTCGGAAAAAAACCCTCACGTCACCCCGTTTTATCAAAGATTATCCTGAAAGTTTCAAACTCAAAGATTTCAGGAGCCACAGCGTGTGCTTTAAGCAGCAACAATCAGTGCATCATAATCATCAAGAAAAGACATATACAAATCATTAACGATAAGTGCATGGCACCACGTCTCATCATTACTTTGTTGCTTTCTTTTCCTTCAGTTCTGTTTTTTTTTTGTCAAGTGTCTGATGTCAAGTACTATTTGGACGCTTCTCAGTTCTATTCAATGGCATTTCGAACTATACCGTTTCTTGATGATTATGATGTACCTGACGAGGGCCGAGCAAGAGAAAGAAAATGACTCGAGACAAAGTCGACGTAGCAACACAGAGTTTGGTCCTAAGATCGTTCCATTGCCGCCAAGCAAATGACAAGTAGACCAGCATAACAAATCGAAGGACAAAGACCAAGTACGTAGGTGACAGAAGAGATGTATTTCACTCAAGTGAAAGACTGAAAGAAATGCAGATGAAGCCCCCTTGGGAAAAAGAAAAAGGGGCTTTACCAAACACCGCCATTTTCCCATGTTCCTTCTGCCTTCCCTTTCCCCTTGCCATCATTTATTATTTTCTGAGCTTGTCATCAACACTTGTTTGTTGAAATATTTTGCTCATCCATCCAAAAAGCGTTTTGATCACCGTCATTTCACTTTTCTCTGCTAGAACGTGTTCGACACATGTCTGTACACCAGTGGAAGTCCTGTAAAGTTGAGCGACAGTAACTCAACTTTATCAGATATATAAGTAAAATCGAAGCCGGTAACCATCTTCTTCTGATCAAAAGGAACGTTATCATTGGTTTATAATTCTGATATGGGTCGATGAGATTGCACCACAACAACACCAAAATGAGCATGGATGAGGAAATGTCCGCACAAGTGAAAATAACAGTTATTGATCATGCTGGATATAAAACTGGCTTTATAAAAACGTGTGACACCTGATGCGAAAGTGCAATTGTGCTTATAATAGTGTAGCTCCTTTGTAATATGTCCAACGAAACTACCACTGAGTCCGGGTTGATTGCATCCGCCGTTCCCGTTCTGGGTGAGACACGCATGGGGAGTGTTACTGATTACTCAACTGAATGCCCTGCTATTGTCACCATGGAACGTAATAAGTTTAGCAAGTGGCTTGTCCGACGAGCAGACGGTGACGATGTAACTTTTTCCATACCCGTATCTTATGCTTTTTCTCAGGAACCAGCTCACATTTTCTCATACTCTGTTTTTTGTGGGCGGAAAATTCAAGTTTGCGATGATGCCTGCTCCTGAGGATGAACTTACCACCCGAATCCTAGAGCTTGTTCCAAACCTAAAACTACCGACGAAACAAGAGATATACGGTAGTGTAACGTTTACGATTGAGCCTTGGGTCTACCACTATGCCTTCGATAAGTCGGCAAAACGATCCAAAGACATGGCAGTTAAAATTGTAGTCAACATTGCTACTTTGTGGGTGTTCATGTATACCACATGACACAAAGCAGCCACAGGCTCGACCATTTTATCACAGGTACTGCTCGTCTAGAAAAATTATATCAGTTGTTTTATTAACATATAGCTAATCACAAAAAGTACACATAGGTGCCTTACCTAACCTGAAAACCCCCATTTCCAGGGATCTGCTGAGAACGCTAAAAAAGACACAGCTAGGCGCAGAGCGCCTTTTCAAATTGCTCAAGGCTTCTCAGCGAATGGAGCTGCTATTCGACCCAACAACGTATAGCACCTGGAAACTAGGAACAGTGAGTAATATACTTCTTTATCTTTGTTTACTTTAGATAAAAGCTATCGAACATCATGTATTAAACTCAAAATATATTTTAGATGACGAAAGCAGATTACCACTCCCTTTTACCGACGACATCTTCTTCTCTCATCCGCAACTACAAAAACTATACTATAGCCTCCGAGTTTTCACTCTTTAACTTTTATTAATCGAACTATAAATCAATGTAATTTTTCGTATTTGTCACAAAGAGTTCACTGTAGAGACTGTATACCACGCTGATGACGGACAGTATACTTTACAATGAGTAATTAATTATTATTTTGCAGTACTGAAATCAGCTCGCTAAAGTAAGGTCGAGAACATAATAACACCACAAAACACATGCAGATGCATCTTCTCAAGCGTTATGGGTATCATACAAAACATAATTCATCTCCTATGCTCTGTCAAAGCAAACCCTCCCGTAGCCTTTTTTCATAACTCTCGCTTTAAACGAACTATCTCTTTTGCTTGCACTTACTGCGAACGTCTGCCAACTGTTCCTAACCGCTGTCCATAACTCCATATACTTCTACACATACACATGGTACCTCCACCAAACTCCAGAAACATCCTAAGTCATCAACTTTGCTTCACAACTCTTGTACTTCGTTTTGACTTTAGTAACTAATCCAACCTCCAGTATTTCTAAGATCATCAAAGATATCGAACATTTAACTTAGCTGGTAGTTTCTCGGACGATTCTCTTGGTTGCATTTATACAGTAGATCCACCCAGAATCATCTAGGTTCTATAATACTCTTTTTCCATTGCTTTTGCAATTCTGCCGCCACACATTGTAAAGCACTGCCATACCTCCTCAATAATCTAACTCTACCTTTTTGCCAAGTTGTTGCTTTGCTGGGATCTGCCCAGAACCATCATGATAGAAATTGTGCGTCGGCATCATTGTGCTGAAATACGCCTTTGATGGCATAGACCAAAGATTGTGATCTTTGTATCTTCGAACACCCAGAAACCCATCTACACTACGCAGTACAGATGTACAATAAAAATTTCATGCACAAATATAGGTAAATATCACTAAGTATAAATTTACAGTTGCCGGTAATATGTTGCTCTAGAATTAGGTAATATTACTTTTTTTTACTTTATAATTACATTGATCTGACGTTAAATCACATTATCAGTTGTCTATAAGTTTCTTGCCACCTAGGCTTTCTTGTCTAGGAAGTCGTAAAATGCTTTTTGCGGGATCTCCACATTTCCTAAAATGAATTGTGCCTGGTATTAGAAGTGGGAAATCACATATAATAGCCAGATAAATATGAGACGCTCTCGTTTACCAATCATCTTCATCCGCTTCTTGCCCTCCTTTTGCTTCTGCAGTAACTTCATTTTACGCGACACATCACCGCCATACTATTTCATTAAAGTAGCTTTAGTATTCAAGAGTCAATAAAAATTCTTGCAAAAGAGAGCACTTACGCATTTTGCGGTGACGTTTTTTCTCAGAGCCGGGATCCTGTCGTTCATATGTCTATTAGTAGGGAGCTAATGAAAAACCGATAATTGCTTCTTTACGCGCTTACGTTTCACGAGCTACAATTTTGGCACCAAGTGCTGTCTGGATGACAATTTCAAAAAGCTGCTTTTGGATGACATTCTTTAATCGCTTGACCCAGTCGCGACCCACCATGTCGACCTGCGACCGATGAAGAATGACTGATAACGCATCTACCGGTTTGTGATTGAGGAGCACTGTCATCTAAAAAATTAAAATGTTAGAGTTTATGATAGCTTCATCCAGTAGCAGAGCGTTCTTAAATATCTAATCTGGAAAGTTCACCTTGACTAAATCACTCTCTTCATATCCTGCATCCTCGTAATCGAACGATGCATAGCCAGACGAGCGACTTTTGAGCTCATCGTAGAAATCCGTCACCACTTCTGCTAAAGGCAGCGTGTATTTCATCATTACTCTCGTTTCATCCACGAATACATATTCGTGTTGTTCTCCTCGTCGGCTCTGATCATTGATGCATCATCTTTAGTAAGGAGACGGTTTAACGTAATGATATTTATCTACTTCACTTATATGACTTACACCACATAATTCGATCATTTTTCCCATATATTCCTAATTAGGTGCATATGTGAGCCTCCTTTTTGTTGCTACATCAGTATAGCGAAGGAATATGATAATATAAAATATTTACCTCTGGGAAAATCATTGTAGCTAGCACCATTGGTTCTTCCATGCGAGCTACTTTAAATGCTCGCTCTTCGGAATCCGGAAAATCGGACGGATTACGCACAATTTTGGTAGTTTTATCTTTGTAGACAACTATGGAAACAATACATTAGTCTCAGAGTTAATTCGTAGCTTTTGCTTTTAAGAAACTCACTTCGATATGGTACTGTCGGTTGCGTAACAATGATATTTGCCTCGTATTCCTTTAAGAGCAGCCTCGTGTGAGCAAAAACACCACACGAACATAACATCACGGCACCAACCTACATTTTCCAACCGTTGACGAAACACATCCATGTGCAAGGTTCCCAGAAAACCAAGACGCCAACCTTGACCTAAAGCATGACTATAAACGCATATTTCATCATGGTTGGCATATTATATGGTGACGTTAGTAAAATACAGTTTTTACCGAACACAAACCTCGTTTCTTTATGAACAGAGACACTAGCATCATTTAACGTCAACTTTGTGATAGATTCATCCAGCCTTCTAAAGTCGTTCGTATCGACTGGGAAAATACCAGCAAACACCATGGATTGTGCAGGTTGAAAACCAGGAAGCTCTTCAATTTTTTGTCCAACATGATGAAAAGTGTCTCCCACGTGTGCTTCAGATGCTGTCTTCATTCCACACACGACATATCCGACTTGTCCAGCATGCCTAGAGACCGAAATGTTAATCTTTAACGACGAATATATATAAGCTGCTACTATTATAGATGTACAACTTACAAATATCCCGTAGGAACCTGTTCTGGATGCATGATTCCAACCTATAATTAAGTTCGCGTTAAATTTGTGTATCTCAACAGATAATAATTTGTGAACCATGTACCTCAGATACTTCATACTTGCTTACTGAGTGGGCAGACGTAATTTTATCGCCTAGTAGTAAATACAGCATCTTAACAATTTTTCAAGTTATTGGTTGAATGCTCTGATTAAATAATACCTTTTTTGATAGTTCCATCAACAACACCTAGCATGCATACAACGCCAACATATTGATCATACCAAGAGTCAAACAAAAGAGCCCGGAAAGGCCTATCGATCACTCCAGTCGGTCTAATACAATTCTTACTTATCAGAGAGTGCGACTTTCACCAAAGAAAGTTTAAAAAGCGATACTTACGGTGGGATGTTTTCAATGACGCTTGGCAAAATTGAATCAATATTCACACCTGTTTTAGCAGAAATCTATTCTCCAAACAGTTAGTTTCACAACTAAAGTCCTTGCTTGTCCAAGCTCGCCATCCTTGAATGAAACACTACCTTCAATATAGACGACGTATCTAACTCAAAAGCGCTTTCAATTTGTTTCATTGTCCTTTCACAGTCTGCTCCTGGCAAATCCACTTTGTTGAGTACGGGTATGATTTGAAGCCCTTCACCAAAAGCAAGGTAAAAGTTGGCTACAGTTTGCGCTTGGATGCCTTGTGCTGCGTCGACGAGAAGAATTGTGCCTTGACATGCGGCTAATGAACGAGATACTTCATAGCTGAAGTCAACATGGCCCTGTTTGAGAACAATCAATAGACAGCACATTTATTCTCTTGAACCGACTGCTCTTTATATGGTCGATAGTCCTATACTTACGGGTGTATCAATTAAATTTAGCAGATACTCTTTTCCTTTGTATTTGTGGAACATGGATACTGTCTAGACAACATACACGAGATTAGCAATTTACGGAAAGGTGTTTGTAATACCAGTTCAATTACCTGCGCTTTGACAGTAATGCCACGTTCCCGTTCGACTTTGAGTTTATCAAGAACTTGCTTGTTCGATCCCGTAGAGGATATGGTATTTGTATACTCAAGTAGTCTAAACGATAGCACGTAAATACACATCGCCAAACAATATAAGAAAGTATGATTCATTAACTTACCTGTCTGCCAAAGTGCTCTTGCCATGATCTATTTTGATTATCAAACTGTGTATTAATATGGCAGCTAAATCTTCTAATCACTGCCACCAGCAATCCACTAACCAATGTGAGCTATAATGCTGAAATTTCGAATATAATCTGCTGGAAAGTCTTTTAAATCAAAGTTCCTTGAAGGATCGGCCGCTTTAAGTTTCTGGAGAAGAGGGATAGTAGACAACTTTTCGAGTTAATATTTTTTTTTTCAAAAGTAATTTGAGTATTGAGAATATAACGTAGCATACACACCTCTGTTGTCGTACGTTTCGAATACCATCGTTGTGTTATTGTAAGCACAGGAAACCGTCGATTTGCAGACTGACAACATCGTGAAGCTGCGCCAATGTATGTCAAACGGACCATTGACAAGTATAAAAAACCGTGGCAAGAATATGCGTGACGGCGAGTTGTTCAGTTCATGCAAAATTAAGCCAATTTTCCGGAAACTTCCTTTTGCCGGTCAGCTCTCTTTCTTTCTTATCTACCTGCGTTTCTACATAATGTTACGATTCCAAAGTGCGATTACTTTGAACAGGCCACTTCACTTGAGTATGTCGAGGTATAGCACCATGGCTGCTATCTCACGAAATGGTGTTGGTGGCAATCGCGTCAAGTATTCTACCAGGGTTGCAACGTCCGGGGTTGCTGCTCTCAAGCACACATCCCCAGCAGCCTTTTTCTCCCTTCGAGGCGTTCCCTTATATGCAGTTAAGCGATTTTACAATGGTATAGGTCATTTTCTCTCATGTATGTTGTTATAAATATATGTTTGATGAATACTAACACTATACTTCATTCATCGGCCGCTTATATGAAGGCGGAGGGGGAGGAATGCCACCGGGCGGAGGGTTTCGTTTGAATCCAAACCAACAGCAAGAGGAAGTGAAAGCGCTAGAACAATTCGTACGTAGTTTCATTATTGTGCAACATAAAATCCGTACGTAACAATGCTAAACAAAGAGGTCGTCTTCTCTGCAGGGTATCGATCTCACAGAAATGGCCGAGAAGGGCAAACTCGGTAAGCGATTAATGCATAGATGTTTGAGCTGTCGGATTTTTTGACTCATCGCCAAACCTTTCAGATCCCGTTATTGGACGAGACGAAGACATCCGCCGAACCATTGAAGGCAAGGGAAAGAAAATAAACACATGCATGCTCTATACGGATAGTGCTAACATCACGTGTATATCTTATTGTATGTGTAGTGTAAGTAAATTCATGCAAATAGCATTCTATCACCTAGGCGGATAATTTAAACGAAATCATTACAGTTTGGCTCGTCGGACGAAAAACAACCCTGTACTGATCGGTGAAGCCGGGTAAGAAGCTGACAAAATAACTTTGGATAAATGCAACATAATAACAGTGACTGATCTCATCCGTGAGTTGATAGTGTCGGCAAAACTGCCATAGCTGAAGTAAGTACAAGGACGGCTGCTGTCATTTTTATGGGAGGACTCTGTACTTAAACCGATGATTAGGGTCTTGCACAACGCATCATTGCGAACGAAGTGCCTGAATCAATTCAAGGAAGAAGAGTCGTTGCCTTGGATCTAGGTGTAAGTGTTATCATAGCATATCTTCTGCTAGCGTGCACTAAATCGTTTTGTAGAGCTTAATAGCAGGTGCCAAGTTCCGGTAAGTTAAGCACATGAGTACATTTGAAAATTTGTTAGCTAACTCCCAACAGTGGCGAGTTTGAAGATCGTCTCAAAGCAGTTTTGAAGGAAGTCACAGAAGCCGAAGGCAAAATCATTCTTTTCATTGACGAAATCCACAACCTTCTTGGCCTTGGTAAATCAGAAGGTGCAATGGATGCTGGCAACCTTCTAAAGGTTTGTTAATATTGCTTCAAGTTTCTGGATAGAAAATGGATCGGAAACTAAAATATTCGTGGTATTTAGCCAGCTCTTGCTCGCGGACAGCTACGATGTGTCGGCGCGACAACCATTGATGAGTATCGCAAGGTACGTGATTAGCTTAAATTTTCGATTTTACATTAAATAAAGTTTTAAAAGCTGTGCCGATTATAGTATATCATGGCAGACCCTGCGCTGGCACGACGTTTCCAATCAGTGATGGTAAGCTACCAGCTTTGCGCGAATAAGTCGAGGCAAAATTAAAAATGTTAACTGTAAACTTTTTTATGCAGGTTGACGAACCTACTGTAAGTTACGAACAATTTTTCTATCATCTCAAAGGAAAATTGCTAACTAGGCTTAAATCAAGGTCCAAGATACGATTTCAATTCTGGTAAGCCAATTTTCTTTTTATATATATGTATCTACATGAGTTTACGCTGACAGAACAATTTGAAATCTTAAAGCGTGGTTTGAGAGAACGATACGAGGTTCATCATGGCGTGCGAATTGCGGTAAGTCTTGTTGAATATTAGCTAGTTTTAACTGTGGACCAATTTTCTAAGGCTTTATCCAGGATTCTGCCCTAGTTTCTGCTGCCATCCACGCTCATAGATATATCTCAGACAGGTAATGATTCAATGTCTGTTATATATATACATATGTGCTTCTGGTTTTGCTTAAAAATATGTTGGTGAATAGATTCTTGCCGGATAAGGCCATTGATCTTGTCGATGAAGCGTGCTCCAAGTTGAGACTACAACAGGAGAGCAAGCCCGAAGCCTTGGAAAGGCTGGATCGCCATATCATGACAATGCAGATCGAGTTGGAATCATTGCGCAAAGAATCTGATACACTTTCTGTCGAAAGACGGGATAAGCTGCAATCTGAGTTGGATGAGAAACAAAAGGAAAGCGATCGCTTGTCTGCGGTCTGGAATGAAGAACGGTAAGTCATCAATGTTCGGAAAGAGTAGTATAAAAATGACTGCAGCCGTTGATATAATTATATGTTTAGGAACAAACTGGATGAGATCAAGCACACCAAAGAAGAATTGGAACAAGCGCGCGTTGATTTGGATACAGGTCAGTAAAATGATGCATTTCATACCTATGTTCTTTCATATGCTCATATGAACATGAACAATATTTTCGTAGCTCAAAGAGCTGGAAACTTCCAGCGGGCCTCTGAATTGCGATATGGCGTAATTCCTAATCTTGAGAAGAAGCTTCCGAAGGATACCACTGACGATGAGAACCCTGATTCGCTTATCCATGAGCGTGTCACTTCTGATGATATTGCACGCGTTGTTTCTCGTATGACTGGTATTCCTGTTCGCGTAAGTGTACTAAATTACTTCATCCTCGATGAACCTGTCATTCACTAGTAATTAAACACTTTTCAGAATTTGATGCGCGGAGAACGTGAGAAACTCCTTCACATGGAAGATGTGCTGAGCGAACGAGTTGTTGGACAAGATGAAGCCATTACAGTAAGCGTAAAAAAGATATGACGCATGATGGATGTCCACTTAATTGCTAATGTAACTTATTTGCCTTTTGATAGGCTGTGTCTGAGGCCGTCAGGTAATTTTATCATCACTATGAAGCTAAGTAATAGTCAATACTAAGTATATATTGTTAGACTGAGCCGGGCAGGCCTACAGAACCCTTCAAGGCCTATTGCATCGTTCCTGTTCCTCGGTCCTACAGGTGTGGGCAAGGTAGAGTACCGAGTTTTAGCTATTTATATACAGTTTATGATAGTATTACTGATAATGCGATCGTTAAATTTATAGACCGAGCTTTGTAAAACGATTGCTCAATTTCTGTTCGACACTGAGAATGCAATTGTTCGCGTTGATATGTCGGAATATATGTATGTGTGTTTGTAAACGAATGGATATCAAACATTTGCAAGATTATTTACAGTCGTGTGTGTGTATAGGGAGAAATTCTCAGTTAGCCGCTTGATCGGTTCTCCTCCCGGCTATGTTGGACACGAAGAGGGTGGTGAACTGACAGAAGCTATCCGACGGAAGCCTTACGCTGTGGTCCTGCTTGATGAAATGGAAAAGGCACACCGCGATGGTAAAATGAAACGAAATTAAGAACAAAGGAAACTGAATGAACCATTCTTATGCGTATCATTATATCTTTACTAGTTTCAAATCTTCTTCTCCAGGTGTTGGATGACGGTATACTGACTGACAGTATGTAGTCATGACTTATATATGATTGTTAAGAGCCTTTATTTAGACTAATGTTAAACATTTTGTACGACAGGCCAGGGCAGGAAGATTGATTTCAAGAATACAATCATTATCATGACCTCTAATTTGGGTGCGGAAGCGCTCGTAGCGGATGTGCGAGATGATGGGGGTGTCAGCCCAAAAGCAAAGCAAAGCGTTATGGATGCTCTTCGCCACGCATTCGCACCTGAATTCTTAAATCGTGTGGATGAAATGGTGAGATCTGTACTTGTTATTGCTTGTCTATTGTTTGTTATCTAATCAAGTACCTTTTTTTTATATAAGGTTGTTTTCAACCGTCTTTCTCGAAAAGCTCTTCGTGATATTGTAGATGTACGCCTAGGCGAGGTTGAGGAGCGTGTGAGTGATCGACGTATCCAGATTGACGTTGATGTAGAAGCGCGCGACTGGCTCGGTGAACGTGGATATGATCCTTCATATGGTGCTCGACCACTCAATCGCCTGATAATGAAACAAATTCTAAACCCATTGGCCCGTCTACTAATCGATGGTGGCGTACGAACAGGGGAAACGGCCAAGGTTCGAGTATCTAAGCTTCCATCAGGCGAAACGACACTGGAAGTCCAACGGAACCATGCTCCTGGAGAGGCTTCCGAAGACAATGAAGAAGAAAAAATGGCGCCCGTCGGGGACGAAGAAGAAGTGGTACGCGATGATTATGAGCAGGAGCAACAAGAAAAGAATGATAAGAAATCAGAATAAGCTAATTAGTGTAAAAATGGCGGAATGTGCAATAGTATCAGACATAAAAAAATTAAATACGTAAACAGCTTAGAATCACAATCCGTAAGCATTGTTTTTATCGCAAAATAGAAGTTGCACATCTTGATCTTTCAAGCTTACGGATCTATACCAAACATGTAGAATTTGTGTAGCCGTACTTTGCCCTCTCAATGAATGAAAATGTGCTACTACTACTGGAGATCACTTTCAACCGAAACCTTAAAGAAAACAGTTTATGGTATTTATATGTATATATATTCGTTCTACAAGATGAAATCCAGATGCGTGATATGATTGCTGCTTCTACCTATGGCTATTCCATGCCATACTAATAGCTGCATCGCGTGCATTGCTTGATCGACCAATCCGTCCGTATGCATCGTCCTTAGCTTCCTTGAAGGTGTGACCGGCAGCCTTGTAATGGTCATAAGTTTTTTTGTATAGATAGATTGCTAAACAGCCCATACCGATCCAGCAGATGGCTGCTAATAATGCTATCACCCCTGTAACAATGTAGCCATCCGTAAAGAGAGCTACAACCAGGATCAATCCTGCACCGCCACTATATAAATTCGTCCCGCACTGAATAAATAAAATAATCACGCTTTTGAAGCCGGTTTTATATTTAAAACACTTACGTGTTTGGAATCCCCACTGCCTTATAAATCGTGTAAAGAATATGAAAGCCGTTAAAGATGAAGTACATTGCTACTCGTGTTTTTCAATATTTGTGGGTTAATTAATGCACAAACCCTTTTTTTCTAACTCAATTTGCTTTCCATTTACAACACAAGCGAAACAACGACTTACTGTAATACAGAGACACTTCCTTCATATATGCATTATATACCGGCCTGTACCACAGGAAAAAGCTGGCAAGAGTGTGTGTGAACATTTCGGTGAGAGAGATGCCCAAATCTGTAGGTGCACTGGTGACGGATTCAGGATGAGAGAATAAGAGACACAGACATGCCACGAAGTTCCACACAAGTGTCAGTTCGAACCAAAGCCATTCACGGTAGAGCCACCAGACGGTAGATTGGTGGTTTAGTGGTATCTCGGTTGTTATATCGAGATACATTATGGGGAAGCAAGGGGGGAAGTTGTTGGCATGGGGCCGGCGGCGTTCCTGAAGGTTAGCTTCACGTTCGGCCAACTCGCGTTCCTTTTGCCGTAACGCTTCCTCCCTGGCATTCAAGTCGCCATTCGAACCGTCCCCGCGTTTGCTGTTGCTACTGCTGCTTCCACCAATAACTTGCTGCTCTTGGCTGTCAACAAGGGTCTTTTGATCGTGCACGCTAGAGAAAGGATCTTGATTGTTGTCGGGGTACTGCCGAAAGGTGGTAAACTCATCGTCGTCGTTTCGGCGGTCGTGCAGGGGATCTTGTTCAAGCGCGAACGCGGAATCTTGGTTATTGGAGGTTAATGCCGAGGTAATTGTAGGATCTTGAAATGGATTTGATGGGTCATCAAAGGGGCTGGCTTGATGATGGGCCATTTTACTGTTGCTGGATTTTGAAGGAAGACAGGAAGGGGTGTAACCGATTTGCGTTAACGCAACTAATTAAGCCAAAATGAGCAAATTTAATTGGACGCACAAAGTCGCAGCCGTACCTGATGCATGTTGTTTCCAGCGCAACAATGCTGGCAGCGATAAGACATACGCATAGTTTTATTAGAAAGGGTAGTAAAGGCTGTCAGTGTACTCTCTCACTATACATATTACATTTTTCGGCACGATGATATAAAAGATTCAAGCGCTGGAAATTAATCCTCGTTCATCTCGTAACATATGATAGTACCCATAGATGACTTATGAAAGAACAGTTCACGCTTCGGTTTAATAAGTGCGAGTTTCTGCACCTTGACGAAGAATATTGTTTGAATCTCGGAGCATAATTAAGTATTCTACTGTGATCAATTGTAATAGGCAGCAGGCCCAAACTATGCAGTAATATTCAACGCATAAAGGGGAAGGGGTCAAACTTAGCTTCAGTTTGCCCATTTGTTCCGTTCTGTTTCCCGATGATCTTTGATTTTTTTAGTAAATAGATAAAGAATACATCACATTTGGTTTCCAGACAGCTCTTACAATGTGTTAGAGAGAGGAAGATGAATGTAAAGAGTCGTTGTCGTTGGCTGCACGTAACGCTTTCTCTTTCTCCTGCGCCCAGCTGTTCAAAAGTGTCGCACTTGATGTCCTCGTCCTCAGCTGTTCGGCTGTCTGTGGTTACTGTAAAAAGCACCAGTGATCGCCAATAGGAAGATGCACTGTATGTCGTTCTGAAGGTGGTCTTGATGGACTATCACTACAAGAACGCTCTAATGCATATATTTATACTGTACTTGATGATGATACAAATCACAATTAACATCATACAGTGTTATTATCATCAAAAAAAGTTGTATATGTGAAGTGAATGTGCCCTATCAGGCGAAAACTTCATGCAAGTTAATAGTTACGAATCCATTCTCACCAACAAAATTGAAGGAGATTTTGTATATTATGGCCGAACACATTATGTACAACATGACTACTATGCCAGTCAGTCTATGTGATAGTGCTGTAGTTATGTTGCGTGACTACAAAGATTGTGAAGATCGATACAAGGAATATGCAAATGACATTTAAACAGACAGAAATAAAAGTACATTGAAAGGATGAAGAGAAGGAGAGGAAAGTACAGAAAAATAAGTTGATGGTGTGGAATGGAAGCGGCTGTCGTCTCTACAAAAAGAAGAGTGATGAATATATGTGTGTTTAGTATAAGCTGGTGCCTTCTTAATATGGCTTTGGTTAGCCCGTATTTGCCAGCATGGCAGCCCAAGATTCAATCCAGCAGTGTACATACATCAGATATATATCGGCAAGGCGATGCGGCAACATCTTGTTCAGGAACAGTCGTTTGAATAGCCATGGCGTACCAAGTATATTGACGGCGTGTGCTTCTTTGACGGACACTAAATTGTTTAAACAAACAAAAGGCCTATGTGTGAGTGTGTGAGTGTGCATGGTTGAGAGTAATGTACTACTTCAGCAGCCCTCGTTGCCACAAAAGACAAAACACGGCGAAGGGTGGGAAACCAAAGTTGGAGGTGGAGACAAGAAGGATCGATTCTATAAGATGAGTAGAAAGTGAGATAACAAATCCGTTGGGTGAAAGAAGATAATTTATACTTACAGGAAAGCGTGTCCAGCAGCCATGTTTAGCGACGGTCGCTTCCGGCCGTGCATCGAGACAGCTTCGAACGAAGTTCCATAATGATGCACGCCTAGCCCATAGCAGAGCATTCCTACCCAAGACTCCCTTAGTCTTATGCCGGCAGGTCCGTCTCTCTCAAGGTTCCCTGAAGCAATGAAATCATTGTTCGCGGCGACCTCTTTACGGGCTAAGATACTGATACCGAGGCCAGCCCGTAGCAGAAATCTTCCTACTTCTCACTACAATTGCATTGCAGCGATGCCGGTAGGAATGTCTCTCTCCATGGTTCATCCAAAAGCAGTCAACAAACCGCACGGTTGACGTTGACCACAAATGGAGCACCAATACGGGCTATACCATTGTAAAGCCGTACCGTCGCAGGGTGGGAAGCCAAAGTTGGAGGTGGAGACAAGAAGGATCGACTCTATAAGATGAGTAGAAAGTGAGATAACAGATCTATTGGGTGAATCAAGATAATTTATACTTACAGGAAGGCGTGTCCAGCAGCCATGTTTAGCGACGGTCGGTTTCGGCCGTGCATCAAGACAGCATCGGACGATGTTCCATAATGATGCACGCCTAGCCCATAGCAGAGCATTCCTACCCAAGACTGCCTTAGTCTTATGCCGGCAGGTCCGTCTCTCTCAAGGTTCCCTGAATCATTGTTTGGGGCCACCTCTTTATGGGCTAAGATATTGTTACCAGGAAGCCCGTAGCAGAGATCTCCCTACTTCTCACTACAATTGCATTGCAGCGATGCCGGTAGGAATGTCTCTCTCATGGTTCATCCAAAAGCAGTCAACAAACCGCACGGTTGACGTTGACCACAAATGGAGCACCAATACGGGCTATACCATTGTAAAGCCGTACCGTCGCAGCATAGTCTATATCAAAAAACAGCGTCATCCAGACAAAAAGTTAAGAATGATTGCATTTTACAGAGAGATTCAACGTTTCTTAAAGAGAGGTCCGTAAAGTACAATACTTACACTGTAGAAAACGTGACTTTGCACGTTAACCTTGCCATACATTAGAGCCCTCTAAGAAAAGAAAACAGATTGAGAGCGGGAATTAAGCTTTAAAAGAATAAAAGCGGTAGGATGAAGAGGGATAGGGTAACTGGCATTCCGCGTTACGATGAAGCTTATTGAATTTACCTTGCCATGTGGATTATGTGGGTTGGGTGAAGAGATCCTGGTCTGGCACCGCGTACCATACTGGCAGTGAAGCGCTATCTTAAATGGGACTTGTTTTATATGAGGCGCCTAAATAGGGCTTTTTGGGTTACACAAAACAGAAAAAAATACGTATTACGAGCTGGTATGCTACGCCGATGGGTCTCGCTCTTTCTTTACACTTTTTCTACAGTATCGTACGCGCACGGCATGGATTACCTAGCTCATCATATACAGCTGACTGACTCCTCCAAACAGCACTTTCTCAACGAATCTCACAAAGAAAAGAAGCATGGCAGAAGCGAGAATCGAGCTTTGCTGATACGGAAGCAGCTTCCAAAACCACAAAGACGAACTCATTTCAAAATTATGCAGACATTAGCTACTCCGACACCTTATTCTATCTGTAACTGGCTGGGTGCAAAGATTACGATAAGGCGTGGTTTTTCGAGGGGAGAATTTAGTGTGTTGTCACACAGGAGAACTTGTCAAAACAAATGTCGAACACTTTGTTCGTTTACATTTGATGGGACAGGGCAAGTAGCTTCATCATATACAACACTGTCACACAATATCTCTAGTGATACGATCCTTGGTTGAGAGCTCCCTCTAGATGGTGTTGTTGGTACCGATCCTTGAGTATTTTCCAGGTAAGGAAATGGGTGCTCCGCCGCTCGATGACCTGTTGTTGCTGCTAGAAGCCTACAAAAAGAAAAAAATAGCGTATGATGATGGTGCTGGGGTGCCATGTATGACGATGGTTACTCATATACACAACGACTTTCGTAGATAATGTAGCGGCATCTATGGTTTTAAAAGAATCTACACCGACTACTACATAAAAATCCATGTTTCCTACTTAGTATCTCATCGCCCGGAAGGTTTCGATTCATGCAGGGAAAACAGAAGATGTTTATTGGTGGAAGCATGTCCAACGCATCGGCAATAACACATTTTTGGGATTGGGGCGTGTATGCAATACTCAAGATTGACCCAGGAGCCTTTGCCACCGGACTTGCTGGATATGTACGTAGATCTACCACGTTCCTTTCATTGAGTGAATAGCAACAGCTTTATATGATAGTATATTTAGCATTTATTATTTAGGTATTATAAAGGGGACTGATTATATTATTAAACAAGACCATCATATAAACTGAGGGCTTGTACGATTGTAGGGTCCTTCTTTGATCCTTCATTGAACTCTGCCATTGTTAAAGCACCATCTTTATCCTATATACATTTTTAAGTATGTAAAAGTTATATTAGTCTGGTGCAATATTTATAAGCTGTAGGATGTGGGGATGCAGTTTCTCGAGGAGAAAGGATCAGAAAAAATAACAATGAACCCAAATACTTGCCAAATCCATCAAGTCAAAGATCTTTTGAACTCGTTTCTCGGGAGTATCCTCGTCCTCAGGCAATTTTACCATGCTACCAACCATCTTGTAAATGGCTTTCACAATACGAAGCATCTCGTCACGAGCTATACGGCCATCATTGTCTATATCATACAGCTGTTGTTGTTGTTGTTTTCAGTGCAAGACAGATAAAAGTTATTAAAACCTTTACTCTGATTAGATGACATTCCTATCATTCTTATATACAATACCTGGAAAGCCCCTGGAAACATTTTGGGATTAATCTCGCTAACCACAAATGATTGAGAAAATTTGAATTAAAAAACTTACAGAGGAGCTTCTCACCTATTCGTCCACGACTAACGCACAAGGCGCAGATGACTCGGAGAATCCTCCTTTATAGATGAGATTTGACAGCAGCTTGCTTGGGGATTCATGGAAACAGTAAACCTATTTAACATGCTCGCTACTGTACATACTATGAGCAAGATGTCATAAAAGTGGCACTATTAAGCGGTTCTAGATATCATTATTCATGTTAATGATATCCAGATGTTCTATGCTCTTACGCAAATGTGCGGATGCGGCCTTAAAACAGCAAACTCGCAAAAGACAGCCGGATGGTACTATTGTTCTATGAAATATATCCGGTGACCAAAAAGATTATATGTCTTTTGGATAAAAAGTGAGTGCAGAAACGATGCAACGGTGTACAGTATTACAGTATAGTTGACGTGGTAGCCGGATCAAGGTCTTGATTCCTTAGTTGCAAGCACCCGATGATGACAGCTATCATGGTGCGTGGTTCCGCTGTTAACTTGCTACTACACAATCGACTTTTTCAAATTGAGCTTACGCCAATGTGGTCTCAAATGGAAAAGCTCCTTTTTGTTGCAACCTAACACATCCCTAAAACGGATATCACGTTTGCCCCAAATATCCAACCAGAATCTACAACAAACTGGTAGACACTTCCTGTTGTTTGCAATCTTCATAAACATAGTAAACTTAAGGAATATATACTGTAATATGTGTCTGATTTATCACACAGCATATGTAGTGGCACAGGATATAATATACATCGGAACAACGATCAGTTGTATAAATAGAACTTACAGGCTGTAGATTTCTAAAATTTTCAATATCCTAAAAAGCTTATTGTGGGAGAAAAGGAGAGAGATTCACCTTATGATACATTACCTAATCAGCTATTTCAATCAAATGGAAAAGACGTCGCTAAGGACGTGAACTGACTGTAATGACACTTGGCTTTTCCTACGGGCATCTTACGACCTTCGCCCGTAAGAGAGACACCATCAACCTATTATCTCGACTCAACTAATAAACCAAGTGCGCTCCATTAAGACAGTAGGCTGACTTAAATATGAAGGAACAATATAAGAGGCTACCGAATCGTTGTACAAGCAGTATTTATGGATTCAGCGAAAGTGGACATATGCATTATCTATAGTAGTTGTTCATTTCGTCTACTATTGAAGAATGTATATGTTGCTAGTAATATAATAGCTTTGCGCGTAACCAGTTTGTAATCCGTAATTTCTATGCGCTGGATTACGCTTAGACAAGATTTTATTGATATGCTTATTACCATCTTTGAGTTTCAAAGCTTGTCGTGAGGTTCCCGTCTTAGGCAAAAGCCATGACACTTTATTAAATATTCTAGGTGTGTCGGCGTTGACAATTCCAAATCGGGGTGGCTTGGATCCTATTCAGTTTTAAGAACTGTCGAAATTGGCCGTTCTAGGTTCTCCCTCTTTCTCATCCGCTAATATGGTATGTTATACTACATGCATCCATCATTGCATCCATCCGTCCCGTTCATCCATCCTCATCCATCGTTAAAGAAATGCATCCATTGACTTATTCATCCATTTCAATATAACAAATAGTCCAAGCGTGCCCAAAACAAGAAGCAGCCCACCGAAAACGTGACTCTTGGTCCCCAGGTCCGTGAAGGTGAACTCGTCTTTGGCGTTGCCCACATCTTCGCCTCCTTCAACGACACCTTCGTCCACATCACTGATCTTTCCGGCCGTGAAACCATTGCCCGTGTCACTGGTATGTACAAATTGGTCATTCATTCTGCAGGCTTGAATTTCGTTGTTGGCAAGGACATGCCCCCTCTCTTTTTTTCGATCTCTCTTTAACAGAGAGAGAATTAAAAAGAGGGCAGAGCGGCGTGTGGGTCCAACAGCCCGCATCCCCCTCCTCATGTTCCTTTTTGTGTCGTTCTAATCCATTTCAAAATCTCAGGTGGTATGAAGGTCAAGGCTGATCGTGATGAATCGTCTCCCTACGCCGCCATGTTGGCTGCTCAGGATGTTGCTGCCAAGTGCAAGGAGGTAAGATTATAAAAGAGTTTGTGAAGGTTTTCTACAATTATCTAGCAACTTGTGCTAATTTTTTTTCACGAATTATAATAGCTTGGTATCAACGCTGTTCACGTCAAGATCCGTGCTACCGGTGGTACTGGCACCAAGACCCCTGGTCCTGGTGGTCAGAGCGCTCTCCGTGCTTTGGCTCGTTCCGGCTTGAGAATCGGTCGTATTGAGGATGTTACCCCCATCCCCACCGACAGCACCCGCAGAAAGGGCGGTCGTCGCGGTCGTCGTCTCTAGACGGTTGGTTGTCACTTTATCGTCTGCTTTTACTTTCAATAAAATGTACTCATTATTATGGTGGGATCATACAACTTGTCTGGAGCGATTTTCTATGCCATGAGTATACGCCTGTGACCTAGATTAGAGAATGAGACAATGGGAAATTGAGAATTCAGTACAATTAGAGGTTTTGGTGCATTCAGGGTGAAACTCTACTACTTGTAGGATGTCGGCGGGAAACGTAGCAGTTGTATAGTGAAAGAATTGTCACGAATAAGATGTTTAACAATAACTACTTGAAATTTAGCAGAAATGTATAGCCATCATCGTAGACGCATTCTCTACAATCTCTTCTATCGGCTTCCTGTATGAAATGGATGATGTACTATTGGTAGCTTATCAAATGTCCATTACGAACTTTATGTACGTATGCCAGTAAGCTATTCAGATAAGTCTTCGACCGTTTTTGATTTAATTGAAAGGTCCATATAAAGAAATCCTCAGCGGAGGCACGGACGTTGAAAGGGCAGAGCCAAGAGGTAGGTAGTACTACCTCAGTACCAATAAGTACTAGCGTAACAACTTAGAAATCCAATTGGTATTGCCGTATACGGTATTTGAGAGTCTTGACAGAGAGAACCTCTTTGAGACTCGCTTGACGATGGAATCATGAGAATACTGTAACACTGAGCGAAACGAGAAGCGGTCGCTCTGTGCAGTAGTACATCATGCCCTTTAGTTGATAGAATGAACGATCATCAAAGCGTACTTTTTGTATCTTTATGTTATGTGATCTTTTTTGTCTTGAATAAATCGATCAAGTCCAGGATCGTCACCGCGATACGGGCATGCCAGATATCTTTAACAGCTTTTTTTTGATTGAGGAAGTAACGCGGTATGAACTCATGTGCCGTAAACTTCATTCAGCAGATAGCTCGTACGTTAAACCACATTTCGTCAGTGTGGTATTCGATCTCACATCTTGAATGAAGAGAAACGTGTTTTGAGCTCTGTGTTACTTCCGTCAAATTGTATACAACACCTATTCCTTGATATTGGCTTAGGGAGAATGGGAGAGAGGAGGAAAAATATATTGGCGAAGAGCTTGGCATTTATATATTGAGTGTGAGAAGATATCCAGTTTAATTATATCACGTACCACAACAGTCTTTGAAATGCCTCAACAGCTCAGACTAGTAGTATATTGAATACTTGGATTCGCAGTGTGCTGCTCAACAAATCAAAATCGAAAAAATGATGTCCTATCCTTCATTTGCTTTCTACAGCTATCTATACACGACCGGGGTCTGTGACGTAGAATATAATGATAGATCCGGTCGGCAGCTTGAGTTATACATCTTGACGCTGGTGTCTAAATGAAACCGCAACCTGTAAGTTAGCTACGATACGTGGGAGAGCAGTATGTATCAACCAAACTCAGACCCGCCATCACATGCATACTCCTATATCTACAATCATCCTACCATTTCAGGGAATAGAGTAGGGTACTTGAAAACAATCAAAATTGTTGTCACCATAGCATGAAGGGGAATGGAGGAGGTAGGAAGTAATTATTTGATGATGGTCTGAGCGAGCTGAAAAGACCCTTTCTATGTGGCAGCTTTAGACCTCCAATGTATGCCGTAGATTTGGCTATTTGACACAGACGATCGAGTACAATTCTTTGTGCTCAATGTATAGCTGGTTATTTCCAAGCCATTAATACAACTTGAATACTGTCCCCTGGCAACTAAGCAGCGATAAAAAAAATAAAGTTTTAAAACAGAGAAAAAGAGTGTGCAGTTGCTGCATTTGTGATGATGGAAATCGAAAGAATGAGAGGTGCGGACTTTCGGATGTGATTTACAAAAGAAGAGCAAGTTCTTCCATTGCTCTTGGTTTCACGCAGCTATCAATCATTAACATGATTTCCAAAGGGAAAAATGTACCCTGCGAAGGTAATATATGAAAACCTAATTGTCCCTCGAAACCTGGACTCAAATGGAAAGCACACTAACAACATATATGTATCAGGCTGTCGAGAACGCAAAAAGAAATGCAGTTCCGGCCAACCTTGTGAGAGGTATTGAATGAGTGGAGCATCTTTGGAATGTTTGAAAGAAGGCGGGGGAAAAGGCTAATTAGCATATTTTAGATGCAATCGTCTAGGCATTGAGTGTCATTACTTAAAACCAGCTGCACCTCCGGATATCAATTACGTCGACTTGGTCAACAGCCAGGAATTGGAAGCACACGTTGACGAGCTCGAGAATCTATTGTTTGACATGGAACAAGAAATGCAACGACTTCAACAAACGCCACCGCTACGTGATCGTATGCCTGTAGTTTGTCGGCCAACAATGACAATGAGACAGTATTCTGATGAGCTGCCTTCGATGGGCAGTAATTGCTCAAGTGGCAGTAGTAGCGGATCCAGCGTATCTTCGCCCGGCTCTGTATCATCAACAACGCCATCACTGAAGCCTGCAAAGCTGTCGATAGTGAAAAGGAGAAAGCAACAGCATCTTTTTGATCAGCAGCAGCAGCAACAGCAACAACAACAGCAGCATCTACCAACAGCTACAAGCGATTGGCAGCTCAAGATTGGAAAGCACGGCTTATGCATCGAAACTAACATTCTGTCGTATGACGACTTGCTGCATCAAATCCAAGCTTTTGGAATTTCCAAGATGGCAGACGAAGAATTTTTCTTGCCCATGCTCAAACAGCCTTCTTCCAGTACTTTGAATAACTCAATGCTTCCTCGTTATGTTCTCAACACACCCATGCGTCGAGCGCATTTTCGTGCCATCAAACATTGCATCGCACTCAACGAACAAGAACAAAAACAGCCAAAAGCAGCAGGACTACCGATTCGAAACAAAGATGGCGACGACAACAGTGGTCATGGCGGCGTGCTGCATTTCAAACAACGGAAATTCACACAGCAAACTATATTGCATCTGCTCGACGCTTTTTTCCGCTGTCAGTTCTATCAAAACATCTGCCTTCACCGCTCCACATTTTACTCACTCTTTGTCGACCGGGACGACCCAGAATCCTCACCGGTTGTATGCGCCATGGCAGGAGCTATTCTAACGATGCGCTGCCACCATGTCCTGGAGATTATCCCTTATTCACAACAAATACATATCCACACACACTGCATTGCACGCGCCAAGTATTTACTTTCGAATATATTCGACGAGCTGTCACTTGAACCTTATTTGACATACCTGTTTATGGCGCTATACTATATCAATTTGCAACGCCCGAACGATGCTGTGCGTTACTTTGAACAGAGCGTTCGAATACGCCATTTGCTCGCGGCCGAATACATGCCCAAAAAAGATGCCACTGGTCATACAAACGAACAGGAACTCTTCAAACGCTCGCACAAGGTTCTTTTCCAGATTGCGCAACGGATCGATTTCTTCAACAACCGACGTGGTATCATTGTACGCTCCATGGAAAAGACACGGCAGCAGTCGAGGTCGATGGTTAGCGAACTGACGCGGTATGTCAAGCGAATGGATTGCTCGCCCGTTCCATTGCCAGACGAATCAGCCAAAATCGCGCGCGCTATTAAGAAGGATACGTATGGTGTCCGACTGCATAGCGTACTACTACCGTACCTCAATTTGACCCGCTTCTCAAGCGATCCGATCCCTTTGCCGATGCTGATAAAGACCGAGGCTGCACTCAATGAGTATTATTTCAAGGATCTACCCCCGGAATTCCGACTGTCGCTCAGTATCTTTGAAAACAATCTATCAGACGCAGAGTTTCAACGGCGGCTCAGTAATGACGACAACTGCGATTCGACCTCCATTGCGCTCGCCATACGATATTACCAAGCTGTCATCAGTATCCATGAACCATTTATTCCAATATTACCGCGTGAATACAGCCTAAACAACAACAAAACTATCAAAGATGCAACATTAGGGCCGATATCAGTCTTGTCGACGGACGAAGACTCGCCTTCTTGTGGAACGTATGAAGAGGAGGAGCGCGCTATACATAGCATGCGAGCTTTAGAAATGTGCTACCGGTCGGCTATTATCCTAGTACGGCTGTTTGAATACCTGATCGTGACGTTGGACACATGTACAGACATGCTGATGCCGTGCTTATTAAGTGCGTGGGATGTACATGTGCGGAATGCGTGCTTAGGCTTAATTGATCCTGAAGAAGCGCAGAAGCATGTGCCGATTCGCGTGGTAAAAGCATCTCGAGAATATGTTTTACGTTGCGTTGATATTGTTCGAAAAGGATACCATTACAATGCCGCCGACAGGGCCATGTGGGAGCACCATCAAAGCATCGAAAGCGAACTGCTAAAGGCGATGTTTGCTACTCGGCCTTACACTGCACAATATTGGGATCCATGGGCACCCACAAATGCCTGGTAAACTGACATGCTTTTGCTGCGCACACTAGACCTCATATACACTCAATTTACATACACCGCATCCCGCATCATCATCCTCTTTATCGTTACCTGTAACCTATGTACATTTTTTTTGTCTACTTTCATTCTTTTGTCCCAATTTATATACACTTGTTCTTAATTTGTTACATTACCATTACCCCAATCGACCCTCACTTGTTCTTTTTGTAATATATAATGCATTAATAGTAATAAAAGATACAGCGTCATTCTTCGTGATTATGATGCTTGATATTTTGATATAGCATAAAAGTGAATATAAAGTATATATGTGATAGAATATGGATAGATAGATAGAATAGGAAGCGATCTGCTGTTGGTGGATGGCGGTGGATAGGTTGGATTCGAGTGGGGGAAAAAGAAAGGTACAAAAGGTGATAATACTGCGAGGATATTAATAACTAAGTACTAGTACTATGTACTAACGGTGTTGGTGATGATGGTAGTGGTATTATAATAATTATGCTTGTGTCCGTCCTGCTACCTTGCCAAGTTCACAAAGGATAGTGTGGTACAAATTACGATAAATCTTGGATGCACTGCTATTGGTAGTTTCATCCTCTGCTTCCTTGACCTTGACACCCAATCGGCCACCGGCCCAGCGTGCCTGATAGATCATGACCGTGAACCGTAGAGGCTCTCCTTCCAAATCCGAATCTGCATCAATGTTGCTGGATTGTCCGGAATCGGCATCGTTGGGCTTATGCAGAAACTTGAGCCAATCTGGATAATCGCATTCACAGTCTAAAACGAAGGGTTCCAAAACTGATTGTTGAGTTCTGATGTTCATCAACCACAAGAGACCGTTCAAGTCATCCATCAGCTTTTGAGGCGTGCTGCGAAACAGATGGCGTCGGTTAAAGTTGAAAAGACTCTTAGGATGCGCTCCTAGCTTGGGCATGGGCCCCATATCTGCGTCTGTACCATATACAAGCTGTGAGTTGTTTCAAATAGTAATCCATCCGAGAAGTATGTTTGTTTTTACCTCGCGCATCACCCGATTCGGACACTCGACCATTGCTGGCTGCAGCAGAAGACGATTTGCTTTGGGTTGGGGCTGGAGGCATGGGCTCGACAGCACTGGCTGCTTCCATGGAACCGCGGGTATATTTCGATTGACGACTGATAGAAAGTCGTCGCCATGATGGTCTCTGCTTATCGGGCCCATCCTTGTCAACCTTGAGCAGTTGCTGGAACGTCTTTTTGAGAGGCGTCGAAAGGGAGGATGTTGGCTTGGGTTCAGACGCAGCTGCATGATCATTATCGCTGCTGCTGCCGTTGTTCTTGGCAGCATTATTATTTTCATTGTTTGCCTGACTACTGGGTAGAGGTGGCAGTGCCTTGTCCGACGAATTATCCAATGACTGTCGCTGGATATTTGTATTGGGCAACATGGCACCAATCTTGCGAGCAGCGCTCTTGCTTCGTGCCAAAAGGGCTGAGGATGCGCCACGGGCACTGTTGGAACGCGTGGGGAAATGAACACTGCCCGACCGGGTGACACCTTTCGAGCTTGTGTTGTTGTTGCTGTTGTTGTTGCTGTTGTTACTGTTGCTATTGATACTGTTGCCGTTGTTACCATTAAGTCTCGGGGTGCTCGGGGTTCGATCTGTCTTGCGTCGCGTTAATCCGCCCGTGTCGATACGCGAGCTGGTGCTAGCAGCAATCGTACTGTTGCTACGTCTCAAAATGGGTGTGGACTGAGCAGAAGCCATTTGAGCTCGCTTGAGCTGACGTTGCCGGTTGTCGTACTCCTTCTTTTCTTTGGCAAGGTAGTAGATGGATACCAACGGCTCGTACATGGCAGGTAAGGACTGTGGATCATCTTGGATCTGGGATGTACGCTTGCTTCTTAGGCTCCGGCGCCAACGTGGCTTGTTGGAAGAGCCTTGGTGCAGCAGATTCTGCTGGTAGTTTTGGTCGACCTGCGAGGCAGCATTGCGGTATTCGGAATTGGCAATCAAGGACTCCAATTTGGCATAAATATCTTTGGGCTCGCCAAAGCCAAAGCCGCCCATGCCGGCGACAATGTCCATGTCGATTGCGTCCAATGCTTGTCTGTGGGGAATATGGTTCTGGATGGGTTCATCGTAGCTCTTGTTCATCCACGGATGCGCGCGTACTTGGGAAAGGGTTGCCCTTCGCTTCGGGTCGACAACCAGAATTTTGGTCAACAGATCAACGCAATCTACGATGGGTAAAATATTCATTGTTTATATCATCCAGGGACGAGGCAAATTTTCAGGGCTGGATCCTGTTCAAGAGTACCTTTGCTTAGATGTTCGGGAAAGCCGTCGACTTGGCCAGCCTTGATCTTGGCGTGGAGCGCAGGTAAACTCGTGTCATCAAAGGGAACCCGGCCGCAGACGAGGACATAGAGGACGACGCCAAAACTCCAGACATCGACTTCGGGGCCGGTGTAGTGTCGTGCCTGCAGCAACTCCGGTGCAGCAAAGTAAAGCGAGCCGCAGAATGTGCTCAGCAGACGCGAGGGCGAGTAGATATTGGACAAGCCGAAATCAATGATCTTGATGTCTTCGTCGCGGGTGATCAGGATATTTTCTATTTTGAGATCTAGAGTGGGTTGTTCCAAAAAGGGCAAGGAGCGGGGCATGGTTAAACCATCATCAAGGCTAACGAGCTCGTGTTTGTTTCTTGCTGCTACTATTATTACTACTACTATTAACCATTAGACACAAACTGACCTCGATGGACAATTGAGTTTCGGTGACAGTAGTCTATGTAATAAATGAGTAGCCCTCCTCGTTAGCATCTTCTGCGCTTGTTGTTGTTGTTGTTGTTGTCAAACGACGATCATCGACGTGAACAGAAAAATAAATGACAATGAACCTAAAGCGCTGACAATCTGTCGGGCGAATTTTCGGGCTTGCTTCTCGCGCAGCTTGCCGTGGCTGATGATGTAGTCGAGCAGCTGACCGCCGTCCACATACTCAAGAAACATGTAGTAATAGTCGCCTTCGTTGATCCATTCCTTGAGCTGACAGATATTCGGGTGTCTCAGCAGCTGCATCATCGCCATCTCCCGTACAGTCCGCTGCTCCCGCTCTTTGGGCGTATCCTTTGGATCCTTAGCCTTGTTACTGTTGGCATCGGCCATGGCCGCCAAATTCACTTTGGGCATGATCTTGACCGCATACTGCAATAGAGAAAACACAAAGTATCGTTACCGTATTGCCCTCTATCTTTAGTGTCGCACGATTCAGCTATTGTTGTTGTTCACAAGAGCAAATCCAGAACCCGGTTGGGTGGTGGAGGAGGAAAGGGGCGAGACGGAGGGAGAAGGGTGTGCTTTCGTACCTGTTGTCGGTCTGTATCCGTCAAGCACTCTGCGAGCTTGACCTTACCCATACTGCCTGCACCAATCGTTTTCCGGTTGATTATATAGTTATGAATGCGAATGGGTTTACGTCGTTCCGATTGTCGTCGGCTGACCAGGCTTTCCTGGCTTCGTCGCTTTTTATTGTCCAGAGAACTCGTTTGGCTTTGGTTGCTGCCGTGTCGTTGTAGTGAGGGGTCTCGTGAAAGGGACAGTCGTTTTGAATCATGGTTGGAGGATGACCGAACGGATGGGGAGCGGCGTGTCAGAACTTCAGGTTCTCGTTGCTGTTGTGAGTGCTGCTGCTGCTGCTGATATTCACTGGCGACAATGGCCGGTGGTGGCGCTACAGTGGCGGCTGTCATGATAATATATAATGGTTGTAGAAGAAAAGAGTAATAGTAGGGTAGTGGTAACGTAAAGAGAATGAAAAAAAAAAGGTGCGTCTCTTTTTTAAGATTGGATTGCGAAATGCCAAGTTGTAGGTTTTGGTGGGTATACACGAGGGGGATTCGGCTTATTTGGGGGAGGGGAGGGGGGGGCGCGGGCAAAGGGGTTGCAAAAGGATATAAGAAGGAAAGAAAAGGGAAACAAGGTAGGGTATGCAGAGCTTGTTTGATCGTGAGTGCGTATTCGCTTATGAGAGGAAAGGGTCAAGTGAGTGCGGTGGTAGCAGTCAGCACTTTGCAGTAGGATAGTCGTACTGTGGCAGTAGTGGTAGTGGTAGTGGTAGTGGTAGCAAGTATCAGTAAAGGAGAGAGAGAAGAGAGAGAGAGAGAAAGTAATAATTAAATAACTCACTGCGGACCAGTTCATTTGCTGCTCTCTTTGTGTGGCCCTCACACATGTGCGACTCTCTGTGTCACCGCCAACCACCACTCGTCATGATGAATAAGGCATGGGCCATGTCACTCTTTATATACTGTGTCGAAGTACTCTTTTATAACGTGTATGGAAACATGATCTTATATACTGCTTGTGAAACGTGTATGATTTTTATCTTTTATTTCATTAAGCGTTCTACAGCCTCCTGCTCGGTGCTTACGACGTTGCTATGCTGGTGACGTGCAAGATAGCGGCGAACAAAAGGACACGTTGCAATGACGAGAGCATTGCGCTCTGCGGCCCACTCAAAGGCGCTTTTGACAAGCAGGTCCCCGACGCCCATGTCCCGGTATCCGAGTGGTATTTCCTATATAGAAATACAGTAATTAGCCAAGTTAGCTGGTGATAACATATGCACGATGTGCGCCCCCCGAAGCAATTAATCTACATGGGACACAAGCACTGGCCGTAACTGTGATGCTTACTGTGTGGTAAAACTCGATCAGGGTTTGCACTCTGGTTGGCAGGTAACACAATGCAGCTGGACAAGAAACATCACCGGGAATTTAGCTATTTCAAGCGCCTTATCTTTACCGTCTCCTTCCACTCTGTCTCTCTTTCTCTCTCTTTTTCCCTCCCGTTCTCTTGTATAAAGCATCATGTCTCTTACCAATGCTTCCTCGCTCATCTAGTTTCATATTGAACATACAGGCCTGCCCGTCATGAACAATGTCAGATGCCTCGGCCGACGGTGAGTCCACAATTCGTGCCTTCGTCGGAGGCGTGTAGCTTTCCGTTTGCGTACCCGTGTGGATCGGGCGCTTCCGACTGCTGCTGTTGCTGTTGGTGCTGCTGGCACTGCTGATGCTTGTATCACTACTGTTACCGCTATTACTGTTCCTTTTGTTTGTCATCGGCGGTGGAGACGGTTGTTGTTGTTGTTGCTGCTGATGTGTTGTTGTTGCTGCTATCGGCATTGCTGCTATGATAGTGTTCCCAAGCTTTGGACTGATCATGTGTTGTGCAAAGTGAGGAGGCGGAGACGCTGGAAAAGATGCAGCCGTGGTTGTAGTTGTTGTTGCTGTTGTTGGTCGTGACGATCCCATCATCATGGTGGACGATCCAGCCAAACCGAACGGTAATCGTCGCTGATTGAGTGAATCGTGGACAAAGTTTCTTTTGCGTTTGTGGCCTCGAGGGGGCCGTCGTTGAGAAAAGAGTTGGAATTCCAGAACGGGCGATGGCGAGCTTTGATCCAGCAGAGATTCAAGAGAGAAGAGAAAAGGAAAAAAGAAAAAAAGAGTAAAAAGTAAAGGAAGGAGCAGCAGCAAGAGAAGGAGTAGGGTTGATCGAAGGGTCTCGACACTATCAAAAAAGACTCCAAATGCTTGGGGAAATGAGATAAACCAATGACGGGTGAGGAAGGACCTTAGGAAAACACACTCACACACACACACACACACACACACCTCCCTTTCAATCAAAAAATAATGCCCCCGATTGCATCGCACAGACCATCATTTGCTGAGGTCGAGACTTTTACCTTCCAAATTGAGCAAAACCCGGCTGATTGGATAGGTCTTTGCTTGCATCACAAACATGTCATGGGCTTCTAATAGAAAAGTTTCGAAAATCTGACACAGCACACATTTGCTTCCCTCTTTCTTCCTACTCTGCTCTGCCCACCTTACCCACATGTCAAACCAAACCAGTGAATGGAACCGCTCGCACATGGATGATACTACTACCACTACTACTTCTACTGACCAACAACTCAAAAGCGTCGATCCGCTTCAACATCGGGATGGTGAGCAGCAAGTAGCCACCTCCTCCTCTGCTGCAGGTGGTGGTCATTCCTCGTGGATCGACGACTTTCCGTCACCCCAGGAAGTTGCTGCTGCCGACAAGCACAAGCACACTAGCGCCGCCACCGGTGTAAGCGACTTGCTTAGCAAGCCGTCTCCCTCTCCCATGAACTCTTCAGGTAGTACTGTGTGCATGTGTCGTCAGTTTATGACACAACCTTGATTGACATTGGACGTTGTGTTAGAATCCAACAATACGCGCTCTTATGCTTTCGTCACCGACTTCCCATCCCCTCAAGAAGCATCCAAGGCTGTCGACAGTCACCCATCCACGGGCGTCAGCGACCTGCTGCATCACGACGATGACGACAAGACGAAGCGGAAGGGCGACAAGGTAGATTCAACGGTGCCTCCGCATCCACAGCGCTCTTTCGCCAACGTTGCTGGCAACAAAGACTTTCCAAGCCTGGAGCCGAGCCCAACGCCGTCTGCAGAGTCAACCGAAAGTTTATCGCATATACCGGACGTCAAGGAAATGCTGGGATCGGCATCCGTCAAGGTCAAGCCTCCGCCGCCCTCACAGAGCTTTGCCAAAATGGCTGCCAAACCACCTCCTCCGCAAGAAGAAAAACCGAGTCCACGCGCTGTTGCTGTTGAAAAGCAAAACCAGGAACTGGCAAACCAGCCAGCCGACCCCAGCGACGTCTCCCACGAGAACTTTCCTACACTTGCACAGGCGAACCAGATGGCTGAACAAGGCGCTGCCAGTACAGAGGACAGAGCCATGTTTACAGAAATATCCAAGATTGGGGATGCTGCCGAGGCGGCTGCTACAGCTGATCCTGCTGCCGATGTAGAAGAGAAGAAGGACAAGGCGCCATCGTTCGCCAAGGTGACCGGTAGCAACCTGGACAAGGCACCTCCATCTGCGTCCTCTGTTCCCGTGCCCAGCCATCCGCAATACGACGAGCAAACCATGCTGAACGCGAGTGCCAAGCGCGAAGCACGCAAATGGAAACAGCAAGAAAACAATAACACCCATGAAGAAGATAAAATGACGACTCCCGAGCAAGTACTGTTGGAGGAGAGAAAGGAAGAGATCCAAGAGCAAAAGGAGAACGAGGCTGCAGTTGTATCCAAGCGCATCGAGCTGTTTGACAGGAGACACAAGGGCAAGTTTACGATGCTGGACACCTTCAAGACGCTGCGCGGGATGGGCTATTCGTTCCTCACTGCCATCCCCATCACCGTATTGATGCATCTTCGCATGTCTCCACTGACGTCACCGTACCGATTCCCGTTCCTTTATCGTTCGCTCACAGACTACTTTACGCTGCCGATATACACCAACAAGCTCGTGCCGGCTCTTGGCTACGGTGCCCCACTGCTGACAGGTCGACGCGGTGCCGATCTGGTCACGCAATTCGGACGCCAACAACGCGGCACGAACACGGTTGGGTTGACCTTTTGGGACGGTTTGCGTGGTATGCGACACAGTGAGAAGCGCCAGCAGTTCTGGCAAGTCAGTACGTGGGCAGTGCATCGATTACAATGGATGGCTGTGTACACCTTGCTGCAGGATCCAAACTCCCATCTCGTCACAGCCGATGCGCTTTCTGGCTTGCCCGCTGTTTCTTCTAAATAATTTAGACTATCTCTTTCTACACTCTGTATCCTTCTAAAACTGTTTTATATTTGATAATTTGTATGTACATAATATCAACTCGTTCTGTCCTCATCCCTCTGTTCTAATGTTGAATTTAAAACTTAGCAATGCATTGTCTTCTTGTCCGACGCTCCTTTCATTGCCAGCATAAACTTCTCTATTGTTCGTCTGCCAATGACATCATTACCCACTAAAAGAGGCAATTTTCATATTCGGATTAATACCTTTTGGTCCGCCTTTTGGAAATAGGCGGTTCATACTACAAGCGGCACACAATCATCGCACCTTCGGTACATCAAGTCCAGCTGCAAAACTGTACTTAGCAAGGTCATTTGCTCTACCACCATCATCTAGCGAGTAGTAACTGCCAGTATCGGCCATTTCTCTTTTTGAACAACTCGCTTGTACACTTATTTTACAAATCCTTACCACACACACTGCATGTGAAGTAGACAGTACGTCTAAATGTTGACATATTTGATATGAATAATGTCTCGGTCACCAGTGATCAATAGTGTTTTATTGCGTTATAGCTAATCTCGGTCGTCCTCACTGACAACGTGTTACAGGCTCATGTAGGTCCAGGGGAAGAATGGTTATTAAGAAGAAACAAACAGCATGCTGAGATAGCTCATGTAAGAAAATACTGATGGCGTGCAGCACTTGACGCCAATTATCGGATAAGCAAGTACGGAGCTGCATCGGACAAACGATTTCGCGACAGATGATAGCATCAACCCCCTTTCGATACACCATCTCAAAATATACAAATCCCAAGAATCGCACGCTTGCTCGATACTTTCATGGCATGGCATGCGCTAAAGCAACCAGAAATTATATCTCAACATACTTCTTTACATGCTGATCTACGTAACTTGGGCTTTTGACAGAAACGAGGTTGACGTTACACCGACTCGCACAATCATGTGTCAACTCAATGTCGGTGACTGATATGGCTGTGAAGACCGATGAGATCGTTTCCGAAGCTACCGTCATGTTAAGATGCGGCATACCTTTCGTTGGTAACATTCTCCATATACCAAGCGGTCACGATTCATAATCGGGTTCCTCGCTGCATAATGGATGGATTGGTAGTCAAAATGTGCTCGTGGGAACCAGATTGACTTTTAATTATTAATCACCACGAGCCAATGCAACCCTGCAAAGCCTGTAAAGCTTTGGAAAAGAAGTCAAAGGTACACTGTACCGTCCTCATCATACCAGAGGATCTCCACGTAAACTGGGACACATCCAAGCCTCCCGCAAGCCGGTTAAAGGTATATGCAGCCTTTTGATCCCCATCTCTTTAAGCGATCTGGCAGGTGGGTGGCAGGCATATAAGCAACCGTCTGGATGAGCACTCTCTTTTCAGCAATGTATATTTTGTTATGCTTATCAAGTGATTGCAAGAGAAATATACAAGCCTATAGAGTGATGAAGCCAACTAGCCTTTGAGCCCACAACCGCAGCCCTGTTAGAAAGCGTAGTAATGAATCAGTTCCTTGTTATTCCTCAGCATCTTCGGCACAACCTTTTTCCAATTTTCAGGAAAGAAAAAGAGAAGGCCCGTTTTAGGTTTTTACGTTTCTTTCTGTGTTCTGATACTTACCAAAAAACGACTGACGATAAAGAATGGCAGACGAGAACCACTCAGCGAAACGACAACGTGTCAGTAAAGCTTGGTACGTTGGCTTATTTTAACCTTTTTCTGATTTTCGGAACTGCTAACAAAAAGATAAACCCGCAGTGACCAATGTCGACGTAAAAAAGTCAAATGCGACGGTACGCTTCCCCAGTGTAGCAACTGCAAGACAGTAGGCCTTGAATGCAAATACAATGAAACAAACAAAAAGGTAAATTTGGAAACTACAAGGTTGATTGAGAGGGAGAGGATTTGGTCTATTTGTGTAAAGCTAATGAAGCATATTGTATCATACCACTCCATGCTTACTAATGATTTAGCGAGGCCCACCCAAAGGTTATATTGAGGCGATTGAAGGTCGGTTACAACGACTCGAAGCTTTGCTTAGCAGTGTAGTGCAGGAAGACGACCCACGATCACAGGCCATCATGGCAGAACTCAATGCACCACTTCATACACCTTACGGAGAGCTAGTCCGACCTCGTCTTTTGGGACGAGGATTCAACGAACCAGAACAGCCTTCGGTATCAGGACCATCGACGCCGAGCAGCACGGCGAGTAGTCCTATCGCGCCACGACATCAACAACCATCACAACATCAGCAACAACAGCGGACTCAGCAGGCTCTAAATGAAAACAACGACACTTTGGGAAGTCAGTACACTGACGGAAATAGTCCAGTGCGCTACTACGGCAAGTCATCTGGCTACTATATGCTTCGTGATAGCAAAAACTATCGTGATGGCGTGTTTCGCTTTAACTCGCAAGGTTACTGCAAAGGCTCCAACAACGACCGCCTTACGTCTGTGAAAGCACTGCTCTCCTTGAACCCTTACGAATTGCCACCAAAAGACCTGTCGAAGCACCTGATCGACTTATACTTTGAACACTACTACCCGTTCCTGCCAATCCTACACAAGAACTCGTTCCTCGCATCCTTGGACAGCCAGGATAGCTCAGTGCAGCCAGCAGCGCCGCTCTTGCTCAACTCAATCTACGCGCTGGCTTCGCGTATCTCACCTGATCCGCGGGTGCGCGCTGATCCGAACTTGCCAGACACAGCTGGTGATATTTTCTTCGAGCGAGCGCGACTATTGCTGGACAATGAATGGGAGAATTTTACTGTATCAACGGTGCAGTCACTCATCTTGCTGAGTAGCCATCAGACAGGTGCCATGAAAACGGTTCGTGGATGGTTGTACAGTGGATTGGTAAGGGCAGCTAATTATTTAACCACTTTAATGAAACCGAGCCAAATCTTTAACATACTCACCGCACGTACTGACTAAAATAAATGGGGTATTTGTGGCTCGATATATATATTTATATATGCAGGCATTTCGAATGCTTCAGAATTTGGGCTTGAACAGAAACTGTGACAAGTGGAAAATGTCTGATATCGAAAAGGAGAACCGGAAACGAAGCTTCTTTTGCTGCTTTGTGGTGGATCGATTAGCATGCGCGATGTTTGGTCGAACACCCATTATTGACGAACGCGACTACGACACACCCTTCCCCACTGCGATTGATGAAGACGATCCGAGCGTCATCGACAATTTTCACCAACTTATCAAACTTTGCGGGACGTTGGGTTCCGTTCTTCGACAACTCTATACGGTATACGGGCGCCATCAGCTTTCAGTCATGGCAACACCAGATCGTGTTATATCCGCGCTCGATAAGGAACTGAATGGATGGATGGCGAAACTCCCTCTATCAGTACTGTATCGCCCACCGAATACGCGTGCAGGCGATCGAGCACCTGCACCATCGCTGGAACGATGTCAGCTTCACATGCTCTTCTACACAACACTTATCCTGTTACATCGGCTGTTTATCCCGGGACGATGCCATTCGGTGACACCATCCGTATTCCCAGCTGGTGCTATTTGCACCTATGCAGCCAACAAAATACTTGACATTTCAATATCACTGATGGAAGAAGAACGGCTGAACCACGTCAATTGCTACGCACTCTATTTTATGTTTACCGCTGGAACGATCTTTATCAACGACGCATCCTCCCCGGACAGCAATGCTGCGCTAGAGGCTAAAATTAACGTCAACAGAATCATGCGAGCAATGGAACAGGTCGAGACGACGTGGAAGACATCGGCACGACATTCCAATATCTTGGGTGAATTGGCTGGATTGCGTGACATCAATCTGGAAGAAGGCGCAGGAGCACAGGAGGACAGGCAGCTACAACGGCAACAACAGCAACAACAGGTCCTAGCTACTCCTGCTGCAATTGCTGTACCGACCTCGCCCATCCTTGGCCCTGCTGCTGCTCCTAGTAGGAGTATGCCGTCATCATCCACTGCACCATCATATAGTACGGCTCCTGTTTCTAGTACTGCAGCACCTGCACCCTACCAAAGTACTACGTCTTACAGTGATACCAAGCTGCCGGAAACACCTGTATCTATAGCAACATCCACAGCAACACCAAAGCAGTCGTTTGATTATGAATTTCCGTTTGTCAACGCGTATGATTCGGCTTCAGCAGAACAAAAGGACAAACTACACCAGTTCGATCCAAACAATATGGCATTCTGGGGAGTACCAACATCCTTTGATGTGGAGGAATGGAACAATTATTTGAACAACCAAAACTTTCAGCAGCCACCTGAAGACGGCTTACGTGTTTTACCAGAATAGTTTTCTTAACAATTAGTAGCTATATCGTCAGTATTTCTAACATCTTACACATTCACATTGTTTTTTAACATCATTATTTTGCGAAAAAAAAACATCTATTCAAATTCACACACACACACATACTCGATTACATTAACACTTTAAAGTCCCATCGCTTATTATGCATATGTAGTACTTTATTACTCTTCAACTTTTTACAATTTAACAATATAGCAGCGCTAGCATCTTTTTGAGTTCCATTGCCTGTTTTACTATGGTAGATTCCTTGAGAAGAGACTAGAAAAACGGTTTCAAGTCCCTTCAAACAATTTGAAATGTCATTACCTACACTATCCTCCCAATGTTTCTCACCATCGTCGTACTGTGTCTGTTTACGCGAGAGAACGAGGCCCTTACAAGTTTTGTGCAACACGGCGAAGCGCTGGTCTGTGCTGATATCAGAAGTGAAGTGTGTACACATCGCATTTGTATTTATTCCCTTCATACAGTGATTCCCCATTATATTCACACACTTAAATTTTCGGAATTGAGAAAGTTAGGTTGAAAGTTTGTACATCTTTGCACGCAAGCCTAATTTAATATATTATTATGTACGTCCGTTATAGCTTTTTCATTGATCTCTTTTATAAGCTATACATAGGTGATAGTGATAGCGACAGTAAAACAGGATAGGTACCTGATGATGAATATGATAAGGCAATGCTATTATAATGATGGTGGGGTACAAGATTTAAATTGACTTGCAATAGAAAATGACGACGACTCAGTGCATCCATAATTACTGTGGTGGCGATGGTGGTGGTGGCGGCGGTGATGGTGATCATGGTGAGTGTGGCTATGTTGATGCGAGCAGCCCTGCTGCTGCTGCTGCTTTTCTTTGTGTCCTGGGCTGGATGAACGGTGATGACGATGTCGAGCATGGCATGCTTTTCGCTGAAGACTGCAGGATTGGCTGTTGCCTGCATTCAATGGACGACATTTACTTTGATGCTTTGTGCAACCTGACAAAGTTGATTTATAGGCGTCATCAGAAGAAAGACGATTGTGACAATGATGGTGTGGAATGTGATGATGATGATGATGGGAGCAAATTTGGGCATCCGATTGTTGCTGCTGTTGATGTTTCTGCTGATGGCAGCAAGAGGTTAGCTGTATAGCGCAGCTGTGTAGTTGTTGATGTGCTGCCCTAAGGCATGAAGGGTGATGGTTGTGCTGCTGACAACAATGGTGCATCGTTGTTTGCTGGTTGATATAATGGTTAAAAGCAGAAGAGTGCTGGCCTTGAGGAAGTAATGAATAATATTGATCGGGAGATCCTTTGGCAACCAAGATAGTCGGCATGGTGTCACCCAAAGGTAGAAGTTGTCGATATCCAAATTTTTCTGGCTCGTTATTAGCTGCTGTGGCTGCTGCTGCTGCTGGTGGTGAGCAAAGAGAAGATGATTTCTTGGCATCCTTATCAATGACTACGAGTCGGTCTTGTGGCTGTAGGTAGCTGGTGCTACTTTCGCTCGCACCTTTCAGGTCCGTCAATGAGCGCGATACCTGCTTGGACAGACGAGGGTGATGTTGTTGATGCTTGTTCCGGGAAGAAGAAGAAACACCGGACGCTAACTCGGAAAGATCGGGAAGCGAATACCGAGATCGGTCTTCATGCATGCGCTCGAGCTCCGAAACTGCTTTGCATGACAGCCTTTTCATGTTCAGTTCATGATTCTCCCCCGTCAGCGCATGATTTGCCTTTGTTGCTTTTGGAGAGACGGGAGAATCGCCAGCATCTGGAGGTGGTGTCAACGGCATCATATGAACAGGAGGTATAATTGGCGATTGCTGTTGCTGCTGTTGATACATCAGTCCTTGATCATTAGAAGAAGCTGGGATAGCGGACATTGGCGCTGCAGTTTGTATCGATGCTGTTTTTGATGGTATTTTCCTCTGCTGCTGCTGGCAGCTGCCGCACGGTGACATCGACGATGTTCGTGTTGACCGGTTTGATCTCGGAAGACGGCTATGCTTTGATAGTGCCTCTGATGTCGTAGGACTCCAAGGCGACACTGGCTCTACTATGCCTCGAGATACTAGGTCAAGAGCGTACGGCATAGACAGTGGCTGTGCTAATCGAGGACGATATATTGTTTGCTGTTGATGAAGATGTTGCTTCTGTTTTGCTTCTACTGCTGTTGCACCGTACGAGTATTGCGAAGACGACCCAAAAGACATAAATGACTCGGATGCTGACAATTTGTTATTAGGCGACACCCCACTGCAAGTATTAATGGTGTACATTATTGGAACTGAGGGTGTCACTCGTTGCAAATATAGCTGCTGCTGCTTATCAATGGATTGCCATGACGTGCGACATTCTTGACGGTGTCTTTCCTTCATCCTCGCCATCTGTGTTGCCTGAGATGGAGGAAGTCCACCTCCAGTAGTAGAGGTGCCACCTGGGTCTGCAGTGGTCATTTTCCCAAACAATTTTTCTCGTTGCTGATGCTTAATACCTTCCGAGCTCTCACTCTCAGAAAACATCACTGCCGACGATGATGAGGCAGTGTCATCAGAGTCTGAAATATCTGAATCGAGAATAGACACCGTTTTCCTTTTGAAAAGTGATCGTTTGGCGCTATTTGCGTCTACTGCTAATGTCGGTGGTAATGACGCAGACGTTTCTTCTTGGTTGGGAGTAGAAATGACAGAGGGATTACGATTGAGGACAGCGGCATCGACCCTTGTCGTTGTTGTTGTTGGTGTGGGGTAAGCGGTAGCCACGGTGGCGACAGAGGTTACTGAACTTCTTCCTTTCTTTTTACATTCAGCAACAGTCGTACAGTTGTTATCAGCATCGGTAGAATCCGGCAAGAATATATCCGTGGTTGCGTCTGCTGGCGTCACTGGCATTGATGATAGCTGATACCCTATTTTTTTTTTTGTTACTGTGATTAGTTTTAGGCTTTCTGGTGAAGCGGTGTAATAGTAGACACAATAATGAAAGTGGAACATCATGCGCTTTCTGAGCTCACCATCATTTCTAGCAGAAGAAGAACCCATCTCCAGATAAATATCATCAGTTAAACTGGTTGGAGATTTCGTAGAGGGTGTTTCTCGGTGATCGCTCCTCAAAAACATGTTAGCGATCGGTGATCGTTTGTTGTAGCCATAATAATCATGATCATCGTCAGCGTCGCCGTTGCTGTTGTTGAGCTTAAGATGAAGGGGTTCAGGGCTGCTAAACGAGGATGTCATCATCATTGTTGTAGATGCCGATATCTCTTCCTTCTTTTTGTTTCCACGTCGTAAGAAACCCATGGTAGTGCTTAGAAGCTGGAATACGAGTTAATATAACAAAGTCGAGAAAGGAAGGGAAAAGAAAACAGTGACCAACAATCGTGCACGATACATTTATGGTCCGCCCTTTTATTGTTATTGTTGTTTTTAATTGAGTTTATGCAGAGTGAGTGTAGGAAAGTAACTCAAATTACACACTGTTTAGGACTGGTTAGAAGCACACGAATTGGAAAGATGTCCTATTGTTTCCAGCAGTAAACACAACAGTAGCCGCTGTTGCTATGTATTATGCACCACTACAGCGCCTGCTCAAGACATTTCTCTAAATGTTGCTCGCTCAAACACACTGGCACTTAATTGTTCTTTCGTCTATCTCTGATGCTTAACAGCACAGCAACTGAGGAGAATAAAGCTTCTCTTCATAGTACACTCAGGTACGTTTACATGCACAATGACAATCACTCAAAAGCTAATGCACGAGAAAGTTGATTGTTTGTCATGGTCAGGGCTTTTCCCTGTTTCTTCTAGCGCATATGTGCTACAAACCTTACCTACTACTACTTGCAGACATACAAAAGCCCGTACTGAATACATCCTTTATTGTCATATTTTCCCTTTGTGTTGCCTTCAGACCTTTTGGGGGAAGGGGTTGCTTAAGACAGATTCACACACCCCTTTTACCGACAGAAAGCGGCAATTTATAAACATTACAATGTGTGAGTGTAGTGATGATGGAACCGCCAACTTTGATCCCACTTCTTTACTTACTCAGTCACTCCTTTCTCCCTCTCACTCTGTTCTTACTCCTCTAACCCTCTTGAAGTTCCTCCTTCGAGCAATTTCCTCTGTAGGAATTACATCCGAACGTTATACTTGGAGTTCTTCTTTTTTACCTCCGCATGTTATCCCTTGCAGGCCTCAGCTGTGCTTTTCCGCCTCTATCGTAGCTAAATAACGCATAGTATATACTCCCCTTATGCTCTTCATCACCCAACCCAACTATTTCCTTCTTTTCTCTCGGTGTAAATGTTTCTCCTCAGCCTCCTCGCCCTCCTCGAGGAAGCCGAGCCCCCTCCTCCCCCAAATTGAGAGATACGCATTACTCCTTACTCGATGAGAGGGCTTTATCTTCCTTTCATACCCTTTGTTTTCTTGATCTTTTGAAAATACTTGAGTAAAGAAGATAAAAAAGTTGCCAAAGGACAGTTTTATTGTTGCTCTCTACATGTTTATCATTTTACCTTCAGCAACTAGGATCAGATAGGTATTGACTTGTTGGTGGTGGATTTACTAATAAATGGACGCGTATTTAAGCGTTACTTTCATCTTAATGCTACGGACGACAAAAGCCAGCTTTGATTTTGATGAAACACAACAACACGCAAAAATAAGGCTTAATATTTAGCGCATCTGCATATAGAGAAAAGCGCAACAAGTAACGCGGATTACATACATCTGCGGGAAAACGCAGTTTGGCGATGAAGAAGAGAGACCGCTATCATCAACCTTGCTTTAAAATTATGATACCGACTAGCAAGGCATATTGTGATACGTTTACAAACAATTTTTAAGGAACAAATAATGCATCCAAACTTTCGCAAATGTATTATCATGCTATGCTACTTGGACGACATATTCGTACTTGTGTTTGACTTGATTCAGTCGCTTAGAATTAAGTATTGAAATAGTGTTGATCATCATATGTTTGTATAGTAAGCTAATCTCGTTGTAAATAAATCTTTTGTGCAAACAGCATAGCCACCACTCCCTTATTTTCTTTGCAATGATTAACTAGTCCATTCATTCTTCCGCCACTGCTGCCGCTGTTTTTCAATTAGAAGATCTGTATAGACCGTTTACCCACTATTTTCCCCGTAACAACAACAAAAAAAAGGGGGAGAAGGGTGTTGGCTTTCCTTTGATCGCTGCATACTCTAGATTCACTAATTACGTTTGCCACATCGATTAATCCTCGACTACATGACCTGTTTAGTGTAATGGAGGTTTATCCATTTGTAATTATCTACATAAGTATAAGCATTGGGACAAGCAAGTCAGCCCAGGAGCAGATGAAGTTTTGATACAACAAGCTTTGAGTCACATTTAGTTTTACATTTACTGCTTTCCATCAAACTTGTGAGTACAAACTAAAGTGTAATTAAAATTTCCCAAAACTACATCACTTAACGTCTTGGAGAGCACGTATTATCGTCGATGATCTTGCGGAGTAAATCAAGTGTCTTATAGCTACCAGAAAAGAGAAATGTTTCAATCAGAAAACCGATCAATAGCCTTGAATATACCGACATGGGACTAAGCCATGCTTACGTAGTACTGTAACTACTATTCTTTGATAGTAGCAAAGTTTTCTTACTCTAACTCTAAAAAGTCACTGTAAGATAAACAACGCTGACACAGCATGTTTTTTGAGCGAGCTGTAAGGTTACCCAAAGAATATTAAAGCGTGTTGATGTGCTTACTATTATACAATCCAATATTTGATGATTTTTTAATAATTATGCTATCGTTAGGTATATCAACTTTTCGAAGCGATGTAAACATGCTCATATTTGTAGGATGTACTACAAAAGAAGGTGCTTCCCAGGTTGTTGGAAGAAAAATTGGAACAGTGAGCATATTTCAAGGATTCAAGGCTTTTTGGACACGGTGCATAAAATAAAGAAACGGGACGTTGCTATCATACCCCGGATGTGATGGAAAGAGGCTTCTATCCTGTAATTCGTTCATTGAGGCTCTAATCGAATGTGGCAAGTATCTGCAGTTATTTCCTTTGGTACCAACTAATTCCCTAGAGTTTGATAAGCTACTAACAGTGTTCTGATCACCTTGCGTGATTTTAATCAAGGTAGCACTATATAGGTTAGGACATATGACTTATTTACAGGCTGTCGAGAAACGTATATGATCCTAAAACGTGGGATGTTTGAAAGGCTTTTCTCTAATCGTAAGCGTTGCTCATATATGCACCTCAAGTGCACATATTCATTACTGACGGGCGTGGACCATCATCAACGCCAATTCAAAATACAATAACATTATGATTTCAAATATGTGTTGAAAGGAGAGCTGAGGAAGCTTTTGAAGGATATAGGATATTTCCTACGACCAACAGAAGCAACAACTGAAGATAGATATTGAGCCGCTATATATTGCATTTGCCATTTATTAGGCGAAGAAAAGATTCTATTCAAGTACATTGTCGACCGCTTCAACGTTTAAGAGCTGACTATCAGAATAAAATAGCGTGTCCAAGTATCTTATTATGTAAAACACTGAGCAAAACTTAGTGATACAGACGGTATACTTTACTTGGCCAGGTTACGTTGTATATGATCTATTAGGAATATTGGAAGTTCAATGTTGGTGTTGTGTACATCTGCCAATTATCAAACTTCTTTTTTTCAGTCACATCCTACGTTAATATTTCACGCAGCCTGACTTCATGGTATCATAACACTTCGCCACCGTTTAATACAAGGATCGTGTCCTACTACAGTATATACTGAGATTTCTATCAATCCAGAAAATGTATATGCTTTCAAATTATTGCGAAAGTCTATAAAGGTTCAGGGTCGAGGTTACAGTGTGCGCAGGCTCTTGTGCTCTCCAAGCCCGGTACTGTTCTGAAACCCCCTTTCAGCACGACAGCTTCATCATGAATATAGTGTTGTGATTTATATTTTACTGCTTTTTAAAAATGGCCTTGACAACCCTACTTTTCTCTACGCGGGAATGAAATCTGGTACTTATCCGATGGCATGAGCACAATAATTTAGCATGTAGCATATTTAGGCGAGTAAAAATGCTGGAGCGCATGCATGGGGCATTATTATGATGCATTGCTATGGTTTCTCGATGAGCGGGAAATCTCTTTTAACTCCTTTCCAGCACCTCTCCAGCAATAAAAAACGTCCCACAACTCTTTAGTCTAACTCTCCAACATTCCTTTATCCTTCATGTCGATATCATCAGCATTACGAGACACGATTTACGGCGTAACATCATGCTGCTTTCCCAATCCAACAATACAAATCAACAAAAAGACGTTTAAAGTGGTTCGACTTCTTGGCGAAGGGTAAATCACTTTTATTATACCTCTTCAGGCTATATACAAAAAGATAGTACATGCATATTGACTCCATAGGCAACATAGAGGATACGCTTTCGTTTATCTCGTGCAAGACGTCCCAACCGGTCGTCTTTATGCCCTTAAGAAAATACGCTGCCCACCGGGCGACCAAGATGCGGTTGCAGATGCCATGCGGGAAGTCGACATGTACCGCATGTTTCAACATGAGAATATTGTTAAAGTTTTGGTAAAAGACGTTGAACAAAGTCTCTTCCTCCTCTTCTTATGGTTGAGTATAACCTTATAATTAACTGTATTCGACAATTTTTTTTTGAATGCTATAACAGAATACCAGTATTACAACAGAAAAGGACGGAACGAAAACTGTCTATATCTTCTTGCCTTATTTTAAGGTAACAGAGATTACATACTGTTTCCTATAATGTAGCCATATCTCTAACTAAATGCTGTAAACAGCGTGGCAACTTGCAAGACAATATCAATGCCAACAATTTGAACAAAGCGCATTTTCCCGAACGAGACCTGTTCCGCTTCTTCCGCAATGTCTGTTACGCCGTCCGTGTACTGCATACATTTCGACTTCCAAGGGTTCCGATGAGAAACAACGACGAAGAAGAATCACCTGCTCTAGACACCGAGAACCAGCGTATGGTCACCATCTCATCGGGTCACACGATGACCCCATCAAAACCGTACCACCACACCAATGGCTATCAACGAACAAAGGATGCCGAAGAAGCAACAGTGGTTCCCTATGGTAATTTTCCTTATTACCGGTTGATTTTCCCCTATATTTTAGAAACCAAAACAATCTAGCTAATGACAATATATATAGCACATCGAGATCTGAAACCCGGCAATATTCTTATTGCAGATGATGGCCAAACGCCGATTTTAACCGACTTTGGATCTATCATGCGAGCGCGCATCACAGTTAAAACGCGGCAGGATGCGTTAATACAGCAGGTAGTCCTAGAGGGATGCACGATTCAAAGGTAAAAAATGGGTTTATTCATTTATTCTTTGGTTATTATTACTAGGATCTCGCTGCAGAACATTCGACAATGGCCTATCGCTCTCCAGAACTATACGATATTCAAAGAGGGACTGAGCTGGATGAAAAAGTGGATATATGGGTAAGAAGGAATTTTTGATAGCGCTTATATGTAAAGCAAACAGTAATGAGCTCATAAAATGTGGGTTCTCGTTTGTATGTCTACAGAGCCTCGGATGTCTATTGTATGCTACTGCCTATGGTCAAAGTCCATTCGAGATGAATACACATGATGTGGGTGGATCAATGTCCCTGGCTGTATTGAATGGACAGTACAAGTTTCCAGCACAAGGCGATCCATACAGTGATGGACTAAGAGAACTTATCAAATCCATGCTGGTAGTAAATCCGAAGGAACGGGCTGACATACAATCGGTAAATAACAATGATAGAAATCAATATATGTTGTAGTTTATGGCATAAACAGTATGTACTAACAATCTTTTGAATACTAGGTCATTGATGAAGTTGATAGGCTTTTGGAATTTACTTCAGCTTGATACTCCTTATACTCTTCCGCACATTCTCCTTACCCATTTGGCATATATGTAACCATCGCACCCTCTCCTTTTTGTTTCCGTTTCCCAACATGCTACTAGTAGTTCCTCTCTCTCGCAACCTCAAATCCATTAGCATTCACTTAGACTCCATAAGTCTTGTTTTAGTTCATATTTTAGAATTAAGTACAGATTTTGCATATCATTTCGTATAATCTTATATTATTCTCCATTATTTTCTCTAAATCAATTTTTTTCTACTGAAAAGTACCAATGTGTGTGCGTGTGTGCGCGCTGCTCATGCGTTACATGTTACGTGTCGATCGTTAACCAACTTTGCAAAACGATTTGCTTGTAAACCGTTTGGAATTGGTCATGCATCTGAAACGCCGAACTTTGGTCGTGTGATGTATGCAGGTAAATGTGTACTGCTGTTCATTGCTATAAACGTAACAGCGGAAATACACATAAAGATACAAGTGAGCGGATGTCCTTGACTAGACCGATTAAATGAAAAAAATCTGAGACTTTACAACAGAACTGAAAGGCTAGACCAACAAGTGAATACGACAAAGCTTTTACTATGCATAAAGTTATAGTACAAGAATACATGCCATATTTCACTATCAACCGTGCTGTTCTTTGTCTGATATCATGCTTGCAATTCACCGACATTACCTGAGAGTGCCGAAAAGAGATAGTTTAAAGCGTGAGTATGTTGCCATGCAAAATTACAATAATAGCTACAAAGTTTATAATAAGGTACAGCTACTTTCATATATCTATTATTTTTTTGTTCACGTATACTTGCATCGCAAAGCTGACTACCGCTATGATAGTTTAAAAAACGTATTTGTACATAGGTTACTCATTCATCAACATGCTTGTCTAAAAAACACGTACAGTAAAATGTTTTCCCTTACTCCACTTCACCACCTCCTTATCTTAAATACAGCAGTGGTTGAGCGCACAGCAACAGATAAGAAGTTGAAAAACATGTGTTTCGTAGCACATCTAGTACTTAGCGAGCAAAACGCCCTATGCATGCGTTTTCATATGCTTGGATCTGGGAGAGCATTTATATCTGTTATATACTAGGCCAGTCCAAATGGAAAAAATTGCTAGCTCTAACACATAACGCCAACCATTTACTATTTGCTACCACTGATCCACTCCCCTTTAGGACCATGTCATTCTAGTTTTCGTAAAAAGCTTGCACATGACATGTAATATGATTATCCAACAATCGCGCGAATAGCAATCTATTGATAGAAGAATCCTGGTCTCCAAATGTAGCAACAAAAAGTGTTACTTTATTACTAAGTGTTACCTCTACTATAATTGGTCAAATGTATACGCAGAGAAGGAAAAGTGTTTACGATGGTGACAACGGCGGGTTGTGGCTATCACTTATCATCAAACACGACAACTTCTATATCAATATAAGCGTATAGAGAAGATTACACACACAATACCGGTGTTGACGCTAATAATCTTTGTTTTTAACAACAAGCTATCAATACAACAACCTGTAACATCGTGTAGGACAAGCACAGCATGTTTTTGTCAAACGCTCTCTTTATGCAGGTTGTACTGCATCTTCTCAAAAGGCGCAGCCTATTCCCCTTTGCCCTTAATGTTTTTTCTAGCTGTACTGTACACGTGGTGTGTACGTAGGCTTGGCTATTTATTTCTGCTGTGCCTGCTTTTTTACATTTTCAAAGCCCTAACTTGCGGATCCATGAGTATGTGTGCAACCTTGGACATAGAATGTTTTGTGTTCTTTTTGAGATGCATACTATCGTGTAGTAACTAGCAAGTAATGTATATTACGTGTGTACACATCAGTGAAAAAATGAGTCTCGATCTTGCTCCAATACATAGATACGCTAGTAGCTCGATCGTGTGCACTATTACCGGTAGGGGAGAGGAGGTGAGTCAGCAGGTCATAGACGCCAAGAGCACAGGGTCACTGTCATCAGGTTATAGATGACAGTAGCACTTTATAAGCATATGCCGTTTCAGGCTTGTAGCAATTTCCTACTGTATTTATGCTTTTATACTTCATTTGATAATTTGTCAATACAAGTTTATACTCTGGTGAGAATTGATGCTGAGTAGTGAAAAACATTGGAAAAACTAGGTAATAGTAATGAGCTTAAGATCAGGATTGTAATTTATTCACCTACAGTTTTTGAACACATGCTTCTATCTTTGACGACAAGGTGAAAATGATACGTTACCTAGCGCCGCAAGCGCTTACCTTATACTGCAACGAACGAGGCGTTAAATACCCCGCAGGTTAACTATAGGTCCGTCCGTTGAATACAAAGCGGCGAACCACCCGATGCTAATTAGAAAATAATCAACAGCCATTATACAGATAAACTTAGATTTTTGTTCATTTGAGCAAGAACTGCATCATCAATCCTGAATCTCAAGTCAGAGCGGAAGGCATGCATCAGATAAAATGCGCGTGTCTGTTGAAAACTTACTCATCCTAAAAACGACAGTTACGATTCTCTTTTGCTCTCCCAAGTGGGCGCCGATGAGCCGTGCGAGAAAATGCGACGTTACACGACGAAGCACTTTTGGGTACTTTTTCTCTGGGTACCTTTTACCTTGAGGTGACGCAATCGAATATAGCTCATTATTGGATATAGGATAATATTATGCTTAATTAGATGCTTAGAAACGTATTGAGTGTAGAAGGGGGACAATGAAGTACCGACTACATCTACAAGTAAATGACGATGATGGCGCGTTTTCCAGGCTACATAAAAATAGGGGGATGGTATAGGGAAGAAAGAGCACAAAAAGTGTCGAGCTTTAAAATTCTACGCCATTTTGATTAATTAGGAATCACTCGTGTGATGCAGTTCGTTGAGAAAAAAAAGTAACACGTTCGCTTTATAAATACTGGTGATCGGCCCTTTCCCAAACTGTTCTGTTGTTTGCATTGTACATTTCTTTTTAAACACCAACATGGGTGCAAACCACAGTAAAGTCAAACATCGTCGAAGTAGTAATAACAAAGCACGTCATATACCGCCAACAGTATCTGCAACATCCCTAACCTCAGCAGCACCATCATCATCATCGCCACAGCCGCAGCCGCAGCCACCACGACCATTACGATCGCAGCAGTTACAACAACAGCGCCAGCAAGTTCAACAAAACCATCACACTTACCACAATGACCATCCACCAACACAACCATCTGGCACAGAACAGCAGCAACAGCTACATCATCGGTCCCCATACAGCAGTCATCGACCATCCTCGTCATCAATATCTCAGCCGGTGCTTATAGAAGATGACGACGAAAGTACCTATGAACGACGCTTGTCCATCGACTTTTACTCAAGCGACACAATAAATTCCGCCATACTGATCAAAAGCCATATTATGGAAGAAAGTCGCTTACACGACGATCGACTACCCAGTGATCCCCCAGAATACGTTCCGCCCACACTCTCATCAACATCATCGACGACTTCCATTGCTACCACCTCTATGTTCTCCACCGCCTCCTCACCATCATCCATGTCCTCTGTTTCTTCAATACACTCGAAATTTGCCCCACCTGCACAATCACCAGCCTTGATCCGTGTTCTTCAGAAACAACGGCAGACAAGTACAACCAATCTTAGTCAAACTGCCTCAAGCGATAAGGTTTCAATAGAGTCAGCATCCAGACCTGCTATTTCGGGAAGCAGCGACATTAACAGCCTCGTGACAAGCGCCAATGATGACTCTACACTTGTTTCACAAACCAGCACCATCACCGATGAACAAAAGTACCGCGACTTAGAGAATCTGGCGCTGCGGGAACACATCGAAGCGTTCTATCCCTATGCAGTTTATCAGTACTACGGCAAGACACCGAGTCGAAAACCACACTACGGCAAGGCTTTCAGATATTTTCAGGCTGCTGCTAAGGCAAACAAAAGTTTGCTCGAGCATCAACCCAATCATCCGCAGCGTCAACAAATCCTCGGCATTATATCTAGCTCGCTCTATTGTATCGGTGATATGCTTGCCAATGGCAAAGGTGTTTCTGTGGATGCAATTAAATCATTAAGACTTTTTAACGCAGCAGCCAAAAACCGCTATGCGCCAGCTGAATATATGGTCGGATACTATTATCAGCACGGCAAGGCAGGTTTAACCAAGAATATCCAAGCTGCCTACAAATGGTATAGCTTAGCTGCAGAGCAAGGTTATGCAAAAGCTCAAGCTGCATATGGTGCTCTACTTTTGGAACAGCTTGAAAACAATGTGGATAATGATCGACCACAGAAAGTACCAGTTCAACAAGCATTAAATTTCCTCCATTCCGCAGCCGAGCAGGTAAAAATACGAATATTATTCAACTTGTTCTATAATAACTTCTCTATTTCCACTGCTAAAATATATCCAACTTAATAAGAACAACGCCGAAGCACTGTTACAACTGGGGTTGCTTTATGAGGAAGGTCGACATGTGCACAAGAGCCTGCATAAAGCATTCGATTTATACGAACGATTCCTTGACAGCGCAGACAACGGCAGATATGGTGCCACGCATTACATGATGGGCGTCAACTATCGACATGGCAGTGACGACTTGAAGCGCAGCGACGAACTAGCACTGAAGCATTTCCATCTATCAGCTGAATCCGGGTTCGCACAAGCACAACGTGTTCTTGGCAATTTGTACGCTGACGGCATCGGCGTAGAAAAAGACGATTCGGAGGCGCATCGCCTTTTTCAAAAAGCTGCGGCACAAGGCGACCTGTTGGCAATATGTTGGCTCGGCAAACAGTTTGAATACGGACGAGGGTGCATAAAAAATACTCAGAGAGCAATAGGCTGTTACGAAACAGTCGCACGACAACCTCAAACTTTGCCGCTTCATTGCGTTCCAGCGCAACTCGCACTTGCAATGTTGCTCGACAGTACTGGTCGTCGTTCAGAAGCTCTTGAATGGTTCCAAAAGGTTGCCGCAAGTGGCGATTTTAAGAAAGCTATCATCTCACGAGAACTCGAATCCATGTTTATGCATAAACTAGCGCTTTATCGTAATACCGCTCGCCTGCATATTGCCATGTACCAGCTCCATGGCGTTGGTTCTCTACAGCGTGATCCTGCTGCTGCATTTAATTTACTACGTAATTTGGCGGATACCGAAGACTTTGCCGATGCACACTATCGAACAGCACGTGCGTTCCAGAAAGGTATTCCAGGTGTCGTCGAACGTAATCTTAAGCTTGCACACGAATACTTTCGCAAGGCAGCGGATCTGGGCCATGTACTCAGCCAATTCCATGCAGCGGATATGCTTTCCAACGGATTCACTTATACAGACGAGCAAGGAGTGACCGTATCTGTTAAGGACAGAGAACAGGCTTACTATCTTTACGCCGGTGCTGCAGCTAAAGGACATGAGCTGTCTCAAGCTTGCGAGGCTGTCTATTACGTTGAAGGTTTGGCACCTGTGTATCGCGATTTGACACGAGCGGAGGAATTGCTACGTAGTGCCGCTACTCGAGGTTTACCCGAAGCCATGGTGACTCTGGCTAGAATGCTTGTTACTAGTGTGGATACCGTTGCTGAGGCGCATATGTGGTTACTCAAGGCCGAATCCAAGGACGATACGAGCGCGTTGCGCGAACTTGCCGCAGCTTACGAGATGGATCTTCTTCCTGTTGCGCCAGGAAAGACGAATTTCCAGGAAGGGTACGAACGACTCGAAAAGGCAGCGTCCATGGATGATCCAAGGGCCTGGTTTAAACTCGCACAATATCATGAAAAGGGCTGGTTTGTGGAGCCATGCATCGAAAATCAATATGAATGCTTGAAAAAATCCGAGGATTTGGGCTATGACAGGTAACATAATCCGATGCTGCGCATTTCTTTTTGTTTCTCTTACGCTGACTTGCTTTTGATCTATGTTATTACAGAGCAAGCTTTGCGATCGCCGTTTTACTTGAAAGCCAGGCCGAACGCGATCTCGCTTTCTTGCAGTACAGCACCATTGTTGAGAGGCACAATCTCTCCTCTCAGTATGGCTGGCACGCACGATTAAACAGTTGCCGGCTCGTTGTATTACACAATCTGCGAGATAGCAAAGAGCAAAGTACCACCTATATGATGCTACAAGAAATGGTCAAACACGGTGATTTAGGAGAGAAGGTCATTGAGCCTCTTGAGTTACTAGGTTAGAAGGGTTTTTTTAAAGCAAAAGGAACAATAGAAGCTTTGCTATACCCGTCATTACTCACCATGATATGTTTTTCAATATAGGCGTCTGTTGCGAACATGGCATTGGAACTTTTTGTGATTCTATACAGGCAACAGTTTGGTACCGTAGGGCTGTCAACATCCAGGTTACAAGCTCCATACATTGGGCCCAAGATAGAACACGATCCAGACTCGCAAAGCTCCTCATCGATCAAGGTGCACACGCTGAAGCTCTGCAACATTTACAGCAGCTGCAGCCTCGCCTCGATCGAATGATGGGTAATCAGGATTCGTCCGAAACAGTCATGCAGGCCAGAGAAGCACGATACTATCTTGGTAATATTCTTGTGAATATAAAAAACGCGAAGGCACAGGAGAAGCTTATTTCTGTTCTTAATAGGCTACTTGCTTTTACATGGCAAAGGAATCAAAAAGAACGAGCAGGAGGCTAAAATATGGCTCACAGTAGCCGCTGATCAAGGCCATGGGGATGCTGCCTACGAGCTAGGCCTTTTGGCTGTCCAAGAGGCAAGATATGAAGAAGCAAGACGACGTTTCGACCAAGGTGTTACAAGCGGTCATCGCGGAAGCATGCGAGAGCTAGCCATGTTATTTTGCCGTGAACAGCAAAGCGACAGTTTCGATTACGATGAAGACGATATTTCCCAATGGGATACCTCCCAAATCCGATACTTACTGGAGGACGCCGAGAGCGGAGGAGACGTCGAAGCATTGGTTCAAATCGGCTTATTGCACGAAAGTGGCTTTGGAAGTGCGTTCTCAAAGGACCTCGGCATTGCCCTCGAATTCTACACCAAAGCATTTAACTGCGGTCACAGCGCGGCAGCCGTTTATAAAGGGGAGATCTATAATTCGTTGGGTAGATATATCGATGCTATGGTGTGGTTCAACAAACAACCTACCCATTGGATTGCACGTTTCCGCTTGGCAACCTATCGCATCCTTGACGTAGGCGAGCTTGGACAGGACAAGCAACAAGGTTTCGATAATTTGCGCACCGTCGTAGAATCAACCACTGCGCCCTCAACACTCCATGATCGAAAAATCTGGTGCTCAGCATGCGTCTTTCTCGGTAGCTGCTACCAGCGCGGTGAAGGCATGGAGCAGGACATTGAAAAAGCAATTTATTGGTATATGCATGGTGCCGATCTGGAAAGAGTCAAGTATACCGAGGCTATGCTCCATCTGGGTGATTTGTACAACGAGCTCGGGGAAGAAACCAATGCATTGCAGTGGTTCCATGAAGCTGCCGCCCGGAAGAATATGAGGGCCCAGTTTCAAATGGGTCTGTTCCACAAAAATGGATTTGCAAGGCTGGAACCCAATCCTGCTGCTGCTGCGCGCTATTTTACAACAGCTAAAAACCAAGGACACGGTGAAGCAGCATACGAGCTGGCTCTTATCTACTGGGAGCAAGGCAACTATGAAGCAGGCTGGGATTACTACAAGCTCGCTGCAGAAGAGCACCAAATTGCTATCGCGTTGCGCGAGATCGGCTACATTTACCATCGAGGTTTCTCGGGAAAGGATCGGAGCTCAAACGAGCCTTTCCTTATTGTCCAGAATCGCAAATTGGCCTTCTCGTACTTTTGTCGAGCAGCTGAATTTAACGACAGCATGTCCATCGCAATGGTTGGATCATATTACCAGGAAGGATATCAGCCATACTCTGGCGACAGCATGGAATTCGCCCTCGCGTGTTACGAAAAAGCGTATCAAAATCCGCAGAGCCAGAACCGTCCCATTCTCCAGCTAGTGATTGGCAGGCTCATCCATATCATGGCGAACGAGTGTGCCGACTTGGATCAAGCACGAGAACTTCACCTGCAAGCTTATGCCTGGTTTGATAAGGCTGTTCGTGAACCCACAGGAGTGCAAACAAGCTATGCCCAGATGATGGTGGCTTTGTATCATCTACATGGATGGCATCCTTCGAAACACCATCCCGAACTTGGTTTCCAGGAACTGCTAGAGATAGAGACAGAAGGTGAAATTGAAGTTTTTAAGGAGGTCTCTCAACACATTGCTCGATGTTACGAGGACGGACACGGTGTACAGCAAGACTACAGTAAAGCCTTGGTTTATTGGAAACGACTCGTAGAATTGGGTGATGAACAAGCGCTTCAATGCGTCGTGGAATATTACCGTAATCATCGTGCCACGGATGCCGATCTGGAAAGCGCCCAGCGATCTTTTGAAGCAGCAAAAGGTACCCTATCATTTTGTTCATTTTTCCTTGGAGATAGTAGTAGGGTGTATAAGGCTAACTATAATGAAAATAGAAATCGAAGCAAACACAACATTATCCGGCTCGAGCTACGGTCGTTGAGATCTATTGCTACTTAGTACTACTATACACCGCTTATACCAACCACTACAATAACATCAAAATTGTATACATGCTTATAATAATCTATTATTTTCTTCCTGTTTACTCTCCTCTTCATTCATCTTTACTATGTACTACTACTATTATATGTATTGTGCTCTATCATCTTGTATATTTGTACTCTTTTATTTGATTGCTTTAAGTTATTTTCTTTTTCTTTTTTTTTGCATTATATATACATATATTCAATTCATTAATCGACAGCATATAATTTACGAACCTGATTTGGTTGTTCGCTACACAACAGATGTATAAATATGCTTATAGTTAAAAAATATCATGCTAAAGTATGTTACATAGAAGCTACTAGGAAAACATTCCAAGGGCAAAGTATTGACATAGAAGAGAATGGCTTCATGCAAGAAAATGGTCTCGAATCGAAATAGAAAAGCAAACGATCATCAGCGATGAAATCTCCTCTCCGAACGCTGGGAGCATGTCAGATAGCTGTATAGTACTAGCATATCATCAATAACTGTGATAAGACCTAGGGAAGTCAGCTGCTGACCATGTCTGAGCCAGATAACCAACGAAGCTCAAACAATTCAATGAAGCATTACAGGTAGTGAAGAGCCGTCATGTCCTATCTAATGCATTATGATTCACGAGCATCACAGTCTAATGAATGGTATGGTTTATGGCGAGCGGGTTCCCGCCCGGCCAAATTAGCAGAGCCGTCTGGTAGCTTAGTGATAGCAAGCGAACAGCTTGACGATGCCTGCAAGTATGGACGAATTATCAATCATTAAAGGATTCTATGGGCTCTTATCACGTCAATATCTTATTTGTGTATTTGAACACACTTGATTTATCGGCATAAACGATAATTTTGTAGAAAAGGGAGGAACAAGGGAGATAGCGGTCTATATCAGACATCATGTGCCGAGAATACAATATCCAAGCCAGAGTCACAGGTGATGATATTCGCTTTATTGGGGCAGGTATGATACGATTTTTTTTGGCACTGGAATTGCCAGTTCAGTTATCTGTCACTTATGTTTTCTTTTTCAAAAACACATTACCTTCAGTCCCTAATAGCGACAGTAAACGGCGGATTCAACGGGAGAGGAGTACCCCTGGGCATGGGACATACTGCCTGTCCAAAAACACCTTCAGTTGAATAACTGTTCATCGTAAGCGTTAAATTGGACTGGGACAGTTCTATAAAGCGATACAATCCGTACAAGCGGACATTATAGAAATCTGCAAATGGCGCTTTTCTGTAATGCCACCAATTATTTCAAGTAGTTTCAATCTTCGATCTATAGAATACGATACATCTTCAAGCAAACATAGCCTTTAAACACACGGGAAGTGATTATTCTTGCAGGCTCATGATGAAGTAGTACGACGTAGCCCTAGTAGTACATAGCTATGATTAGTTGCTGATAAGCTGCACACCTACCAGAATTTCGGCCGTATAATCTTGTTTGCATGGATCGACAGTAAAGAAGGTGATCGAGCATGTGTTTAAATTCGAAGGAGAACTGTGTAGACATGGGAGTACTCGTGCTTGGACTCATTTATCTCACCAGAAACGTACGTACTCATGATTTTATATTTCAGTACTGTAGGATGGTATCTGGCTCCAAATTTGTCAAGGACACATCAACTTTCTCGTACGATTGGCTACAGTACTTTTCTTTCGAGTGGCCTTGAAGTCAGTTTAAAAAGCACCCTTTTAAAAGCAGGAAAACGGCACTTGCGACTATCACCTTTACCCGAAATTCAAATGATTTTTTTGAGAATGTTTTCAGCCTAGCCAGCTCAATCAACTATACATGTGTCGTTTGAGCTCCATACCCATCATTGAAGAAATTTTTGAAGTTGTAACTACGAGGAATAAGAAAGGCATTATCACATGGTCAGTGATTGGCTGCTCTTTCGAATCCTCGATGTCATCCACGTTGCCGTTGGTTGATAGAACGTGTAACCAAATGGTAAGTCTATCACTCTTACATATGACAAAGTTTTCTCAAGAGGTGCGCGGGATACTTACATTTGATTTTACACTTGTCGAATAGCTCCATGATCAAGCTTCGTACAACGTTGATCTGTTCGTGCAGTAGCCGCTTTTCTGAATCTTCCGGTGCTTGCTTTGAACTGCGGTATATAAGAAAACCCCTCAAATGTATGTATGTTGTTGATTACTTTTTGTAAGTATCCCTCGAAAACTTTGTGCAAAGACTCTTCTTACGATTGGTAGGGATATTTAAAATGAAATATGCTTTCGTTGCTCATTCGAGCATTTCCCTAATTATTCTTCGGAGCTTATCAAAGCTTGGCAGAGTTACAAATGCTCGAATAAACAACTCAAGATATTATGTCATTTAGGATGGGGTAGTAGGATCCCCGAGATACCGACAATATCATTGCTAGCTAGTAATGGTTGCAAACCCAGAAGTCCTGTCAATGGTAATAAATCAACTTCGCCATGATATTCTCACAATGTTCAAGATATAGGTTGCTGTGATTTTTCAGCTCACTGCTTCAAAGTTTGCTTTAATTGGAGTCCGAAGAATACCGTATTTTTTTGATAATGATGAGCTGGGATATGTTGTTAATGAGTAGGGCGAATATGAGCCCATGTATTATATCATTGACAGAACTTCTTTTACTACTGTAGTATAAACAATGTTGGGGATCAGTCTTTACACCAAAATGAATAACGATGATCCTATGAGGGAAGAAAGAAGATGAATGAAAGGTAGAAAACAAAGAAGAGGGAAAGAGAAACAAAATGAAGGTAATGGTAACGAGCCACACATGTATTTGTGCTCATTATATATAAATTATAAAAGGGAAGGAAAATGCGATCTTCTTGTAATAAACAGGGCGTCCTTTTATAAATATCGTTGTTCCAAACACGCACACACGCTCTATATTCTTGGAGGCTGTTGCTGCTGCATCTGTGGTGTAGCTTGCGGTTGTTGATGTTGTACTGGTTCTTGTGCATGCAAATCAGCCAAATCAGGCTTGTAATAACCGACGTTTGCTTGCTGCATGTATGCAGGATCCTGACCATACATACCAGCAGCTGCAGTAACTGGCTGCTGATGCTGCTGCTCATAGTAATAACCGGAATTATCGTAATAGCCAGCTGTACCTGCCCCCATATCCTGGTGTTCAGGATAATAATAACCCTGCTGTTGTTGCTGGGCCATCATGTCCTGCTGATAATATCCAGATGGATGGCCATCATAGTAAGTGCCTTGATCATTGAGACGCGGAACAGTGGGTGAACGCTGAATATTGCTGTGGGCGACGGCAGGCGAAGCTGAAGCTGCAACAGCAGCTCCCATGACAGGTGTTGAGGGCGAACGATGGTGGGGATAGTCGGTATCAGACATGCCAAAGTCCTCGTAACCTGCTTTGTTGGGCTTATTGCTTCGACGAGTACATCCGCCACGACGATTCAACCATGTAATGATACCGCCGAGAAGAGCCACGCCCACTAATTTTATAGGGAGTGCGAGCGTGTGAGCAATAATGTACTACTGTGTCACATAATTAAATATTGAAGACGTACCAACACCACCAACGACAGCGCCAGCAATGGTGCCAATTGGAGCGCCGTCATCGTCGCCATCCGTGTTGGAATCACTTGATGAAGTAGGCGTCGACGTACCATCGGTACTTTGCGATGTATTGTTGTCGTCACTCGCAGTTGGATCAGCACTATCAGTTTTATCATCGTTGGAATCACTGGTTGGTTTTGGGTCTGATTCAGATGTCTTTTTGTCATCGTTGTCACTAGATGCTGCTGGTTTATCTGTTGCCGAGTTTGCTGGAGCTTTAGAAGTTTCGGCTGGTTTTTCTTCCGAGGTGGGTTCTGGCGAGTCGGATGTAGCTGCTGGAGGGTCGTTCGATGTAGCAGGTTCTTTGGAAGGTTCAGGTTGTGGTGCTTCTGATGTGACAGCAGGAGGGTCTGCTGATGGCTCAGCATCGGCTCCGCCACCGCCCGATGCGTCGGCCTCCTGCGGCCTAACCACAGTGGCAATTTGCAGGAGAATTAGGACGACGATGATCCAAGTGGTTGATGAAAAGAGGCGCATAGGGTATTGGACAAGAAGAAAGGGATTAAGGAAAGGAAAGGGGGGAAGAGAAAGGGAAAGAAAAGAGATGTGTTGTGCCCATCATTGTTCTCGATGTTACGGGACAATTGATTGAAGCACAGAATCCATGGAAATGTAAGATAAACGCCCGCACCCGAACCAAGACCGCCATGTTATTTTTGCCTGTGACACAATGTTTAAATTTTCCATTTATTTTCAGTTAAGACGTGTGCTTTGCTGACCACAGTCGGTGGCTATCGATGGGTTTCTTTTACTTTCTTGCGAAAACGTGCACATGTTATTTGTTATGCAACCATAGAAAACAAGATTCTGTCTGCAAATATTTGTAGGCATTTATCTGATGGATGTGCTGTCGTTTGTTTGTGCCTGGTATATAAACAAACCGACCTTTGTGTCACCTTGATGAATGTTGCTATATTTATACTGGTTTAAGACGACGAATAAAAGCAGACGAGACCATATCAAGTATCGCTTTACATTATACAAATGCTAAACTCCATCTCGTGCGCCCCTTTGCTCGGCATTGATGATTTCAGTCATGGTCCCATTATTCGAACATTTCAATTCCATATCGCGTTACCACTGACAACACTTCTGTAACTCGTGCAACCGGACGTTTTCTCTCAAGTACGCTTGTGGAAATGCGCTAGGGATCTTGTGGCACCTAGAGCAGGAACCACTCTTTTTGACCTAGAAGACCTGCGTGATGTATTTCCTCTTTGAATCATTAATTTTGCCTAAAGCTCAGCCTTTAATATGCTCCAGCATATCAAGGATTTTATATAATCAGGAGCACTCGGGCCTACAGAAAAACTTCCTTAATTTTGATCTTCTCCCCATTAGGCATATAAGGCTTTATATATCATAGTAGATCTTTTCGCTGTCAATAATGGCTTCTCGAGAAAAGAAAGATTTACTTTTATCTCACAAGTATTCGAATACTACTACTCTCTAGGAGTGCAATATGCTAGGGAGGAATTTGATATTGAAAGCGATATATGTGCTTCTAATTCTCAATAAATTGAGCGAAACATATATGCAAAGGCAGTTTTTTGGGTACTATACTCTCACACATAGGCGTACGTATCTATATCATAACTTAATTATTGCCATAGAGACTCCAACGTGAATGGAGTACCGTGCTTCGTTTTATCAGGTAATTAGTATCCAAGTCGCCATGGAGTTATAATTAATATGATAGATTGTTTTTCTACCAGAGCAGATGCAGAGAGACAAAGCCTGTTGGGCAGATGCCAATCATTGACCATGACTGGCTTGGATATATCCGTAGCTTTCTCTTGCTCCGTTCTTCCTGGTATAACCAACTATGGCTTTCTTGGAATCAGCTGCTATCATTATAATATCGTGAGGCGACGCTTTGTCTCATTTGTATAGTAAGCTGTGAAAACCAGTAGATTCTGCTTTTACTGAAGCACAAGAACGCAATGTTTGAATATACACATAAAATAACATATAACGGAAAGCAATGTCCGATCAATAATATGATTTTATGTATGATATATCAATTTGTGCATATCAATAAATAGCAGTCAAAAGAGAAGAGAAAACTCACTTCTATAATGGCTTTTTATATCGGTATATTACGTTATTAAAAACTTTTAAAGTGGTTCTTAAAGTTTTCAACCACTAGCCATATCCTGTAGGAGCGAAGAAAACAATTCATACGGGAAGCTCATTGTTAACATGCAGCGGAGAATGCGTATGTTGCTTAGCAGAACCGTGTAATTCTGTACTCGGCGAAATGCATAGCTAACAGTTATGATAGCTATATTAGAGGGTAGCTATTAAGCAAAATCGATCCAAGTTTATTCTCATGGCTTAAAACAGAACTATGGTAGGAACATGGCCATTCTTCATAACCTCCATAACCAGACCTTCGTCATATCCAGTTAAATGGGTCGATCCAAATGGGTTTTGCTCACTGGATCCTCGGGTTAAGATTACGGGTTTGTGCTGAGCTCCTTTTGATGTGTCCTTCACAGACACTGCGTTCTTTGAGTCCCACGGTATACGCTTTTTCATTTTGTCGATCTGAAGCAAACATACGTGCGGTTAACTTATCAATAATATAATGTCTTACCACCATGCTACGGAATACTACTACCTTCATGTCTGCCGTCACAATATCTCCGGGAACACCAATATCATCTGCGTCGCTTTCAACATCAACTAGTACTTTTGGATCGTGATCGTGATTATTGTCGTTCTTATCGTTCGGAAAGTGTAGCTGGTACGGACATCGCTTGTATCTGAGCCAAATCACACTACATCGTCAATTTCACTTTTGACGATACATTTTTTACTTTCTCTTACCCCAACAGATCTTACCGTTGAAAATCATAATGTCCAGGAATATTGCCATGAAGAATAACCTTTTTGCATACGTGCAATGTGCCATCCATCAATATATCAATACCCAAATGGAAGTAGTTGAAGAAATAATCAGTAGGTTCCAGGGCTGACGTATCTAGTAGCCAGTAAAATCCAAATCATTGATGTTTATTTACAGTTATTGTCAGTCCTTTAAAATTTCGACGCTGCTTATTTGTTTTCTTACCTTTCTCCTCCTCTTCATTGACAGCCGTGTTATGTTCCTGATCATTTTTCCCATCCTCAGCTATCCTTCCAATCATTGCGCCATCATCGGTGACCGAATGAATCTTCATCTTGTCTTCTTCTTTGTAGAATATCCGCGACGGCTTACCAAGCTCTGCTAGAATGTCCTGTGGAGTAGATATTTGAAGCGTAATACGAACTTGACTGGTTGTTAACGTGTTTTCGCGCGAGTCCAGAGAGTCATGTGTGGGGAAGTGGAGTACAACTTCCTTGCCCGGCTATATTTGTTATTGAACCAATCCATGTGTCTCAGCAAAATAGAAATACAATCACCTGTAATTTACTCCTCAAACACATCATTCCAATATTTACCTGTGCCTTGACACTTTCAAGTTCGCGTCTTCCGATTTTACCGTACTTTAGCGTGGTGCTGGCATTATGTTCCGCCACAATCTTTGCTAGAGAAGGAACAGTTGCCCTTTGCCAGTTTGGACTTCCGTTTGAAAACAGGTATATATGTGATGCAATAGGTGTAGTTCCATCTGGAAACTCTAGCGGGAGATCTAGTAATTCCGATAAGGAGCTTAGTAATCATACTAGATACTAAACCTTTTTATTCTGTCAAAATCTTACCTGTAGACGATTCATATAATTCTCGGTGGCGTGCGGGTATCGGGAAAATAAAGGAGAGTCCCTGAGAGTATTTATTTGTTTGTTTGAGAGCTTTATACCTTATGTAAGGCAGTATCTGATTCAAGCTATGACTACTTACTGGGTATTTCAACGTATATACGGATCGCTCTCGAACAAATTCGCCTGGATACGTTGGTCTACACACAAAACTGGGTCAGCTGCTGCTACTCGACTCAGTCAAACGTGACAGAAAGCACAATTACCCGAATGCTTTATAGATCAGCAAAAATGTTGGTATAGTTCGACTTGAGCTAAAAAAATTTGCGTTAGCATGAAATCTTGCTCACACACCCATCCGTATCTACAGTAACATCTTAGCATACCTGACATCGCTGTTTTGATACACTAGCTTGATTTTTGTTGGGTCAAAACATTCAATAGACTTCATACGTTGGAGCGTGCCATCAAAGCGTAAGTTGATACCATTCGTGGGCAAAGCAATGATAAAATCGTACTTGATTGGTTCCTGTAAAAAGGGCGATTTATTATTATGACCATCATTTCCTCCTTTTCTGATATTATTCCACGTACATATACTAGACATACACACACACCTCTTGACTGTATTTGAGCTCTACTGAAGGGAAAAAGTTTGGGCGTTCTCGCAAATAGTGAATAGTGTCCCACAATGTCGAACCTACATCACCAGAAAGAGAGATAAGCAAGACCAAAGAGTGGTTACAACCGCAGTAATTGTAATCCTTCCGCTCCGCATTTCAAAGAACCGACCTAATCTGAAAGGACCCAGACTACGCCCAGGTGTAATGACTAATTCGATGCGCTTTGAGCGTTGTTTCTTTTCATTCCTCGGTGATTCTGCCATTGTATTCATTTTATGTTTGAGCTTTATAGAGAGACAGTGAGAAGTGAGAAAAAAAGGTTCAACACCAGGAGGGTATACGCATAAAGGAGCGGGGTTTATGTTTTAATAAGACGGTGATCAGCTTGCAGGGTAATATGATGCTATTTTGCTTCCTATCGTTCCTTTTGCTGCATGTAGCCGCAAATCAAACTGTTATGACTCGTATATTTGAGCTCTAGACACAAACACTACAAGGACACACACACGCAAGAAATATACATGAACAAGATATAAGAGCTACTACTACGTTTACTGCTACTGTTCCTGCACGTGGTTGCCATGTTCATTATCGATCCGTTGGTCATCATCACCACCACCTGTCCAAGCGATCCAGAGCATGTGACACGACAGAGCTGTACGTATATAGCTTCAAACGATATAGACCGACTATAACTTCCACAATAGGACAAGCAAAACAATGTAGGTAGCCATGGTTACAGCGGTTGTTAGGATAACCCAATCGCCGCTAGTTTTAAAGGGTATAGAAAGGTCAAATACGTCGCCAGCTGTGCGACGGCGCCAAACTGCAATAGCCAGCATTGCAAGTCCAAAAACAAAAAATGTAATTCCAATCTTGTAGAATTCCCGAGTGAACACCTTCAGAATCAGCAATCCAGTCGAGAAGGCTGCAAGTGCTGTACGCCAGTAGGCACCTTCAAAGGTTCGTTGACGGGCTGTTGTGCATGTGTGTGAATTTTTTCGGTTTCGCAAAATCCCCAACCCCAATTACAAGAACACAAAGGTCAAGTCACTTCCAACAGTTCACAAAACCAGTGTAGTACCCAGCAATAACCTAGAGTATGTTACCTCGAAGATCTTGTAATTCGGTCTGCGTCAATAAAACAGACTGTTCACGATGCCCTCGTACCATTCGTTGTTTTTTCATTTTGCTTTGTGATTTGCGAAGATCAGAAAGAGTAAAAGCCGAACTCAAGTCCGCTGCACGCTGCAGTTCTACTCCTGGAGCGTTTGGGTTGCCCAATTTGCTAACGAGCTATTCAGCTTGATTCTCTTGAAAGTCAATACTACTATATACTATGTACTTGTAGTTACGTATTTTGCTTTGTGACAGAGATCTAGCGGAGCTCACCGTTTCATACACTATCGAGTACTTTTCGGCAGCAACAGGAACATATCAATCATAATTTTTAGACGGGTACCACCATATGGTGCTACTGGATGCTTTGTACTTTAGATCCGACCAATCTTTCAAAAAGTCGATATCATATCATGCGCATTATTAAGAGCTGCTACACGCTGTGTAACAATTGCCGCATAATGTATTCTGCTTTTAAAAACAGTGATGCGCGTTCTAGAAGGTTATAGTGCTGCTTCTTTTCTTATTGATACTCTGTAAGTTATTTTAAGATATGAAGACTTGAAAGATATGTATTGCTGTTTCATGGCTTTGGTTATATGTGTAAGGTGGGGTAAGGTATGAGGTATCAACAGCCTCCTCCGTCACCCCCGCCTCCGCCTCCGCCATCACCACCACATCCTCCATCACCTCCGCCGGATGAATCGCCCGCGGAAAATCCTCCATAACCGCCACCACCGCTTCCATTGCCATATCTTCGATTGAAAGTAGGAGTTGGAATGAAAGCCCGGCCATCGAACCTTCCTTTGGGGGAAGTGGTAAAATTGCACTCTTCGTCAGAATACCAGTCGTAGCCATTGGTCGTCCATCCCCATAAACGGTACTTTTTTGAGTACTGACGGCGCATCAGCCCAAAATGATTGGCTAATGGCATCCACCATTCAAGCGTTTTATCTCCCAGAATAAGCCGTGGTAAGGGTCCGTGGGCGCCGCCCCAGTCGTAAATGCTGGTATGTAACGCTCGTATAATCGTGCTTCCTCGTTTGATAGGACCAAAAACTAAATTGAAACCAAATTAGTTACTGTAGATATATATCAATGTGGTTGCAGGTCCATGACAATCCATACCTCTTGGAAACCGTTTTTCTCGCTGAGCAACTGTGTTTACACCTGTAGGAGGATATGTTGTGGTCACTATAAAATTGATGGTGGATCAACCAAAATGCAGTTAGATATGATCGTTGTTATACGATCTACGTGCTACTGATTGTTATGGCTACCAATTCTATTGCAATATATACGATTTACGTGTTAATATGTGCTATGTATAACATTTAAAAACAGAAAAGAGAGTAGATGACACATACATTTGCTCGGCATTTTTTGTTCGAGCCACTAGAAAGAGATTTTAGTAAGAGAAAGAAACAAGTCGAGTATCGGTATGACATGTAAAGTGAGAAATTGTAGTGACAGTATCTTCTCTGTCTTTCTTGCCTCCACTAATAATTGTGCTATTTCCATATTAAAGTTTTTTAGTGCATAAGTGGAAATATCCATTTGCGCATGTAAAGAAAAGACATTGTCCTTTACCCTATATAGCCATAGCCTGTATGCTCAACACCCCTGAAAATTTCTTCTTGCTCGCTCTTTACAGCAATCGATGGCACTGGATAGTTTGTTGGCATCATCATTGTGTAAAGAGAAAGTCTACAAGCTTTTGGATGCGCATATCATAGAAACATTCATATATTGTTATACATAAACTTCAAATGATCATGCTTATGCACAAGCATATATTCACTACCTGAACCATGATAGCTCACATCATGCGGCCTACATTATAACAAGTTAAGTAAAGTGGACATACGCATGCGCAAGAAGATTTTGGGTTGTATTAGTCTACATTTTCTGCTTTCTTTACAATAACTAGAGCTTACTTGATGGTTAGAGACATGCGCTGCTCTTGTCGTGCAATGTGACTAGAAAAAACGTTCTGTAAGGTCTTATAATTTTCATTCTTAGTTTGCAATTTTTTTGAGGCTGAGAACAATCGGATCATTTTCTTCTTTTCTTTATGATTGCTTCCGTTAGGTCGTTTTACGAGATTGGAGCTCAATGCCCACATGTTGTCACTAGCATACATATCAAAATGCTTCGGCAGTACTGTATCGTCATGATTTAACACCATTCCTAGGTCATCCAGCATCATTTGACGGTATCGTGAAGGGTGCAGCATGTGTACATGCCACGCCGCATCTATAGATCACACCACAGCGTAATAAGTAACTATATAACGAGCACAGGTTTGATACATTGCTTACCAATAGCCCACGTGGGGAATATCACTTTAAAATTCACTTTCTGTGATGCTAATGCTTTTTTCTTGACAAGCAGAAAATCGTGATAATCTCGAATAGCTTCCGGTATCTCACAGTTCACCGGATCTTTCCATACGCAGGCAATTTTCGCTACCATGGTACTAACAAAGTGGCGCTGTCGCATCATAGCTTGGACAAGATCCAAAGATAGTGGTGTGGGGTTACTTTCGTAAGTGCTGCGAATAATATTTGACAGTTCTATGTAGAGGTAAACGCAAAACATCTGGTGTCATAAGTGCTATAACAATGATACTGGATAGTACATACAAACAACACTTTTTCCTTTACAAACCTCTGGCGTACGCGTCATACTCACGTGACAGTTTTTCATCGAGTGGATAACCAGATTGATCTCGGGGGTACTGTAACAAATCATCCAAGACATTTTTAAGATTCTTGCTTTCTTTAAGTTGTTCCTTCCTTGATAAAAGATCATGACAAAATCTCTCGCGCATCGCCCTATCTTCTTCTGTCATCTTTTTGCAATATCCTTTGCTATCAAGAAATGTCCCTCTATCATAATAATTTACAATTATTTTAAGCTATATGGTACGCTTGCAACATATATATATCATACTGGGAAAAAGTTACTTGATGGAGTACGGCAGAGATGACAGTAATTGAGAAACTGCAAACGTGTCAATCGTGTTTTCCGGCTGCTTGCAAATATGACTTGGGCATTTCAATACTGCATTCGGATTCGTTCTAAATTGAGCAAATTGCTCCCTAGCATTTTACGACGAAATGAGTAATTGTACTGCTATCAGTTTAACGTAGCAAGGAAAAAATAATCTGCTGTGAAAGCCGAAAAATAGTATATACCAAGTTTCGACAACTAAAATCTCGTTACAAGAACCACATCGAGTGCAGCAAACATATTTATCGTGCACATGCTCTGCTTCATCTGGGTATTGTAAAGTATATCCTCCTCTTTTTTCCTGAAGAATGGCCATCAACTTGTCTTTAGTCAACTCCAATGGATAGACATAGGTAGCGGTAAGCTGCGCACTTTGGCTACTATCCGAACTCCAAGAGTAAGAGAGAAAAGCTCTGAACATTAAATTGTCCGGCTGATGACCTAATTTATCACGCCTTCGCTGCTTATGCTATTGATTGCATTCATTCAAGGTGGCGGAACGAATCATTGATCAAAATCAACAAAGAGGTATACATTTAGATCAAGACAGTTCCTCTAGTAACTTACCATTGCTTTCAGGGGAAAATTTTCGACAAGTTGCAATTGGATAGTATCATTTTCACTATCGCATGCAATATCCTCATAATATCGGAATGGCGAGAGTAAGTGAGCGTGCCATGCGTAAGCGACATCTTGATGCATAAGAGCAGATTGTAGGCATTAATGATTTGATTCTTTTCTACAGTACTAGAATAATTATAGAAAAATTTGCTTACCCAATGGTACAGGTTTATTTGAGTCCCATCTGTTAACATTGCCGTTGTAACACGTTAAAAGAAACTCGAGGTATCGTTTTTCAGCAGCAACCATGAAAATTTTGAATATTTCTGGACTCATAGATTGCTCCAACTCGTAAAACGACTCCAAAAGCGACAGGTAGTAAAGATAATTCTCAACCGTTACTACATTATCGAGCTGAGGACCATCTTTTGCTGGAAATACTTTTCCTGAGAATCGATTGTAGGGCATGAAAAAGCGAAACAAAAGTTAAACGAATGGTAGCCACGCAAGAATTTGCGTTGTAATATCGAGTTATTAAATTATCGAGTGCAGTTACTGGATTACACAAGCTTTGAGATCACGCTTGCTGAGCCAACAGTGTTGGAAAGAAAACCAAGAGAATTTGTTGCTGATAGAAACGTTGCACAGATAACATGCTTGCTTCCATGTGGTACATTGTGGCTGTACATCGATATTGGGCTTATTGAGCCAATGTTTAGAGGAGAGACCAAAAAAACTCTTAGTTTGGTATCCTCAATTCGTTCATCGGCTGCATCCTTGTAAAGCTCTCATACTCATTTGTATTTCAATCTATCGAAGGTCAGTACACTACGATGACTTGGCTATAGAGCAACGGACTAACAAAGCATCGACAAAGATGCTTTGCAGTGGCCAGCCTCGATGTGTATTCTTACGTTACTGTACTGCTTTACACTTCTACCGTCGTGGCTGCTGCGATTGACGTATGTACGTTATTTTTCATATAGTGGCTCTACCCAAGCTTCTCAAGGGAGTTACACAAATAAATACAGAGCTCATAAACTTGCATACAACGTTCCGGATGACAGCGAGCAGGTTATTACTCATCAATGTAGTACTTAATGTTATGAAAGAGCACGTAGCTTTCCGGGCTCATTTACGGACACTTTGAATATCACTGTGATCCGACATCCAAACAACAACTAGAGCCATCTGCTTTTTGCGCATCAAGAGTCGTTTACCAAGAGTCTCCAGGGATCACAGAACACACTATCAAGTTGGTTCTTTCATTTCTGTTGCAAAACTTACGAGCAATGTTTTAATGATATGGCCAGAAATACGCTCTCCAGTTCTCAGCGTACTTGTCACAAGATAATGGTATCAAAATAATCGTTTTATTGGAGAAATATAATGCTGCTTGTTGCAATAGGACTCCACTATTTTGGCTGCCATGTTATAGACTCTGAATAGTAGAAACGCCGTCGCGGAGTGTTAGAGCGCCCAATGGACCGTTTGCCCGAGATCTCGTCTTGCTGCTGCCTTGACGATGGTCCATCAGGATTTTGGTATGGCTTCCCCTGGTCTACTACAATGGCATTTTGAACTTCAAATCCAGCTTTTACTTCTTCTTCGCTTTCGCCTTTTTCAACTACTTCATCCTCCTCCTCAGATACTTGAACATAACCTATTGGTAACATAGACACAATGATAACCCCTTTCAATTCTATGCCCATCCCTTTTGCTTTGTATCATACTTACCGTAGCTGTCATAGTCATCATCATTATCGCTATCGTCTTCCTTTGATTGTCCGTAGTGAGATAGTACACGACCTCCCAAGTTTCCGCACTGAAACTGCAATGACGCTTCTCCAGATTCAATCATTTTTTCAGTCATCTGCCGTAAGCGATGGAAGAATTCATCCTTTTCCCATTCTTCGTCTGTATCGGTCTGTGATTTTTTTAAAATCAATGATTGTTAGCATGTCCGGTGAACAAAGCAACTTTCAAACACATATATTAATAGTCACCTCGCTTTGTTCAATAGGTGAAACAAATGGTTTGACTTCGACCGTACCGTCTCTACGATCATTTCATGGAAAAAAAGGAGCAGGCGTATGTATCAGAGAAGAGGCGGGGGAGGGAAAAGGTAGATGTTTGGAAGCATTGGTTTATACACACTGTGTAATTTGCTGTTTCAGCTGCGCAACTTGAGATGCTTGTCGACGGACCGTCATCTCCAACATTTCATTAACAGCCAGCAAGGATCGATTTGATATCTCCAAATCAGCTACCTATATACGTACCGCACCGCAAGGAGTAATAGCACACCACGACCACTCCATTAGAAACAAGAGACCCAAGGCCAAAATGATTCCCAGTGAAACACTCATTGCACTAACAGTACCTTCCGATTTACACGTGCTTCGTTGACTACCGAGTCTTCATCCTCATCCTCTCCTGCTTGTTCATCACTGCTGTTCGCGCCTTTCCCTCCATTTGTCTCCAAGGCAGCATCTGTAGCTAGGCTATCTGTATGGCTACCGATAAGACTTTGATGTTTTTTGAAAAGCACATCGGAAGATTCATCATCAGAACTCTCATCGCTACTTTCACTCGCGCTACTATGGTCGCCGTCGACATTATAAGAGGATGAGGTTGATAAAGAATGATGTGTAACGGAGCGTGCTAGAGATGATTGTGTATGGGTGGATGGTGTTTGAGCACTAGGTCGTCGCTGCTGCTGTTGATGCTGCTTTTGTTGATGATGTCGCTGAAAATGATTAGAAATGGATATAGGCGTGGATGATGTTGCAGAAGGCAAAACAGACGTTGTGCGCGATCGAGCAAGCGTTTGCTTTATTGGAGGCTTGTATACCTCAAACGAGGGTTTGCTTCCAGTTTTTGCTGTTGTTGTCGTCATTGTCGAAACGGGACGTGGGTTTGAACGTTGTTGTTGACGTTGGGAATCTGATGTCGACAAAGTAGTAGGTCTTTGCGACTGCGAGCGCTTAGGTGGCGGGTGGTATATATTAAGCTGGGGCTTTTTTCCAGTAGTGGTGGATCCATAAGGTCCTTCGTCGACGTTGATCTTTGCTGAGCGAGCGACTCTTGGTTTATTGTTGGGTATAGGCGGCATTGGCTGAGTGAATCGTTTCACAGAGAATGATTGCGTGGGACGAATAATGTTGACAGCCTTTGGATGGGCATTGCTATTACTTTCTTTCATCGTTAGGTGTGAATGGGGGAAAGAAACGGAAACTGGGTGGAAACTAAAGTGCTCGGAAGAAAAAAAAAGTGTTTGAACTAAAAGGCGTTATATTCCCGAAGTTTTATTATTGTATACTGCAACTGCAAGGCACACGCATACATCCATCCACACACAGGGAAGCTTCCAGCAGGCCGGATGCACGCATTCCGATCTTACCCCCTTCTTCCCCCTCAACTGTGTGCGACATTGCTTTCTTTTCAGGCACCCGGCTATTCCAGCATGAAAGCAGCCTCCGCTGCGTGACGCGTTTTCCTATCTCAGCGGCGAATTGCTTGTCTGATAATTTCTTTGGGCAAACTGCTATTTTTGCTTTACTACAAAGAACGATGGATACAGCCGGTGCTCGCAAAAAGTTAAGACGTGCAGACGACGATTCTTCAGATATTGAAGAAGAGAAGAATGCCAATGAAAAAGATTTGGAAGCTTTTCTTTTTGGTAACGCAGACGACGAGATCTGGGAACAAGCCGGCCATGAACTCAGCGATCGTGAATCTGACCAAGAAAAGAGCGAGACCGAAAAAGACGATGAGGAACAGGTGCGAAAAGTGCATATCATCGAGGCGTAATACGCTTTTCTTATGGGTTGCAAAACTAACTTGCTTGTTTTGGATAATAAGGCATTCTTTTTTGATTCAGGACCGGGTTTTGTAATGGACAGCGATCCCATGCCTGTGGCCGAAGACGAGACCATGAAAGAATTGGATCTGGATAGTGCAAAACGATTTGAAGGTGACGATGAAGTTGATTACGAAGACGATGAAGACGAAGACGACGAAAGCGAACCAGAAGAAGAAAAGAATTACGGATACAGTCGCAAACCAGCCTGGGAAGACGAAGACGATGCACGTTTGATGGTATCATTAATGGCGGCCGATCGCTTGAGAAAGCTACGCAAAGACGAGAACGAGGATGTTGTTAACGGTCTTGAATACGAAAAAAGATTACGTACACAGTAAGGACAATTGCACTTAGTTCATGTATAGCGGAGCGTCGCGATAGGAGCTCATATCACTGATCCATGATTTGCGCGGTTAGACATGCCAAAATGCATCCACGACCAGAGTGGGCCACATTACCATCTGACTTAAAACGGAAGCGTGGTGGCGATGGCTCGGACGATGAACATTACGAAGATGACGAAAATCAGCTTGATGATGAAGATCGATTGGACCTTTTGAAAAGCACATATGGCGTTTTGCAATTACGGCGCGAGAACCGAGTCTTACCTTCTAATTTCCTTGACATTAAGCGATACAAGAACGCAAATCAAATGTCACCATCTGAAGTAAGAAAAAATAATGTGGATTTTCATAAAGTGCTTTCTAGTATTTTTATAAGAATACTTAATCTTTTCGTGCTGCTGCTAGGCCACGATTTCCACCGTCGAGTTTCATCCAAATGCACAGGTCATGATGACTGCCAGTATGGATAAGACACTTCGCCTTTTCCAAGTTGACGGCAGAGTCAACCCCAAAATCCAATCCGTTCGTTTCCAGGACCTGCGTCTGACTTGTGCAGCATTCCATCCCAGCGGTGATCAGATCATTTTATCCGGCAAACGCGAATTCTATTACATATACGACGTACAATCAGGCTCCATTGACCGATGTCCACGTATTTGGGGTCGTCAAGAACGATCCTTGGAGAAATTCTCGATCAGTCCATGCGGTCGCTATATTGCTTTCAAAGGAGACGACGGCCACATCATTCTTGTCAGTGCACTTACAAAACAGTGGATTGGTGATCTTAAAATGAATCAAACTGTAAGAAGTCTTGATTGGTCCTCAGACGGCAAATACCTATACAGCATTGGCTCTGATGCTGAAGTCTATCAATGGGATGTTGGAGAGCGTGAATGCGTAAAGCGATGGCGTGATGACGGTGGAGTAGACTGTACTGCTCTTGGCGTCAGCTGGAACGACAAATACTATGCTACAGGGTAAGTGAAATAACGAATTTTGACGTATTGCAGGAAATGCTGATTTTTTTGCTTAATTGTAGATCGAGCTTGGGAGTTGTGAATTTGTACGACCAACGGGTATTGGAGCCTCAAAACACACAGCCGAAACCTTACAAGACACTTGGTAACCTGACGACAAGCATCAGCCAAATCAAATTTAACCATGACTCTCAGTTGATGGCATACAGCAGCAGCGACGTCAAGAACCAATTAAGGGTTGTGCACACAGCAACTGGTTCTGTCTTTAGTAACTGGCCCACCGAAAGAACACCATTGAACAAGGTGTCCGCGCTCAACTTTTCACCAAATAGTGATTACTTGGCCGTTGGTGACATGCGTGGCCGAGTATTGCTATATGGATTAAACCATTACGCACTTTAAGCATTTCTCTACTTTTCTATACATTGCATCTATCACCTACTTATCATCCGCACACACAAAATATGTAATCTATCAATCAACCATACCAAGCTCACCCTTCATTGTTTTACAACCGGCAAACACGCAAAAATTAAAAATAAATTAAATGTACATTTCTTGATATATTCTGAGAACAACACAATGCTCTAGTATGATAGATAGGCTTATTCACCGTTTGCGATTAGGATAGGTCAATAATGTTCCTGCAAACACTCCAATGGCAATATCCATACAAGCAACCACCTTTAATATAGCAAATGGTGCTCCCTGGCCGTCTTGTCCAATTTAAAAAACATGTGCTTTGAACACCAACGCTTCGCGGTACAAGCAGAACAGTACCATAAGAGAGAGGTACCAGCACCAAGCCTTCCGTCACTTTGAGGTACAAGTCACCAAGAAAGCCCAATGCGAACACACTGACTATACCGACAGCTTAAAAGTTCGAGATGGTAATCACTTTGCTCGCAATAATAATTGTACATAACCAACGGCCGAGTAGCCATTCAGAATGGCAGCAAAAGAAAACATGATTAGTTAAACCAGCAAGGCATGTTTCCATCGCACGTATCAAAGTCAATCGATGGAGCAGTGGGATCGATTGCATTTACTCAAAACCGTATCCAATAAATCAAGGCACAAACAAAACGGATTCATATCACGTGCTTTGCCGACAGTTCCATTTATAAAGTACATATCAGCGTAATTCAAAGATGTGAACTTGTTACTAAATTCACTATATTTACCAAGTAGTTTGTATATGATACTTACAATCGATATAGTCAGCCTGGGAACAACGTTGCAGTAGCTGAAAGAACAACGCCGGGGAAACTAATCCACGGAATCATAGCCTTGGCAATAAGCGCTATAATTTACAGAGGGAGTAATCTCAAAGACATTACCGCAGGAAGCATACTTTTCGGCAAGCAGGGATGGCATGCCTACCGTCAGTCCGAGCGCACCGCTTGCTGCTATATCAATCTATGAGTCATCAAACATGATTGGCACCGTTAACCCATCTGATCACAGTATGTGCTACGACTACATACTACCCATAGATTCCCAGTAGGCTGTGCACGTGCAATCTTGTCCAAGCGTTCTCCGCATTCTTATTTGCACCTATTGCTCTTTTCTTCTTTTTTACAGATTATCGTTCGCCACCTCTTTCACCTGTGCTAGTTTCTCCCATATTAAGCCTTTGTGAGCAGCGTACAAGAAGCGTCTGTGGCTCTATGTCAGAGAAGCATATCATCCTAATGCCAGAAATGAATAAAAAATGCGGCTTCTAGACCAAGTATGATATATGCGCTGCTTGATCAAGGCAGGGCTCCTAGATGAAGTCGTTTATGTATATCTTTACAATTTTTGCTAGGTTGTCGATATACAATTAAAGCTTACAATTCTGTGGCCAGGCGCACCCCAAAGCATCAGACACTTGTACAGTGAATCAAGTACTAGGCGTTTTGACCTCGTCATTCATCCCAATCATGGCATTCTTTTCAATGTTTGGCGACGACGGCCGGCGAATGCTTTTCCAGTTGATGCTGATATGGTTTGCGTAGCTACTGTCGACAGTACAGTCTGATAAACATATTGATGATGGTTAAAGAACACTCGATTCCATACCCAGCGAAGGGAGAAAAAGGCAAAAAAAAGAACAGTAGACAAGATTGAACAAAATAAGCTCTGCATCGCCCATGTATCCCAGCTGAAAAGACAATGGATCTTTCCTCTTAAAATGTGTGTATGTAATTTTTTCATTTTACTGCTGAGAATTATGTCGCAAACGAAGATACTTGGAGAGAGAGAGCGGGGAGGGTGTTGATGCGGTATACTATGTACAATGTTGATCTACTTTTCGTTATTTTTTCGCCTTGTCTAGAAATTCTTTTGCTTCGTTGATCTTTGTTGCAAGATACGGTGATCCTCCACGGTCAGGATGGTTCAACAACATGATCTTTCGGTGTGCGTCTTTGATTTTAGGCTTGGTTGCCTGCGTCTCTCTATCCACAAAACATATAGCCATGAGTAGATATTCTTTTTGCGTACGATGCATACACTCCTCTCATATATAATCACAGCCAATTTACCTTAAGCCAAGAATTAATGCTGCTTCACGTTTGTTCATTTTGGCATCAAAACCACCTTTGTGAAATTTAGAGAGACGGGGTGCCTTGGCAGTTTTTGGCAGTTTTTGGTATTCCTGGAATGCACGGATACCTAAGCGACCGGCCGTGGCAGCACCAGCAACAGCAAAACCAATAATAATTGGGGTAGACTACATAGCATTCCAAGAGAGTTAATTCTTGCGAAACAACGCCAAAGTAATTCCAAATTACAGCATTGGTTACTTACCATGTTATTGTATTATTATTGAGTGTATGTAATACTGGTTAGGTCCTTTTCCTCTTTGCTGACAACCAAATCGCCTCTGGTCAGCAATTTGGAACACATCTAGTACTAAGCCACCATAATCAAAGTACCTTAGATTCGGCTTTTTGCAGTGCATGACATGAATTCGTAATATGCAAGAATAGTTTAAATGGGGTGTGCTAAGCTTTCCTTTTCAAGTCTTGCAAATATCATATACAAAGATTACTTTTGCTATCATCTTTATGGAAAAAGGCACTATACGGCACTATTGCAAATCAATCTGTATCGCCTCTTTGTCCCACATGGAAACAATCGTGTCGCTTCTGATTCAAGAAACATTATGTTTAATATAGGCTGTACACCATTTAAAAAATTCAGCCTCATTTAGTTCTGGCTGCTTGAACCAAGTTGCACCAGTTGCGGTTGCAGTTACAGTGAGCAGCACGTTGCGGATGAACATTAATGCGGGCAAACAGCAAAGGACGGGACAACAAAAATTTGTAGCTGAGAGGATGACGTAGATGGCTCCTTTAGCTGTGACCCTGGCAACAAGTTTGGCTGGGCTGGCACAGAAAAAAAAATTAGCCCACCCCAGCTCCAGTTGAACCCCCCTTCCTATCTTTTTTTTCTCTCCTTTGAGAAACCATATTCACAATGTATTTGCCCCGAGTTCTCGCGGCTTCCCGCAACGCCGTCCGCGCCAACAAGGCCAACGCTCACTTCCTTGCCCGTGCTGCTACCAAGCCTGCCGCCGTCAAGGGTAACCGTCGCTTTCAAATATGCTTCAATGGGAAAATTTTTTTGCCCTCAAATGTCATTGACACGTTCTTTAAATTTTCAATTTCCCATTGTATAGCTCGTTCCTATGCCACTGAGGCCACCTCTGCTGGTCAGATTCGGTACGCTTTTACGATGATATGCTAGCAGGGTTGTGATGCGGCATTGTGCATATAAGAATTAGAGTAACTGATTGTATATTTCCACCACTTACACTAGTTCGGTCATTGGTGCCGTCGTCGACGTCCAGTTCGAGCAGGAGAACCTCCCCGCCATCTTGAACGCTTTGGAAGTCCAGGACCACTCTGGTGGCCGTCTTGTTCTCGAAGTTGCCCAGCACTTGGGTGAGAACACTGTCCGTACCATTGCCATGGACGGTACTGAAGGTACAGTAATCGATCGCATAGGAGTAGGATGAGTCCCTTAGAGTGAAGGAAGAACAGAGGGGATTTGGTGTTTTTAGAGGAAGATGATGGTTGCTTACGCGTGAAATAAACACGCGTCTTTTTTAATAGGTCTTGTCCGTGGCCAGAAGGTCATCGACACTGGTGCTCCCATCACCATTCCCGTCGGTAGCGAAGTCTTGGGCCGTATCATCAACGTCATTGGTGAGCCCATTGACGAGCGTGGCCCCATCAAGTCCAAGAGCTCGCGTCCCATCCACGCCGAAGCCCCCGAGTTCGTTGACCAATCGCCCACTCCCGAAATTTTGGAGACCGGTATCAAGGTCGTCGACTTGCTTGCCCCTTACGCCCGTGGTGGTAAGATTGGTCTTTTCGGTGGTGCCGGTGTCGGCAAGACTGTGTTGATTCAAGAATTGATCAACAACATTGCCAAGGCCCACGGTGGTTACTCCATCTTCTGTGGTGTCGGTGAGCGTACTCGTGAGGGTAACGATCTGTACCACGAAATGATTTCCACCGGTGTCATTAAGCTCGAAGGCGAATCCAAGTGTGCCTTGGTCTTCGGTCAGATGAACGAACCCCCAGGAGCCCGTGCCCGTGTTGCCTTGACCGGTTTGACCATTGCCGAATACTTCCGTGACGAAGAAGGCCAGGATGTGTTGCTCTTCATTGACAACATTTTCCGTTTCACCCAGGCCGGTTCTGAGGTGTCTGCCCTGTTGGGTCGTATCCCCTCCGCTGTCGGTTACCAGCCCACTCTTTCCACTGACATGGGTGGTATGCAAGAGCGTATCACCACCACCAAGAACGGTTCCATTACCTCCGTCCAGGCCGTCTACGTGCCCGCTGATGATTTGACCGATCCTGCCCCCGCCACCACCTTCGCCCATTTGGACGCCACCACTGTCTTGTCGCGTTCGATTGCCGAATTGGGTATCTACCCCGCTGTCGATCCCCTTGACTCCAAGTCGCGTATCTTGGATCCCCGTATCGTTGGTGACGAGCACTACGCCGTTGCCACCGGTGTCCAGCAGATCCTCCAGAACTACAAGTCGTTGCAGGATATCATTGCCATTTTGGGTATGGATGAATTGTCCGAAGAAGACAAGTTGGTTGTCGAGCGTGCCCGTAAGATCCAGCGTTTCTTGTCGCAGCCCTTCGCTGTCGCTCAGGTCTTCACTGGCTACGAGGGTCGTCTCGTCAAGCTCCAGGATACCATCCGCTCCTTCAAGGAAATCTTGGACGGCAAGCACGATGCTCTCCCCGAAACCGCCTTCTACATGCAGGGTGATATTAGCGATGTCATCAAGCGTTCCGAGCAAATCGCCAAGGAAATGGGCGGCCAGTAAATTAGTCATCCATAAAAAACCTAAAATCCATTTCTCTTTTCCTGCGCAACTCTCAAAAACATGTAATTATGGGGCTTTCTTAGAACTGTGAATACAATTCAAACCAAAAAATTGATTTAATATGTTCCCAAACTGGCAATCGTTCTATTGCATTCTAACGCTATGCGTATATTGTATTTAATCCGTGTGCATTTGCAAAGTCATCCATCGTCTACAGCTAATACGTTCTAATGCTGCCAAGTCCCATATATTGAGTTTTACTACTGACAGCTTTGCTCTTTCCTTTCATCAGTTTTACAGTAAGTTTGTCATATACATTTGCTTAATTGTGGTTGTTCGCTACGTTTCTTAGTTGTACACATCGTTCTCTTCCGTTAAAAACCAGCAAGGACATATTTTTGTATTCTTATTGACCCGCCGAGCAATTAACAAATACAGGCAGACAGTATAGCTACTATATTGTGTCCTTGCTTCTCGTAATGACTTGTATGACAGCGTCATACTCACATAACATATTCCTAGTTACAGTAGTACTTTGAATTTCTTGCTGATTGTATCTCGATTCTCTTGAGTGTTGCTATACGATTGATTCATCATCGAGCTTTATTGAGGTAGTTATTAGTTGGTTGGTGTTTTGGTGTATCTATCAATTCTAACGCACATGGTACAGTAGTGAATTCTGTATCAAGTCCTGTAGCTGTCACTGACCCGATCCCACCTCGACAGGCGCCTTTCGACCGTTGCAAAGCTTGGAGGGTCATTTAGCCGAAAGGCGACAAAAGATAATTTGTACTTTCCAGTTCCATGACTTTTTGCATCGCGATCATCAGCAGCATCTTGCTTCTCTTCTGCTTTGTAAATACAACAAGTATTACCTTCAATAAGAACTAACTCCAGAGGAAACTATACCATCTTGGCTAGTACCCGTATTATATCGCCCCAACCTGAACAATACAGTTGCACTACAGAGTCAAGGTCCTGTCTTTGTCTTCTGACACATTTCTTCATCATCATTGCGACTTTTCTCGCGTAAGAACTTATATATAAAGAGAGCACATTTTGCAATTGGCTGGTTTGCCCGCTTCTGTTCGGTCACTCAAAAGAAAAAGTCCAGCATGAAAAACACCCATTTTTGACAGGTGCTTCTTCTACCTGTTTCTGCTGATGAATCAGTATTGCTATGGCGTCACTGCAAAATCAGGCACACTCCGGTTTTTTACTTGTCATGTCATTTTATGCACTCCATTCCTTTCCCTTTACCGTACACGCGTAGACTTCCTCTTTCTCCTCCTTCTTTCATCCTTTTTCTTTTTAGCAACGCTGGTTTTATATATTTTGACATTGCCCTGAATAAGTTGTCATCTCCGCTTTGTGCTACCAAAGGTTTCACTCCACATTATGCAAACTGCCTTCTTCAAAGATTTTAAATGAGAAGGAGTGTAAGTGGTTCAGAATGAAAGTGGGACAATGAGTTGGAAAATGTGAAATGATTGTACAAGAATGGCTCAAGAGAGCTCGTAACACTTTATAAGTGTTTTTAATCAGCATTCGCTTCTTCAATGTTTTTCTTAGTTGTTCTTTCATCTCTGCAAGTTGATGCACTTTGTATATGAGTGTTGTCAGTACATAGCAGGATGGTCGTAAGTAATAAGAAGAGCACCATGGTAGTGACGTTGAGTGTATTGAGGGGTTGATTTATTGGAAGGATTGATGTTCATTATGGCTACCATCTTGGTTTGGATTTAGCATAGGGTGCATGCCACTATTTTTCCTTTGTTGACTCAAATGTACGTATGAATCGATCTTCTTTTTATTTATCGGTAGCGTTGGACAATGATTGATGACAAAGTGTGGATCGCTTACTTATATCCACCTTTTTCTCCTCAAAAGAACGACCCGTTGCTTTCCTACTGCTGCTCGTCTCACAAGCTCACGTTGCCTGATGGCTATGATCTTGCTGCTACTGCTCTGACCGAGGCCATGAACCGTAATATTCAGGTACATAGTGGATGCGTAATTATCTCGGTGATCCACATTGCAGCAGTCCGCTCATGTCGTAGTCACTGCTATTGCTGGTCGATGCTGGACCCGACAATAATTCAAGAAGCTGTCGCAATGTCAAAACGCATCGACCGTCCATCTGTTTACAAGCGGGTAACTCAAGTCATTTTATCTTTTGTCCATTTCAAGAAACAAGTCTGCTACAGTATCGAAATTATCTTGTCCAAGCTGCTGCTTCTCATGGCCAAGTTCATATCACACACTTTTTGTGTTGCTTTTGCTGTTGTCAGGTTCGTTTGAGCCTACTACTGTGGCGTGGTGTGGCCATCCAAAAACTCAAATTACTGTTTCAAACTTACAAGGTCTGAAAGGTCCTTTTAAATGTCTACAAGACTGCAAACGGCTGCAAACGACGATTTGTAGCTTTCGGATCCTGAATCCAAGGCAAGTGGGCGCGATTATTACACACAGATCGTCCAATACGACAACTGATAGTCTTTTTTTCTGTAGTCTCACATACGATCTTTAACTCACTGAGGGTCAGTTTTAGGTCTGACGGCGATCGGGTAGAGATTCGACGAAGAGTTCGCTTGTTAAGGTTGTCAAAATAGACAACATGGAGCAATACATGTCCGTTCAGAACAACATGACATGAGTTTAATCTGCACCATCAACCGAAGCCTGACTCGATCAAGAACATCAACGAGAAGAGAAGCAGGTAGAGCAGAGATAAAAAATAATTCCCACAGTTGAAGAAGCTGCCACCATTATCCACCAAGATCCATCCATATTGGAGTCACTACCAATAGCATGTACAAGAGGCAGTATCAGCACACAGACCAGTAGGTGGTATAGGCATTTGCAGATTCTGTCGCGGCTGACAGCACAATGCAAGAGGATAAGCTGATCTTAACAAGGTTGGCTCGCTGGCTTCCCATCATGTATGATCACGATAGTATACAATATTATAGACATCTTCATCAATTGTTTCCTCTTTGCGTTCAAAAACTGAAATGACAAGTGTTTGGCGTAGCCCTGCCAAATGACGACGACCGCATCACAATAGCATATAGTAGGGAAATCGATGTAAATCACTTGATTCATGGAACTGTATCGCTGAGTGGTGGCTCTCCTTCCTTGCTTTCTCTCTCTCTCTCTCTCTCTCTCTCTCTGTGTAGAGCTTCAAAAAGGCTGACTGCGTTCAACTTGCATACAGAAATAATGAGCAAAAAGTTCAGTGAGCGGTATTTTGGGATACAACACCCTTTTCTGCATCCCACGATGCGCGCACCCAAAGCAAGACAAGGACCTTTTGTTAAGAAGACTAGCTAGAATATCCGCAAATTGCGGTGTAATTGTCGTTGCTCCCCCATCTCCCGCATAACAGCCAACCCCTATTCAGTAGTATTCACCCCACCTATCTCTTATCATAGCTAAGAAACTTCAAACAGCAATCCGTCGTAATTTAATAAACCATACATGCTGAAACAAGATCGACCGCCTGTCAACGTACGCAATGTGCTGCTTCTTCACTTGAAATGCAATTTGGACAGTAGCGGATCAAGAAAATCCACAAGTACATGTCATCACCTGAAAGAATCAGGCTCTTCATCAACAGGACTATCGCTACAGCGGAGATCAAGTAGAGCAAAACTACAGTCGATATCATTTCCCAGTACGGGCAGTCTGTATAAAACGCGTAAACACTCATTTGATTATGCTGCTAGAACACTGACAGGCCACAAAGGTCGCGTCGCATTGACATGGCGGGTGTCTTAATAAAAATCTAGAGAGAACAATGAGCTGCATACGGTGCACACACTTTCAGTATCGCAGCGAACCGTGCTCATAGACAACACCAACCATCACCATCTCATGCAAGTCACTGCCCTTTATGACTATGCTATGAAAGAGAAAGCCATGTGATGAGCATGCTGCGGCGGTTGGGCGGAGGCTAAAAAAAAAGCAAGATAAAAGAACTGGCCTATCTCACTTTTTTCCTTTCCTTTCCTTTCCTCTCCAACTTTTTTTCACACATACAAACGGCTGCTTGCTCACTCTCACCCGGTCCCCTAGATTCCCTCACCCATCCTTCAGGGGACGCCTACGACTGCTTCTTTGGGGAGAGAAGAAGCAGGTTGGTAGGGTTGGCTATTGGCAGTGCAGTGTTGCGCCTTTTGCATATGCGAGTATAACCGGCTCCCACAAAGTAGCTAGAAGAACAACTGCTAATAAAAACTATACCTCCACTACGCCGACTCGTTGCCTTTCCCGCACCCTGTCTTGTCCGCCTTTTTTCCCTTTTCTTTATCGTTCATTGTCACTCTTTTTGTAATTAGGATAGAAAGTACCCGGCTACTAACAGTTCCTTTTTTACTCTACTCTGGGGCACCCCGAAAGCCCCTGGATGGTCCCCCCGAGAGTGAAGCAAGCAAATACGCGTGTGTGTGTGTGAAAAACCATATCTCCCCGATAAGCCCGTGAGGGCAAGATCTCACCACTTTAACTGCTAATGACGTGTGTTTTCTTTTTAAAAGAAGCGCATTGTCATTGGGACATAATCTAAAAGAAAAGAAAATGATATAAAAAAGAGCAGTCGTTGTGAGTGTCGTCAGTGCTTGTGGAAAGAGACACAACCTGAATCAACGTTGCCAAATGACAACAATCCGAAACGAATGACGTGGATCACACTCGATTGCCTCCCGCAATTTAAATAAAAGAATAATAGCCTTGAAGCAGTGCTTCAAACAAGCGTGTCATTCCTAATCGTCCTTTATGGATGAGCTGTTTCTTTCCCTTCGTGTGTTCGAACGATTCTACAAATGTTGATCGTGGAACACACTCAAGCAGTTCGTCGCTCATCACTTGGAACTATTTGAACCAGTATGACATATGGTAGCACGGACACATATATACATAGACGCTCAATGTATATAGTCATTGTTTTTTGACATGCTGATATGCGGCCGTGTTAAGATCGCCGCTTCAATCCTTGCATGTCAGACCAGCGATAAACTGTTGTGATAGGGCTATGAGATTCTCATACTAGATAGTCATCGGTTTGCTGTTTGCGCTTAAGCAATAGTCAAGAGCCCTTTTTCAGGTTGAATATACTCTATTTAGAACAAATGGGTTTGTGTGATAACAATCAGAAAATTTGCCCACTACGTTACGCGTCAGGGTTGCTGTGAAATGTAACATTATCGGTGTGCGGATCACGCGGTATACAAAAGTCATGGAGACAGTAAATCACAACGTACCAACGAGACCAACACGTACTCTAACGTTTCTTAACGCGTTTTTTTGATACAGAAATTGAATGCTTTATAAAGTCACGCGTGAACAGAAGATCAGAAGTTAGCCTTACAGGCTTCGTAAGAGATTGTTCAGCAATTATTAGTTAAGATTCTTTTTCTGGAAGCAAGTACAAAGACGTTTTGGACAAATAATCTTGGAAATGTAGTGACGGATTTAATGCTACTGTATTTTTTGAAATCTTTGAAAGCTCTGGAAAACTTTTACATGATTTGAAGGCTTCAAGAAGCATCAGATTACAATACTCGAATTTCGCCGTAGAACTGGTAAAAAAAGTGTATTGTATTTATCATTCGTTTTTTGAAGAAGATACATTAGGCCAAAGAATGTGCTATTCAAAAATACATACCGAAGCTCAAATTCATGGTGAAGGCACAACAAGCCCATACATAATTACAATCATGAGAAAAGTGTCCGAGAAGGAGAGTGATCGTAGCGTTGAAGCTCTACACGTACAGATCAAGGACCAACACAAACTAGAACAAGCTAGGACGGTTATTTAGGCTACATTTTGCGCTGTGAGCGTGGAAATTTCAGCAGAACACGCAACACTATCACGCAAATAATGAAGAAAACAGAGCGTCTTATATGTGAAAGTACTTATTCTGCCCCAAATTTAACTTTGAAATTCAGTTGGGAGAGAGTGTAAAAACAGTTAAAAAAATGTTAAAGTGTACTTGTCATCTTGTTTCATTAGAGAATTATATATTTCGGCCGTATGAGATTGTAAGCAAAGAGAGAACGGGAGAGGCAAGATCTTACTACTACAATAAGAAAAACAAAAATGGAGGTGAAAAAGGAAGTTGTAAAGAAGTAATAATAACAAACCGAGTTTATTTCTCATATGAAAAGTGGTTTGTTATTCACCTCCATTTTTGTTTCTCCTATTGTAGTAGTAAGATCTTGCCTCTCCCGTTCTCTCTTTGCTTACAATCTCATACGGCCGAAATATATAATTCTCTAATGAAACAAGATGACAAGCACACTTCAACTGTCTTTACACTCTCTCCCAACTGACTTTCAAAGTTAAATTTGGGGCAGAATAAGTATTTTGCTTATATGTGCTCTCGTAGCTGATGAGGACAATGTCTAATTTAGCCAATTATCTCTTTACCACAAGTCTTTAAACACCCCGGATCTCTCTTGAATAACATCACGAAAAGCGACACAAGAAAAGAAAGTGGAGTATGTGGGTGTTATGATCATACCTCGACGCCTACAACATGATCATTCTTCAACCATAATGGTTATGTATCAAGCTCCTCAACGTCAGCATTATCATCAATCATTATCATCCGGCTTCAAATTTGCAATGGCCCATCTTTCCCTTCATCTACATTTTTAAAATCCAAAGTACATAGCATAGTCGTTGAATAAGTAAAAACATCGATCAGTTACTTGTTTTTTCCCCTGATCATCTGGTATCCTACCTTTCTGCTCCCTTCTAGTTACTCTTCCGTTATTCATTTCCCAATTATCATGCTGTGTTCTGTAGCCATACTTTTCTGAAAGGCAGATCTGTCGCAAGTTCACTTTGTATCGTTCCCAAAGCATTTACGTCTGTAGCTAGCATTACCGCCTGTGCGACCTGTGTCAATGCGTTCGATATATTCTTTATTACATCGTATCATATAAGTCTGTCATCATCCATATGACGATGATGTTGCCAAGATCCAGAGCTACTACGTAAAGCAGACAGAAGAATCTTTTCATGTCACATCATCAATACATCAGCAATCAACAAGAAAAGTAGCCTATGTGCACGTCCACGTAAAAGGTTTTCAGTGTCTTAACCATGCCAGATTATATATTACTGGGTGCGATATTTTCTGTACCACATACATTCTCCGCTTTCCATTTCTGTGGTGGCGAAAAAGAAAAAAAAAATTTGGACAAGTTGCTTTTTCCCGCTCGTGTTTAACCTCGTTAAAAGCCCAGCGACAACATTTTGCACACACACACGAACGAACTGTTTTTTTCGCTCGACGGTAGAAATATTTATTACACGAAACCAATCCCCCGTGTGCGTTGTCTAGATCACCCTTCAATTGTCTCGTTTTCCGAAAATCTCTTTTTTGTTATAACAAACCATGGTCACCAAAACTGAAAAGAGTAACAAGCGTCGTTCGTCGATCAAAGCTGATCCCAACGCTTCAGCAGCATCCATCAAAAACACTGAGAACAGCAACACGATCGCCACTGGAACCACACAACAACAACAACAACAACAGCAGCAGCAGTCGCAAAAGAAATCGTTAGTCGTCTCCAAGACGACAGGTGGCAAGATCAGTGATTATCCAATCGTGTTCACCAAAGACTCAAAGTAAGCTAATATTTTTTTATAGTGGGACCTTGATTGAGAGCTAAAAACGAAATCTCGGGTCACAATGATAAGACTAATGCAACTGACTTGACGCTTGTGGGTAGATATCTCTTTGCATGCACTGGTTCGTCAATCAAGATTTATAGTGTTGCTACAGGTGCCGCATTAAAGGTGCTGTCAAAGCCGGGCTCTACGGGTGCACATAAAGGAACAGTGACCAATGTGGTCTTGAACCCAAAAAATCCCATGCAATTGTACTCGGCCAGTTTGGACGGAACGATCAAATTATGGGATTATAACGATGATGTCTTATTAAAGGTATAAAAGGTGTTTTTTTTTGGGAGGAGGGTGATAATTGATGCGTTTATTGACTTGTTGTGTAATAGACATTCCATGTTCGTCAAGCAATCGAGCATATGGTTATATGTCCTAAAAATTCAGATTACATTTACCTGGTGACAAAGATGTATGACAGCGATGGCAATGAAGGTATATATGTCTTTATGGTATGCGAGAGGTGAACCCCACCGTCTTTGGTGGATCGGAACGAAATCATTAATTGTGTTTGATCTTAGCAGCAAGCGGTAAAAAGTATACGATTTGCCGGTATTACATTGGATCAGAAGAGATACAACCGAGCAAGAAACGAAGAAACATTCTACGCACCCACGGTTGTCATGCTATTGATGTTTCTGCGGACGGAAAGTATCTTGCCATTGCCTCGAGAACTGTCATTGTTTGGGAAGTAACTGAAGGAGATGAGGATGTTACATGGTCACAGTTGCAAACGTAAGTTTTCAAAGGGAAGAAAATGCACGTGTACGCTCAGTATACGGGGGAGATGTGATATATGCTAACATGGGTCGAAATCTATATGAAGATGGCCCGTCTATGGTCCTAGAAGGCTCAAGTTTAGTCCGGTGAAGCAGTGTTTGGCTGTTGGCAACGATAGAGGTGAAATGTACACGTGCTATTTCACTCCAGATACGTTGAGCAAGCCAAGAGTTTCAAGCAGCCACTGGCATCACACTGGCATCCGAGCGCTTCACTTTATGGCGGATGGAATCTATGTTTTGACGGGTGGTGACGAAGCTGTGCTTGTGTTTTGGCAATTGGAAACCGGCTTCAAGCAGTTTTTGCCTCGTTTGGGTGGCGAGATCAATTCAATTTCCGTATCACCCGATCACAAGTACTACTGCGTCGGCTTGGCCGATAACTCTATTCGTTTAATCAACAGCATTACACAAAAGATTGACCAAGTGATTCAAGGTTTACAATATGGTATGAGATTTAAAGTGTATAGAGAGAAAAGGGTATTGATCCATTGTTGTGCGGTATACTAATTTGATGAGGGTTGGAAAAAAAATAGGAAATAACACCCGACCATCTACTGGCCTGGTTGTGGAGCCCCGGAATCGAAACGTGGTTCTTAATGGTGTGGATGGAAGCGTCCAGTTTTACAACTGCGCCTCGGATGCTCACGTAGCAGAAGTCGAAGTTGTTCCGGTCTCACGCAATCAAAGCATCGACAACAAGTTTGTACGCGCCAATGTTCAGCACACCGCTTTCCTTGCCAACGGTGAATGGATGGCCACAGTCGATATGCGCGACGATCTTGTAAACACACCAGAGCAGCACTTGAAGTTCTGGCGGTGGGATCCAGATACTCAGTCATATGCATTGCATACCAGAGTGGATAAGCCCCACGCTGGCAAAATCACATCATTGACGTTTAATCCTGCTTCAACCACCCGAAACAATCGGCCCATGGCTATCACTACGTCGGAAGACAAGACGTTCAAGGTCTGGCATTTTACATCCAACTTGGGAACAGCCTATGATCGCAACGAGGAGGCATGGACGTGTCGATCCATCGGCTTATACCGTCGTGATATCCCAGAGGCCGCTTCATTCTCATCGGATGGAAGTATCCTAACAGTCGCATTCGGCCCATTGGTGACCGTTTGGGATCCATCTGAGAACTGCATCCGACAAATATTGGCTCAGCCCTCAGAAGAAAAGATCCATACGTTGCACTTTGTTGGTGACAGCCCTTACCTACTGGCAGCTTCGGAAACACGCATCACCGTATGGAATATGTTGACTTGCACAGGTATAGCACGAATGTCGACTTTTGTTTATGCAACAAAGGTTTTTAAATATTAAGACTTTTGAAATTTCTCTAGTATGGTGGAGCTACAAGATCCAGGCATCACATATTGCCGTTGATACATTATCGACCCGAATTGCTGTCGTTTGCTACAACGAAAAGGTCAAAGAATCCCTCTTTGTGCTATTTGATGCAAAGTCGGCAATGCCTTTGGCTCTGTGTCAGTCGACTCAGGTCTGCAATGCACTCACGTTTATTCCACGCACCGTCAAGGATGTCACCAAAGGACGCACCGAACTGATTTGCCTTACCGACAAACTCGCTCTTGATGTTATTTCGATCGTTGACTCATCTGCAGCAGCAGCAGCAGCGACGAAGCAACCTTTGGAAGAAAAGGATACCAGTCTATCATTGGCAGCAGCAGCGGCAGAGCCGGCTGACAAGACCATGCTGGACGATATTTTCGGCAAACGATCACAAGAGCGGAATGAAAAGGCTGAGGAGGAGACATTGCGGACACAGACTGCTGCCAAGTTACGAGAGCAGGCGATGCAAAAGGAAACGACTTTGGATGGACGGACGAAGGACGAGGATCAAGGTGCTGTTTTGGGTGCACCGAGCCATGCATTGCCTTCTGTCGAAGCAGTCTTTGACACCTTCATGGGCGCTCTCATGCAATTGCGCATCTCGGATACTGCTGCTGCCAACGCAGTAGATGCAATGGATGTTGACGAGGAAGACGAAGAAGACAAAGCAAACAGCATAGAATCACCATCATCATCATTATCACAACAACGGCAATCGCATGACCAACAACCAGAATCATTCACTCTCGAGGAGCTCCCATCATTAAATGCATACTTTGCTGAACTGATAAAACCTAAAGGTAATGTCACATCATATAGCTAGAAAAAAGCATGGTTGGGCATCATACACAGATGGCTAACGGTTGCTCGCCCCACTTTGTAACGGAATAGCAAACGGTACAGCCACATCACATATTCAAGATCCTCCTTCATCGGACACGGATGTTTCGTCAGACGAAGAGGAAGATCCATCAGAGATCGACTGGTAGCAACAGCAATAGATATATCATTTCTTCTTGTTTAATTGTTATTTTTTTTTCTTAATCATTGTTTTTTATTGCACTGTTTAAAAATATTTTGGCTTGTTAATTTTCAGATGAAGTGTGTTGCTGGTTGGAGTGTGTTGATTGGAAATGTATGAAATGATATTCGAAAGGGTGATGGGGGGGTTTTGCGCGTGGAAGGGATGCAGAGAATAAATCAATAAAGACAAGGGGAGAAAAAGAGATAAGAGAAACTCTATACATGGGAGGGGGTGCTTTTTTCTTTTTAATCGAGATTTTACAGGGAAAAGATATCCATTGGAAGGATGATATTCGGATCGCCAGCTTCATGCGCCTGCTTCCGTTCCTCCGTGATGCGTTTGGTAAAGCTGCTTGATTTTCCGCAAACAGCTGGCTTGCCGGCCAAAAAGTACTGAGCCCGCATGGCCACGAGCTTATCGACGATGCCCAGGACACTCGAATCCGGCGGTTTGGCGTAGGGCGGTACTGGGATGATGTTCCAGTGCTTGGCCGGTAATTCGTCATATGGAATCGCTTGGTTTTCTTTCTGGAGCGTCGTTACAGTGACGTCCAGACGTTCGTAGACGTATTGTACTGCATCGTGGTGTTGTTGTTTAAGTTCGTTCAACTTGAAAGACATGGACTCGGGCACGGCGATGGATGACCGTAGTAAATGAGGATAGTCGGTCAACAAGAATATTTTGAGAGGTTGCTCGTGTTCTGCCTCGATTGCCTGCACGTTTTTCACAAGCGATTCTGCACAGCCCACCATATTATCCACCGGCTCCAATCGTTCCATGCGCCAATGAATAGCCACGAAAGGTGACAGTTGGTTTGCGATCTGATCTGCCAGTTGAATCCATCGATCATTGTACGTCAAGGGTTTGAGAACTTCTGGTTCTTTAATGTAGCCAAATCTATCCATCATATATAGAACGCGTTCAGATTTGTGTGCTTTTTTTTTACCCAGGTTAGTGGTTAGTGGCTACCTTCGATCATAAAACAGACTGATAACGTCCAGCGGAGGAACGTCGGTGTCCTCGCCAATGTAGTCCTTATTCAGTGTTTCATCACTAAGAGCATTCAGCAAGATTTCAGTATAGTCGCCAACACGCTTGCTGAACATTTCTGGATCCTCGAGCGTAAACCGTGTCCTAGGTCGACCGGTATAGTCGAGCATGTCCTTGAAACAATTTTCGGCCTTGTCGAGAAAATGAAAGTCCGGGTTGATATCCACCACGACCTCTTGGGATGTTGGAACAGCGGTGTCACTTGACTGACGCTCGGCAAGCCATTCACGGAAATCCTCCATGGTGATATAGTTGAAGAACCGTTTGTTTTGCTCGAGCCATTCGCTGCTATAATAAAAGCTGAATGGAAAATGTCGACATGCGCCCAAATGCGAGCTGTGAACGTTTGGTAATACGATCGTACGACCCAGCTTGCCGGATAAGAACGCTAGTTGTCGAAAATGCTCTTGTGCTTTGGATTCTGGTGTTGTAAATAGGATATACTTTGTTAGATTTCTCCACATACACAAAAAACACGCTGATTTTTTTCACCCTAAAAAAAACAGGCATTCTCAATTATTATTACCTTGCTCTGTAATGGCAATAGGGAGCATAAATCGACACTGTTCACGGCCACAATATTTCTGATCGATCTGGCGTCGCATGACTTGACGTTCACGTTGCTTGATTAAATCGTGGTCGACTTGCATGTATCCGTCTTGTTTAGTAACCTCGTGTTCTTTGGGTTTTACATACTCCATTGAACCATCTTGAGCAGCAGCAGCAGCGGTAGCGTCAGGCGATGACGAAATGTACGCCGAGTTGCGACCCAGATGAATTCCTGAATAATATACAAACACTGCTAGGATACAAAGCATGGCAACATAGCGTCGTATTGGCCGACCAGAGCGAAAGGTCATTGCTACTGTTGTTATGGTATCAAGGGAAGGAATGTAAAGGGAGGGCGAGAGAGAGAGAGGAAAGGTGGGAGAGGGAAAAAGAGTTGGTGGGGTTAATAAGAAAAATGGATGGAAGGGAGTCTCAATCAAATAATCGAGTGAAACCTGCACTATCATCCTTTTGACTTAAAGCAATGTATGTCGTTACACAAACGTTAGGTTTGACGATCACCCACCCCCCTCCACTTTTGAAAGTCGATCTGCTTTTTTTGTATCTACGCAACGTACCGTTGCCCAAGGCATGCTGGAGTAGTGGTCTTCTGTACTCCTCTATGTATAGCACTATACCTTTTAAATAATAGAACTGCAAATGGTTTGATCACCAAATAGCTTTCTAGTACAACAGTACAAGGTGGTAAATGATATGTAGGGGTCTTGATGTTCTTGCGTACGTATTAAAAGAAACCAATTAATTAATAAGTACCAGCTCTGGAGGACCTGGCACTTAGTATACAGCATGATATGTAGCTGATAATAACTTATAAAGTATGAAGAGTTAGTGAAGTAATCGTGCCTTGTATCTTACAGATCTGGATTCTGAGGGTCCTTCCAATCCTGGTATAATCTTCTTGTAGTGATATTCAACATCCATCTGCTGCTTTACTGCTGCTTTAAGAGTATGTAATAGTTCCTTGAAGAAGAGAAGGAGCTGCTCTTACTTTTTTATGGTTTCGATGCGGGAAGTGGGGGTGGGGTACATACTTACACACAGAGCAGCAGTCTGAACATTTCCACAGTTCCAAGTTACACACTCCGAAGCCCCTCTTTTCTTCCTCTATCAAGTCAAACAACCAAAACATGCCAGCTACATTTCAATCGAAACCGTATGGCAAAAAAAGTGCACTCGATCCCCTGGCTGCCAAAGTAAAAAAGCGACCGTTCATATTGTTTGGACTTCCATTCATTGCAATCATTGTTGGCGGATCGTTCGGTCTTTCGCAACTTACTCAAACTCGTTATGACCACAGAGATATGCGACATAGAAAGGTATAGAGGGGTTGGGTTCCTATTTATCATAAATAGCTTTTGTTGACATTGGATGATGTCGGAATATTAGGTTGCCAAGGAAGAAGCGTTGGGCATGGATCAAAATCGACGTAAATTAAGTTTACAGGAAGAATATTGGGTAAAGTATCATTTTTTGCGTTGTGTTGGGACGTGGACGGTTTGATACTAATCTGCATGGGGGACGACATATTATACAGCGATTACAAGCCAAGACGGAGGAGGACTGGGACCAAGTACGCATTGACCGACCTGAAGGTGTCGAGTAAAAGAAAGACAAGGAAAAACAACTGTGCATAATAGACTACGTTTTTTGCTGCTGGATGGCAAGAGGGGTTTTTTTGCCACGCCAATGATATAGTGTACGACCTAGCATACTATACATCTGAACATACTACTTTAAATAAACATTAATGCCTATAGAGGTGGAAGTATTATACCACAACAACAAGCGGAAAGATTTGGAATATTTAGATCCTGCTTGCTCCGGCTAATCCACACACAGTATGGAAGAAGTTAGCTGGTAACAAATGCTTCTGGTGTTCGCTTAAACAATTTTTCCGCTTAAAACGTGGAACACACACAAAAAAAAAAATCTTGCTTGAACAAAGCTGTGGCGTTTCTTGAAACCAGTACATTACTGCTTTACATACTCTGAAGAATAATGAGCTCGCTGGCAGCCTTGATCAGCAGTGTCAAGTCCAACACTGCAAACAATACCCAATTACAGCGTACTCTTGGAAAGAAACGGTCTGCAAGGTAAAGCGAGCGTTTGCTAGTTCTCCTCCCTGGAAATTCGATGCACTATAACAACCGAGCCCCACTTTACTGAATTCGATATCCCTTTTCATCAAGCAACGAGTCGAGTCAAGATCAATTGATCAAAAAACTGAAAAAGGAAAAGGCCGCACAACCTATAAAGACGAAAAAGAGCAGTAAGGCAGACGGTCCTGATGTTGTTGTATTTGACGATTCAGCCTTGAGCAAGCAAACAATCAGCGATCGTGCAGACAGAAAGGCTTTCATGGTATGTTTTTTAATGTGTTGTGACAGCGGGTGGCAATAAGCAAAGTAACCCCTGGCCCACTTTTTTGCTTGTAGTCATCAAAAATATCCAAGGCAGAAACGTTATCGAATGGAAAGGAACCAAAAAAGATGACGGAAAAGGAACAACAAGATGAAGAGTAAGAGTCCCAGCTTGGCTAGTTTTTGTGCAGTAACTCACTCCCCATTTCGGTATATATGTAGGGAGAATAAGCAGCGTGATTTTGAGTTGAATCAACTTTTGGCTACGTCAAAACTTCTTGAAGATTACCGTACGTTGTATACTTTAAAAAATGCTATGGGGTTAGTTCTGTGTGCTTGATAGACTAATCTTACTAAGCCTGATTGATTACAGAGAAAGATGAAATGACGGGCAAAGAACGACGGAAACACATGATGGATAAGCTGGAGAATTTGGGCGTAAAGGTATCACGGAAGAAGCAAGGGGGAAAGGTTTTTCTGCGGATTCATGTATTCATCGTGGAATGCAACGGTGTATATATAGAAATCTGGAAACCCAAACATGCCCTTGGCGATGCATAAAGGCATGCAAGAAAAGAAACGCGAGCGGGAACAAAAACGAATGCAGGAAGCCATGAATATGGGTCTGTACGACAAGTCCCTGAAGCATCTGTACACGTCCAGCACGAGCAAAAAGAAGGAACGTAACCGGGATCCCGGAATTACCAACGGCATTGGCAGAATGAAGGGTGGCACACTTATCATTGGGAAGCAAGACATAGCACGGGTACAAAGACAAGGAACAAAGAGCAGTAGCAATAAAAAGAAACGATGATGTTTTATTCTTCACCGAGCAACAGTTTAAGCTCCTGGATCCTGACAAGTCTTTCGGGTATGAGGTTCATCAATTCGTCGATTTCCTTTTCCTTATCCACATCTTCCTTGTCCTGTTCTTGTGTTAATTGGGCAAATTCTTGAATGATGTTTTGATTATCGTCGATTTCATCGTTTATATGGCGTACGCGCTCCCGAATCGCCTGTACGTCCGTTTCTTCGCGACGTAACGTTGCTTCCGCGTTTGTAATGTCCCTTTTCATCTCCTTGAGCTGTTTCTGCAAGCTTGCTGTCTTTGATCGTGCGTCGCGTAGCGCTTGATCCTTGTCTTTCTTCTGCTGTTTTAATTTCTCGAGGCGGGCTGTTCGTTCTTGGAGTTGTTTGGCAAGAGCAGCAATTGGGTCTTGATTGTCTTCTTCGTGCAGCGTCTCGTGTATTTTGTTGTCCGTCATAGGCTTTGTTGATTTGGCTGTGAGGGTGGGTGGCGATTTGGGACGTGTCGATGCCGGTGAACGTCGTCCGTGTTCGGGCGCACCAGGCACAACCACTGTGGGTGACGACAATACACTGCTGCTGTTGCTGCTGCTGCTGCTGCTGTTCTTTTCGCAAAGAGGACTCCGTACTGGAGAAGGCGTTGGTGATTGTTGGTTATTGAAGGTGGCATTCTATTCCAGGAGTGAGTATCCGCTTTACAAAAAAGCTTTTGTCGAAAAGAGGGATCTTTTTTTTACCTCATTATATACTTTAAATTCAGGTGTGTGTGTTCGTTTTTTGAATTGCAGTTCTGGTGTTTGTACCTTTATTATACCGAGAGAGAAGTTATTTAGTTGGGGTTCATTTGTTCCTGTTTGTTATTTTCTTTTCCGTCAAAACTTGGAGGTGAAGCTTACTCGAACATTAGTGACAGGCCTTAACGGACTACTCTCGATCTGTGGCGATGAATCGCGTGAAGATTTGTGCTATAAAAAAGGACATGCCTATTAATAGTGGTTCATTTTTTTCTAAAATTGAGATTGAATATCCACTTTCAACGATCGAAACTATACCGATTCAGCCAAAGGAGAAAGTTGTGAGGATGCTGGTGCCTGATTCTCTGTGCCTGTCATTGCTGGTATTTTTGTGGGCTATACGAAAAAATAAAAGTGTTGGAGAAAGAAATGATGCACGAACTGAGAGAGAGAGTGGAGCATATGTATTGTAAATGCAGTGTGACGCGCTCCAGCTGGAAATGGCAATTTTTTTATATTTGGAAATTCTATGACTACAGATATTTATTGTTGCTGGATGATGAATTGAAGTGGGAGGTGGAGGCTATTAACTGTATATGATGTGTGTGTGTGTGTGTGTGTGTGTGCGAATGTGTGAGGATGAGGAGGAGGAGGAGGAGGAGGAGCGAAGGAGAATGATGGATGGGATGATGGCGCTTTTATAATATACCAAGTTTTACTATTAGTGGAGATCAGGAGTACGGGAGCGATCGGGTGTTTGCGCTCGTGGCGTGTAGCTGCCCGAGTCTCTTGGAAGCGAAAGTGTAGAGTCGCGCAAAGGCGAAGCTGTCGAAGAACGGAAGGCGCCCTTGCGGTTGCTGGATGACAGTGCGCTCGACTCGTGATAGTCGGGGGTGGTCAAGTACACGACACTGGTACGGCTGTCCATGGCTGTCGAAGACTGCTGGTCGACCAAAGGCATGTCGTCGTTCTCCAACATGGCGTATTTGGCAAACTCCTCGTTGTCACCAAAGAACTTGGCCATCTTGGCGTGTTCCTTTTTGGACTGGTATCGGTGCAAGAACCACAGAATCAACAGGATGACGAGGACAAAGATAACGACAGCGGCGCCGAGAACGCCCCACAGCCAGTTTGGAATAGTGTGGAAAATGTCGGGGCCATTCACACAGATGCCTGCGGTGTTGCAGTACTCGGAAATACACTCGCGGTCCTGCTCACATTCAGCGCCGTTGTCTTTGGAGTTGATGCATCGGTCGTCGGTACAGTAGGTGCCGGATGTGCAGTTGTCACGAACGATGATCTGTTGGACAGCGTAGTTGTCGGCATCATAGGACACGTACATTGTTCTACATGGAGCCATAGCATCGTCGTGCGTGTTAGTGTTTCTTCCTCCTTGTTGCACAACACCGGGCACGCTTTTTCCTGTTAGCTTCCATTGAAAACCTACGTGTCTGAGCCACACTGTCCACCCAAAGGTGCTGCCTTGATGTGGCAAGTCGAGTTAAGACAGATCGGGTTTACACCAGCGCATTCATCGTCTCGTTGCTGTTATCAACGCCGTGCCACACAATGAAAAATTAAATGATGAGCTTCTATCCTTTATCGGGGCGATCCCCATCATTCATTGGATGGTTGCAAAAACTTACAAGCTCACAGAATCCACCGGCAGCCACCTTTGCTTTGCAGCCGGAATTATCGTCGGGGCAAAATGTGTCGCCAGTGCAACGCGGTGGGAACTCATGAACTCTAGTATCCCATCTACATTTTCAAAGGAGCAGCATAGGATAAGTAAGAGAGAGAGAGAGAGAGGATGTCGGTGGGTGTTCATAGAGTATATACGGTACCCTTGCAAGTAATCCGAGTTCGTGCATCCTCTGTAGTTGCAAGTGTTCGTCGCTGGATCGCAAAACAGGTAGATGCTTTCGCAAGAGTCGTCATACTGCCATGTGGCTCTACAGACACGGGAAAGAACCCTATGTTGAGTATTCTTCTACATATTCTAGAGAGCGTTCTGATGTGGGGTTTTCGAGAGAAAGCATGGTAGTTTACGAGTAGATAGGGCTTGCGTCGCACTGTTCACCGAAACGTAAGGCCGATGCGGTGGGTATGAACACAGCAACGAATGCGGCTGTTGCTGCTGCTGCGACAAGTACTGATGCTGGGATGTTGAATCGACGCATATACGCTATGTGATGTGAGATGATGAAGCGGGAAGAAGAGGTTGTAAAAAGAAGAAAGAGGAAGGAACGGGAAAAGAAGAGGAATTATGAGAGAGAGAGACCTGGGGGAGGGGGGAATTCAATTTTGTGTATTTTTTTGATTTCAAGGACAGCTTCCGTTACACGACCAAAAGCTAAAAAAAGGTCGACACAGCCCTGTTTCTTTTATTGCTCGACCTTCTATCTATCAACAGAAAAGTGAGCATGGCTTGTTATCGCAGATCAGTTATCCCCCTTTCCCATCTTTCATAGAGCGTCTCGTACCCCTCCTCCTCCTCCTCCTCCTCTCTTTTTTCAGCCCCCGTTTCTACAGCGACATGCATAGAAGAAGAAAGCGCTGTTACTGCTCTCTTTGAGAAAAACAAGTTGTTCTCTCTCTCTCAGACCGATTTAGCACTGGTTGCTTAAAAAGGCAAATTTACGAGCTTCTTTTTTGCCTCGTTTTATATTTTGCGGACTGTTCAGGTAATAACAGTTGTTGTACAACCGTCCCTGTTTTCTTTCTTTCGCCTTACCTCACTCCATCCTGACAAGAGTCATCGTACAAACCTGCCCTGGACTTGACCTTCTTGTAGCCCTTTCGCCAGCGCATTTCAGTCCAAACGATATATGACCAGTGAAAGGTGCTGAGCCTACAAAAATGACAGTAAGTATATTTAAACTTTACAAACCATGCGGCTTTTGGATTAGTGTCATTTCACGCATATTTAATTAAACCCAGGGTTTCCGTTTTGCTTGGATTCTCTATTGTCGCATTATAAAAGTTATCTACGGATATGTGCATTATAAACAAGCACTAACAGGGCACCCAGTGTTTTCCACATGTATTCCTTTTACGGATGTCTACATAGCACCATATCCGAGGAGAAAAGAGCTCAGATCATGATCATCTGATGCAATATGTATGTAGTATGCACACTGTACAGTACACAGTTTTCAGTAATGTGTATTGTCTTGTGAGTCAAATTATTAAAGAGAGAAAGAATTGTTTATGTACCTATTAAACAGCATTGTATATACAGTGCCCGCTCGCTATAACGATACACCCCGTAGAACCAAAAACCTATCGTTATATCGAATTATCGTTATATAGAATTAGCTCTCTAGCCAGATATGTCCGGCAAAAAGGTTATCTGTCGGTAGAAACAGAAAGAAAGCACTGGAAACACAACTAAACTAACGTTTATTATTAGCTTAGCTGTAAACATGAGAGAGAGGATAAAGGCTCTTCTTTATCTACAAAATGTCTTCGTGTCGTATTACTGCTGACAGAATTGCAACTGGCTCTTCTCGCATTATTACGTAATGTCCTAATGAACCAAAAAAGCAGCGCCAAACACTTACTAAGCGTCAAAAGCTTGCCATTGTGTTCAGGTACAAGCAGAGCGGCTGGACCAAGGCAGGCTTGCAGAATGGGCAAAAAAAGAATATAAGCCTATTTATGTAAGCTATTTGTTCTTAAATTTATAAAGGTAGGTGAAGACGCTGAAGAAGTGGAGCAGAGAAAACAGTATGATGAATAGGAACAACAGCCTTTGTCCTCGAGAAAAGTCTGTAAGCAGATATGGTCGTTGAAGACAAAGATAATGCTAGAATCATTTTTTATATTTTTCATATAAGAGGAAAGTTGCTGTTGAGGAACTACAAAACGCCAAACAATCAGATAATGTTGTATCGTATTTTGAAAAATGAACCAATATGTGCTTACCGCTCTATATAACGATATTTTGGAAAATTCTATCGTTCATCGTTATATAAAATGACCGATATTTTACTGCGAAATGAGCTTTGCACCAGAGAATCCTATCGTTATATCGAATTATCGTTATAGCGCGCGGGCACTGTACGTACCAAAGTGTGGAAGTCACCAATATTGGTTGATCAAAAGTGTTACTTAATAATAGCAAATATAGGGAATACGAAATCAAATGTATACTATTTACGCTTCAAACATTCTGTACATCGGTAAGAAGGCAATCGTAGTATATACGAGGTGATAGCAGTATAATGGCTATGAGCGGTGGTGATGAATATGGGAAATTATTATCACAATTGTAGACAGTAGTGTTGTAATTGTGGAGAGATCGACGCTTGGGATAGAGTGTTGGTCATTTGAAAGTCTTGACAAGTTGAAGTGCCCAGAAGCATATATAAAGTTAATAGAATGAAAATGTTGGATAGTATATATTGAGGTGCTAAAAAAGAAACCATATTTGCAATCCAGGGTAAAAAGAAATACATATTACAAAGAAACATTAGTATATGTATCTAGCTCACTATGTATACCTATATATACTGATATGTCGTATTATCGCAATAACGTAAGTGACACCTAATGTGAAAAAGCGAGCACATCGCCAGTTGAAAAGATAAACTACAAGTCGCTTAATTCACTCCTGGTATGACTGCACTGCCAAGAAGAACAGTGGATGCCAAGGGTAATATTCTGATCAAGCACCTTCAGCTTGAATTCACTGCTGGAGAAGCAGGACTTTCTTAGTAGTCTTACGTGTACGAAATATGTTGTCGAAGCAAACCTCAAATTACAGAAAGCTTTGAAGGGCATATGTAGCTTGGCATTTTTTCAGGAGAAATGTATAGTATTCTTGTTTTCAGTTTCGTCATAAGTGGTAATAGTTGGATTTGAGGAACAGAACCATAGCTAAATTGTATTGCTGTTTTCCAATAGGTTACTGACCTGACTACCAAAATTACGCGGATGTAGTGGATGGAAACATCTGCTATATCATGCATTCTCCCTTGATACTGCGACATATTACACAGGCTTTAGTTCTTTGCTAACACTTGTCTGGCAGTGTAAATCATTGTTGAAGGCGACGCTCAAGTCCTTACTGGAAGATGATGATGTATTCGTACCAACAATTGCTATGCCTACCTGACAACCAGTGATACCCGTCTGTATTACATATGACGTCCCTCATCTTGTCTATCACTATCACATCAGAAATAATATTTTGCCTCTAGTGTTTGTAAGTAGCTATAAATTTAAGGAGTACAAAACGTATCGAAGTCTCATAACAACAAGAATAGTATTTGAATGAACATAATATATACATACTACATTCTCAAAAATACATGTCAGTCGTTGAAGAATTATAAAAGAGCAGCAACATTAGCGTGCAATAGCCAACAATATCGCGTTCTGCAAGTCCAGTATACACATCCAATGCTACACAGCATTAATCCTTTAAAGCAGAAAAACAGGTTTCGTAATTTTTACAATAAATTAATCCCAATAATAAATTCTTTTTATTATCAGTTCTATGGTAGTTCTTCACAGGTGGAGCCTCCATCCGTGACTTCAAGAACCTTGTACCAACTTTCAATGCCATGCTCCTTGAAAACGCTTTGAGCAGCCCCAGCAATAGCATCAAAGTTACCTGTCGCCAAGGCCAAGATGGTGGGACCAGCACCAGACAAGAAAATGCCCAGCAGACCCTCGTATTTGGCAGGTGTGATGGTTGACAGAATTTCGGGAAGACCCGGGATCTGCGTAGGGTACACAACAAATTAAGCTTTTTTTGATCTTTACATTCACTCGCCTTTTCCCATTTTGATCATCATCACCCCATCATCTTGTAATAGAGAAGAAACTTACCAATGTCTTGCGGTAAGGTTGATGAATACGGTCCTGAACAGCGTTATAAATCAAATCGGCGTCAGGTGGTGATTTGCCCAAGGCAGTAGTTAGCACAGCCAAACGCTGGAAGTTGTAGATCTATAAAGACAAAAGTGAGGGATGCGCGTCTTTTAGTCATTGTATTGGAGCCGATATTCACATCCTGCGATTCTCTCTCTCATAGCTTACCACATCCTGACGTGAATAAGTCGATGGTAAAACAGCACGGGCCTTTGCTGTGGCGACCTCAAAGTTAGGCACGATGGCAACAGCCTTGATTTCCTTGTTCCAGTTGAGTCGCAGATAATGACCAATACCAATAGGGGGTTGTGGGTATGTCTTTGATACAACGTCATCCAAGAAAGTTTCTGATTCAGGGACGCCCTTGGTGGCTTCTGGATCAAGTTCACGCAAGTACGATGCGACGAACCCACCCAATAGAGTTGCTGCTACGTTGTCAGGATGGCGTTCGATCATCAAGCAATAGTCTAAAAGGCGATCATAAGACAATTTAAGGTCGGCGAGCGCATCACCTAGCAAAACACCAGCGACGACGGCAGCACCCGAAGAACCAAGACCTCTGCCCAACGGAATGGGATTGTGTACGTGAATTTTGAGCGGCTGAGGCAGCTGCGAGATCCCATTCGCCGAAAGGACGTAGAGAGCGATCTTGGTAATCAAGTTTTGCTCTGGTAAAAGTGGAACTTCCGTGGCCCCTTCGCCCGAATAGGTCATCTCAAAAGCCTCTGTGGCATCTTCGTGGTATAGGCTAACGTCGAGTGTCAGGTAGAGCGACAAGGACATGCCTAGCACATCGAATCCTGGTCCAATGTTGGCAGACGAACACGGCGCGCGAATACGAAATTGGCGGGGTGCATTGGCTGCCGGCATTCTCTTAAAATGTATATACTGGTTGTTTGTTGGGTGGTGGTGTAAGAAAGAGAGAATTCCGTAAGGTAAAAAAAACGCGGTTATATCTTAGCGGTTGCGGAACGGACCGTGGCTTTTTTTATTTGACAGGCTATGACACAGCGGCATAGATCCCTGGTTCTGATTGGCTATTGCCATACCGAAAATTATACACAAAAAGCAAAATAGGAAATAGGAAAATTACTGCAGGTCATAAGGGTAGTAGTGGTGGTAGTATGCAGGGTGGTACTGCACAGGTGGGCGTCTATAGGATCGTCGCGGGCGCAAATAACGCACTGCTGCTGGTGTGGACTCGCTCATCCTAGGCCGTGGCGCCGCTCTACTCTTGGGAGTGGTTCCTGGTTGATAATAATCCCAGTCCTCTACTTGTTCCTCGTTGTCATCGAATCCATCGTCCACTGCGTCGTCACCCAAAAAATACGCATCGCGCTCATCCTCCTCTTCATAGTACGAAGACGCACGACTACGGCTCCTGCGTGGCATTCTGTACTCGTCGGGAGGTATTGCTCTTGGTTTTTCTACTGAAACACTTCTCCGTCGTGTCCCTCTTCTGTTACCGTGTTGACGACTTCCGGGCCGTTCCATGGATCGTGCGCGGGGCACTTGTGGGTGGTGGCGATGATAATAATGGTACCCCATTACGTCGTCTATGTCGTCTGGCTCATCATCTTCGTATTCTATATATCCACTGTCGTCACGCGAAGGGTGGGGATGGAAATGTTGCTGTTGTTGTTGTTGCTGTTGCTGCTGTTGCACCTGCTCCAGCGCTTGGCGTAACTGATCCTGGGTCTCGGTGATTTTTTCTAGCATTTCTTTCTCTCGCAATCGATGGGCATGCTCCCGTTTCATCCACTCTTGGCGCTCCTTTTCACAAAGCTGTTGGATGTACTGGACTTGACGTTGCAATACTTCGACGTCCTCCAAAGACGTACAGCTACTGTTATTGGGTAAATGTAGCGGTTGCGGTTGTTGTTGCTGCTGTTGCTGTTGTTGTGCGACCTGAAGTGGCGAAGATATTGGCGATTGAAGTGCTGATTCATACACCCGGTGGGAATCGTCACTACTCGTTGCAATGGAAGTACGCTTATTTACTACCGTGGGACTGCCTTATAAACGACGAAAAGTGAATATGTCAATTTTTTTGTATGGAGAGCATATGTATTCTTAGGAAATGTCAACATCCGCTTTACCGGTCGGTGCTTTATTCAGGGGAAGAGGAGGAGGAGAGGTCCCGTGAGAGGATGACGAGGAGGACGTAAATCGAACACGATGTGGCAGCATAATAGGTGAAACATCCTCTGCTGTTGCTGCCTTTTCTTCTTCTTCTTCTTCTTCAGACAGTTCCAATTCAGTTTTATCGTTCTCGTAGGACTGAGATAGTACCTCTTTAGTCGGCGCAACAGCGTGTTTTGGTTTCGGCATAAATAAGACAGGCGATGGTTCAATTGGAGGCGGGGGAGGTGCAGCCACGGAGAGGGTAGGTGGAATATCCTTGTCGATTTTGCTTTGATGGACCATCTCGAGTGTAGATTTTTTCTTCTTTTTGGGTGCAAACAGTTTCAGCATGATTGCTGCGAGAAACAAGAAGAAAAGCAAAAAGAAATAGAATTGGGCCCAGAATAAAGAAAATTTGATGCACTATAATGAGTGAATTTGTAACACATGGGCGATAAACACAAGACCATATTCGTATCTTGGTGCTGCAGGGTTTGTTTTTCTCTGTTATTCTTTCGGTTCGCTGCACACTTATCCATTATTGAACGAGAACTTTTAACAATGAGATAGATGTCTTACAGCTATTCTCTTTCAGGACTTGGAGTAGTCGTTGTGCCCTCATTATCCGTACTTTGATAATGATAAAAAAAATTTACATGAAAGTTCTTTCTATTACAGAATATTCAGTGCTTGTGTTTTTGTTCGTGATAATAAGTCTATAAAAGCATAGCAAGCTCTAAACATAAAACAAAGTTGTTTTCCAGTTGCAAGCAGATGGAAAACAGGTATAATAAATGCCGTTGTTTGGTTAATAACAAAGGTGTGTGGTATTATATCATAGGAGCATGTCAAAAACTATTAGCGCGAGTGAGATATCCGGGCACATTTGAGTTAGCCTTCTTGGTGGTTTCAAAAACGTTCTCTGGCAACAAGCTGCATGTATATTTGTAATGATGGAGAAGAGTAGCAAATCAATTTACTCATGTATGAGGAGTACGACGTCAAAGAAAGGAAACAGAAGCGTTGTTATTCGGATTGTGGATGGTTGTTACATGGTTGCCGTTGTCTTTTGCCTTATTAGACCATGCACATAGTGACAAAGTAAGTCAAGATATACTCTCTCAATGTTTGCGAACGCGTATGTCTAGATGATGGTGTGGGAGGAAGAGGAAGAGGAGGTCCAGGGCCGTGTAGGGCATAAAAGATATGGACTGTGCTCCTCCACTACACGCACAACGAGCTGCGGTGCTGTAATCCTATTAGCTGGTTAATCTTTCTCACTTTTTTATCCGTCAAACCTTGCAGCCTTTCGTTCCACCTTTCCCTTTCGTACCTGCTCTTTTCAACTGTGTCACTTTTTTAATGTTCTCATCCTCAGTGCTCGATCTGCCTACGCATGTCGAATCGGCTGAGATGGGCTTTGGCAAAAGCCTAGCCTTCGACGCAACATCAACATCGTTTGTCGGATTCCTAAAGCACTCGTTGAGTATCATTTTGGACAACCAAGAGTCAAAGCAGATCTTTTACTTTTTACTGCTCAACTTATCATACATGTTTGTGCAACTCGCGTACGGTGTATGGACAAACTCGCTCGGTCTCATTTCAGATGGTAAATGTCTCAAAACCCTTTAAAGCACAAACAGCTGTTTCTGCCTGGCGTAATACCTGATTAACTCCTGTATACCTTTTATTCTGACAGCCATTCACATGTTCTTTGATTGTCTTGCACTGGCTGTGGGTCTGTTCGCTTCCGTCATGAGCAAATGGCCTCCAAACCCAAAGTACTCCTATGGGTAAGTACTAACTTGCTATGTTTGCTGTTATGCGCGTCATGGATAGTAACAATGATCATGATAGATACAACCGCATCGAAACGATCTCTGCCTACTTTAACGGCGTATTTCTGGTATTGATTTCTGTATCTATTGTCGTTGAGGCTATCGAACGTTTGATCGATCCACCAGAAATGAACACCCAACGATTATTGCTGGTCAGCTTCGTTGGTCTTATCGTCAACTTGGTGGGCATTTTTGCATTCAATCACGGCCATGGTCACGGCCATAGCCATGGTGGACACGATCATCACCACCACCACGGACACGATCACGGTCATGGTCACAGTGCCAACATGCAAGGTTGGCTTTTTTCAATCGATCAAGTGTTGCGGGGTGGAATCGTCAGTGATGCAAAAAGACGATAAAGGGATGGTGATACCACCGGGTTGCTAATCAAGATAACGCGAATTCATTAGGCGTGTTTTTGCATATTTTGGCGGATACCCTGGGCTCAGTGGGTGTGATTATATCGACACTTTTGATCCAATGGTTCGGATGGACCGGATTCGACCCTATTGCATCCATGTTTATCGCTATTTTAATCGTCCTTTCCGTCATTCCGCTTATTCGACAATCAGGTGCCGTGTTGATGCTCGAGCTAGACGACCATGTCGTCAATCAAGTAGAGGGTACGCTAAATGAGTTGACACAACAAATCAAAGGTGTCATAGCTGTCAACCAGCCACGATTCTGGCCCAATGAGGCTGAGACGCTTGTTGGATCGTTGCACGTGCAAGCACACGATGACGTTGATTTGCAAGACATTCGACGCCGTGTATCCGAACTCTTGATGAGCCATATCGATGGTTTAAAGGAAGTCTGCGTCCAAGTAGAAACGGAATCGGCTGCTCGTTCTCGCTTAAAGGCTCACCATCAGCATCAAACAAAAAGTGGAAGCGGATTCTTTTATGGAAACTCTCCTGCTGTAAGCTCACCCTCTTTTCATCAACACCACCATAATCATTCTGGAGCTACCACTGCCACAGCTGTCAACGGAGGTATCAACCAGCAGATGAATTTCCGGATGACAATGCCTCCGCAGCCAAATGTCGCTGCTATGAGTGCAGCCAATAATGGTAGCGGTGGTGTTGGCGGTACATCGCCTGCAGATCCTTCTCCCATTCCTTCATACCATCATCAACCTTACGCTCCACCACCTCATGGCACCGCTTCTACTGCTCCTGCACCACCACCTTCATCATCCCCTGTTCCCAGCTTAATGAAAAAGCAAACCAAAAAAGAATAAGTTGTGTATACATTTATCTATTCCTCCCTATCTGCTCATGTAAATGTAAAATCAAAACTGAGAAAATTGCTATGGTTTTTTACAATTCTTTGGATCTTTAAAGCCGTTGCTATATAGCCATTATCTGTAAATTTAGTAATCATGCGTATGTAGCAGGTTGTATCAACACGCAGTAAGACAAATTACATATCGTTGACAATTTGATGAGTTAGCTAAGAACTGAAAAGATGTCAGATCATCAGCAACTTTCTCGTTCTACTCAGTAACTTTTTTGTACCGTACTATATATAGAGTTGCTCAAGAAGCTATACATGTAGCGTACATACGACCAAAATGGCGTCGATGCGAAACTGAAAGCTTAATTATTGTGTGCCCCACGCAGATCCTGGGTCTTTTCAAAATTCTGTCAATCAACACACCTTGTCTGGTGCTGGTCCCACCATTTTGGACCTGGTGATGACGGGAGTTTTCAAGGGGCATGGCATTTTGAAAGTTGGCATGATACAAGATCTGTGAAGTCACGGATGATGGCTCTAGTTATAAGGAACTGCTATTGATTATTAGTAAGTTCTTACCAAAGGGGTATAATCTATTGTAGATATACAGAGCTTGTTTCTCTGTTGTAAAGGATCCTTACTGTGTATGATATGAAGCAGTCTACATTCATCTTAGCTACAGATACTCGCGCTGTATTATTTACTGTTATTGTGGAAAGTATAACTATGCTTTTGTCGACATAGCTGCTTGACTATGTAAGTAACCTCAGCAGGACATACTTTATTGTCCTTTCTCAAAAGCTCATGCATATGTATGGTAGCATGGCAAGTGTATATGTAATATGCTTGCAAAACGTGAGATTAACTATTAAACGCTAATGTTGCTGCTCTTTCACAATTCTTTGTTCTAGGTATAGTAATAATTGTCTGGTGTATGTACTGTTTGCGCAAAGCGAAGACGATGGAATCGGCAAAGCTGAAGGCTTTCTTTTTTCGATTGTCGACAGGTAATAGTTTTACTACGGCTGCTGCTACAGCTGCTTTCTCGATACATCCTTGGTAAGCGCTTTGAAGTAATCCCATTTGAAAATGTATATAGTAAATATCGTGAACATCTCCTATCGCTTTCTCAGCTCACCGCACGTCGTCTGCTTGGCTTGGATGAAAATGGGCACTACTTGTTTTAGGTTTTCAAGGATGTGCTAAAAAATTGACTTTTTGTGCACATTATCAGCGATCGAAAACGGGGAGGAACAATAGAGGCACAGAATGTATTTATCTTATTGGCGAGTATTTTCAAGCATGTTTGCAGAACTTCAGGCAGTTGTTCAAACTGGGGAGTACTGTATTGTGCATTTTAATTTCTTCGACTTTTTCTTCTGTGAAATAGTCTGATCAGCAAAAAATCCATGGGATCACGTATAAGAGAATGAGAAGAAGGGCTACATATTATCCAAACAACTAGTTTTCTTAAGCCCGTATGGATAGCCACAGAAGATAAGATTCACTGTTCGTATGAACACTTTCTGACAATACATGCATCATGTCTTCATCTACTGCCTTCCCTGTTAAGTGGACCCGCCTTTTGTGCTGAAGATTGCTGTATTTGTTTTCGACAATGGCTTTTCAGCTTGAGAGCTGCGCAGAAGTACACGTTTTTGATAATGTTTGGAACTTAATGAGTTTTGGGAAGGACTTTGTGAACTTGTGCTTGATGAGCCTACACTGTGTGTTTGAGCATCAATAACGTCCCAAATTGAAGCGTTTTGGGCCTTAAGTGTGTTCTTGAATGATTGAGTCTTCTCTATTGATTTATACTGTACAACGCACCTAGTTTTTCTAGTTATACGTCGAGCCATGTCACTTTGTTTCCATATAAATTTGCCCAAGACGCCTCGTACTTGCACTTAAAGCGGATAATTGTTGAGCAATCTCGTACGAAGCCCGCAAAATTAACTTTTGATACACTGCTCCACTTTTTCTTTCATTTCAAGAAGCACTTAAACAAATGCTAAAACGGCTATACAGGAAAGATCAGCAGCAGCAGCAGCCAACGCTGGTATTGCATACTTAACAATGTGATTCACATAGTGTCGGAGTTGCATTGTTCTTCAAACGAATAATAGTGTGTTTTGGTAGTCGAACCATCATCGTGAATATACTGCAACTTTAGGAGGTGTCCTTCAAAAAATCTTTCAGAGTGGTTGCATTGTGCGCTACTTGGCATATAAAAGGTTCCCTTTAAGCGGATTACCAGGACGAGAACCACAAGCTACTGCACATAGAGTAGCTTTTCTGCTTTGTGTAATGGCAAATTCTGAGTTTAATGTGCGCTTTCCATGTATGAGTGATATATTAGATGTATGATAGATATCGTTTGGGAATAGAAGAAACATAATCTGTGGGGTGATAGGGATAAGTTAATGTTACGCTGCTCGAATAATATGAACAGGGCGTCGCCGAGAGCAAAGTAATATAGATGATTCTCGCCTCCACCACTGACATATTTGAGCAGGCCAGCGTGACTGTCTTTGAACATGGCCATTCGAAGATCGAGGTGCAACCGCCCAACGCGGCGCAGCGGTGTCCTTCCCTCTTTCCTGCAGAAACAATAAACCTTACACACCATCCCACCCAGAGACTTACAGGCATCAAACATTAATCACATACAAAGATGAGTAATTCTTCTAGAGGCCGTGGGCGACGGCAATACAATGATTACAACAACAATTACGACAACAACAGCGAATATGATCAGCCCGCGGGCGGCTCAGACATTTTTTCTCGACTTGGCCCGAGAGGCGGCGGCAATCAAGGTGGACACAATAACGCCTTTAACAGTGGAGGAGGAAAAAGAGGCGGCGGCCATCGAGGTGGACACACTGATGCCTTCAACAGTGGAGGAGGACAAAGAGGCGGTGGTGGCATGCGCAGTTTTGACAATAGCATGAGCAACAACAATAACAACTACCATAACAACAACCGACAAGATAATTACCAGCAACCACGAGGAAGAGGTGGTTTCAGTGGTGGAGGACGCTTTAATGACAACGAAGACGATCTATTCTCTACGGGCCCAAGATCGCAACCTCGAGGTGGTAGAAGCAACCGAGGCAATCGAGGAAGAGGACGAGGTTTTGACGGTGGACATCAAAGTCGTGATACCCAACAACGATGGAAAAGCAATGACGGACGGCATTATACTCGGAAATTCGTCGACGAAGATATTGCAATGGATACTCCTGATGCTCCTGCCATGTAAGTGAACTCTGGTTCTTTTATGGGATCACACGTACAAAGAGAAGTACAAGAGTTTATTTTTTGTTTTGTTTCTTTGCTAACTGAAAGGAACTCGGTAACACGAATATAAGGAACGGGCAGGGTATCGTCGTGGCCGTAAGTTAACCAACGAAAACAACGAATCAAATCATGATTCATACATATTTCGGGATGAGAGTGTGAGATGATAGAGAGAGAAGGAGGGAGAGAAATCATTAAGCTGCAGCAACTGAGCGAGAGTGCATACATACACTCACACATTACAACACAGGTTTCAGGCCATCCGGATGGAGCAGAAGAAAAGCTTTTAGGATTTCTACAACGCAAATCAAAACAGCCATGGCATGCTCTGAATGTAAGCACTGTGTCTTTATTTTAATAAGGATGGAAAAGTCTGGAGGGGTTATAAGGGGAAGTGTATATTGAACCCCTTCTTTTTATATCTCTTACAGGTCAGATCGGAACAAGGAATCATGTACATCACTGTCGCTGACGAGCATTCTGCAACCGCCCTTGCACGCTTGAACAATTATAACTTTGGAAGCGCAGTGGTAGGTGCTCATTAATCGATAGAAATGAATGGGAGAGAAAAAACAATGGGCGTATGAATGAAAACTAACACAATATTGTGGGGACCTACATAGCTTGAAATTCGGCATGTTGATGGAGGTAGTGGTGGTGCAGGTCAGCAACAACGAGGCGGACCTAGCGGCGGCGGACGATCAAATGCATTGGAAGAGTTTCTACAAGAACGTTGGGACGCGCCACGAGGCTTTTTAAATTTGGACGAGCTACCAAAAACTCGACACACCATTACTATCGTCATTTCACGATTGTTGATGGTTGCAGTCGACTTATTTGGAAACCAGGTAGCGTCTCCTACCTTGTCGGCTAATGGAGAGTTGGGCTTTATGCGCTAATAAATTGAAAATATATATAGATAATGACAATATCATTTGCACGCAATGGCTTGTGGTCTGTCAAGCCGCTCAAGAAGTTACCTGAACTGTTTCCCGGTTTACAAAACCTATCTATTCAAGACAACGAAATTGCAGACTTCCGATCGCTCGATGAATTTGCAAACAAGTTTTCTACCTTGACCGAATTGATGATCGTGGGGAACCCAATACAAACCCAATACGATTGGCAACAATATCAAAGGTTCGAAGCTGAGACATTTTGCTGAAGAAACAGTCCAAGACTAAATGATGAACTCAACTATTTATTCTTCTATCATATAGCGAAGTCACTCGTCGATTTCCTTCTGTTCAAATGCTAGACCAGCAACCTGTCGGGCACAGTGTTGCACCACCGCCTGCTTTTGGAGCTACAGGCAGCCCTGCAGGGTTCGGTACACCTCCACCAGCACCACCAACAAACGTTCCAGAAACCCGGGCAAACTTCTTTGATCAGCCAAGCTCACAGCAAGCAACGGAGGAACTGTTGTCGCAGTAAGTATAGCAAAAGTAATTAGCAACAGCCTCTACGTTTATTATATTGTATCTTTACTCATTTTCCTTCATAAATAGATACTTTCAATTCTTTGACTCGAACCGTGCAGCTCTAGTAGACCTGTATGATGCACAATCTTGCTTTTCCGTCAGTGTGACTAGAAGTGCACTTGATGCAGCTGGTACCTGGGGACAAGGTTAGAGAGAGAAATCAAATGTTTTATATCAGATTGGTGAAAGAAAATGAAATTTGCTGGATAACTAACGATACGAATGCTTAAAAAGCACCACGACTTGTAATCGGAAGCGAAAACATTATACAGCGACTCGCTGCGCTGCCACCGACAATACACGACCTAACATCATCAGAAAGCGTTATGGTAGATGCTTTGCAGACCTCCGTCGCACAGAATGTTTTATTAAGCATTACCATTCATGGCCATTTCAAAGAAGGTATATTAGTTTGAATGTGTATGTTAGTAATATGGTATATATGGTACACGAGACGTGTGTTAATTATGGATGCAATCCTTACAAACTTCTAGCTACTGGGGCAAATGGTCAGGTTTACTCTTTTGATCGGGTCATGATAGTCGCACCAGCGCAACCTGGTTCAAGGTAATAGAAACGTTTGAACAAAGCAAGCGATCATCATCTGGACAATGGATAGAAAAGATAAATGTACTAAAATCACGTACGTTTTGTATTACAGAGCTCAAAATGCGGGATGGCGATATGTTATCCTGCAAGATTCCCTCATTATTCACAAATAGCTGAGAAGAATAATAAAACATCATCAAAGAAGCACCCATGTGTATATAACATTTATTTATCAATCGTCCGGTGAAGTCGTCAACTACATACTGCTGTAAAAGAGAACTGCTGTGTGTACGTGCGTGCAATCCTTCTAACAGTCGTTGCCGAATAGTATCATAGAAACGTACGTTATTATTTTGTCGAGTCCAATTAATTAATCTATTATTCTGTCGCTCTGAATTTGTTGCCATGCCATCTGCTGTTATGTTACTTGTTGCTATATTGACTGTTGATATAGCGACTACGGGAGCAAAATGTAGCTCTACTGCGAACTTTGTCACATTTCTCAGAATACCTTAGTATAAAAAAGATGTTGTTATTGATTTTAAAAAATTGCCACGAAAAGGTGTGTATGTAGAGCTCAACACTGGAAACAGAATCTGTTAAATTTGTATATGCATACCGCAGGTTTGTTTAAAAGCTTTGGATGCCAGTACATAAAGATAATAGATCATGCAGAAGATGAGAGCTAGCTTATGATAATACAAAGCTGAGATGCAGCTGAGGATATCTCACGTTGTGTCTTATGCGCCCTACATGATCTTTCTTATGACTTTTTCGCTGAAAGCGCATTTTTATAACGCTTTTTATATTATTAAGGGGTTCGTTGACGAAAAGCCCTACTGTGCACTTCTCTCTCTCTCTCTCCTCAGTTTTCAGCGGAAGCAAAGGTTATCCGTTCTTGAATAAACGGCGGTCTTCCTTATTTTATCAGCACACGCTTTTACGCTCTAGGCTCTTTTATCTCCTTCTTTTCTCTTTTAAAATCCCTTTTCGTTATTCCGAGGCGATCTTCCTTCTTTTCAACCTCCAGATTGACAGAAAGCAACAAACCCACCTGCACCCAATCGTTTCTCTCTCGCTTGGCAATCGCTTTATCGACAACGAGCAAACGGTACATATACATACACAAATCGTAAACGATGGTGGATCTTGATCTCGACGCGTGCCTTGAGCGGCTTTACAAAAAGCAACTCCTTGCTGAATGTGTCATCCGCGAGATTTGCGAACGGACAAAAGAATTGCTCATGCGAGAGAGTAATGTGGTTCATATTCGAGCTCCAGTCACTGTTGTAGGCGATATCCATGGGTAAAGTAACTATTATAGTTCTCAGGCGCCGAGAAAGAGGGAGAGAAAGGAAGGAAAAGGTGGTTTTGTTTTCTCGCTCACGGCACTCGTTATTTAATATTGTTCTACTGGGTTTGGACCCCATTTAGGCAGTACTACGACTTGATCGAAATTTTTCGCATTGGTGGCTACTGTCCCGATACCAATTACCTCTTCCTTGGTACTTACATGACATCCTTTTTTACTTATCCTTTGCCACATACTCTGGCTTTATACTAATACTTTGAGCTTTCACAATATATAGGTGACTATGTTGACCGTGGTCTATACAGCATTGAGACTATTTCGCTCTTGACAGTTTTAAAGCTACGCTATCCCGAACGAGTACAGTTAGTTCGTGGCAATCACGAATCACGGGCAGTAACCCAGGTAAAGAAAGAATGTGTATAAATGGACCGTGTGTGGAAGTACGTGCGGCTATATATATATATATATGTATTCATTTTAAAAGGTATACTAAGATTGGAAGGGATGAATGCTCGTCCGCTAAAGACATACGGATTTTATACAGAGTGCATGAGGAAATACGGATCACAACAAGTATGGCAGTATTTTACTGATATGTTTGACTTTCTGACATTATCAGTGGTCATTGATAACAGTATTTTCTGCGTGCATGGGGGTAATGCATATCCGACGCTTTCTATACAATTCGTTCATTTCGTCCTAGCTAATACATATAATTGTTTTTAGGCCTTTCACCTACTATCCATGTTTTGGATCAGATACGAATCATTGATCGTTTTCGAGGTATTATGACTATTTCATCATAACTCTATGCCGGAAAGAGGTCAATCATGCTGATACATGTCCTTTTTCGCCATCACCACTAGAAATACCACACGAAGGTGCAATGGCTGATTTAGTATGGTCGGATCCTGATCCAGATAAAGAAGAGTTCTCTATATCTGCGCGGTAAGTTTTTAAAGAGCGGTCCATCACCATTGTCTAGTGCTACTAGAAGAATCTCATCATTATATTAATGTAGTGGTGCTGGCTATACGTTTGGAAAGCTTGTAGTAGAACGCTTTCTACATCTAAACAATATGGGACATATCTTACGAGCACATCAATTATGTAATGCTGGTTACCAGGTACTAAAAAGAAGCAAGAACATCATGACAATATACAGTATAAAAGCAAAAAGACTGAATATGATATATACAAACAGGTTTTATTCGATGATAAACTTTCGACAGTATGGTCTGCACCCAATTATTGTTATCGCTGTGGAAACCTAGCATCAATACTCGAAGTAGGAGTCAATGGTGAACGCTTCTTTAATGTGTTTGATGCAGCACCCGAAAACGACCGTAATCCTCAACAAGCGCAGTTAAAGGTATCTACTCAAGAAAATATTACGAACTCTATACATCTTCAGAGGTAGTGGGAAGAAGATAGTTTGGGAAAACTAAAAATGACTTTTTAAATACTTAGGAAACTGAAATCGAGTACTTCCTATAGCAAAAACCTGTACATGTAACAAATAAAAGGGAAACTGCACACATGCATATATTATATATACCGTACATGCAGCCTTTGTGCTATATATCGACTTTTAATCAACGATTCGCAAATCAATGATCATACCGAAATTATCATTGAGTATGCTATTGAGCGACGTATTGGGAGTGTTCATTGAGGTTCTAAAGTACTTGCCGCTGCTGTAAGTCTTGATTATGACTAACAGATGTTTTGTTGAATTGGTCCAACAACAGTCCTTTTGATGAATGTACGGTAAAATGGGAACCTTCCAAGCCTACCGACAACATGGAAAAGTACCGCATGATTCTATCGCCCAACATCAATGCAGTACAGTAAGCGGTACTGACGATCCGGACAACCGCTGCAACATCATGTGCAGTGAGCAGAAGACTATATGAATTATCAAGTCTTATGAACTAGTAGACTTTCGATCGTATGAAAGAACGCTCCCATATTTGGACTTGCATTTACATTGTTGAACTTCTGTAAAGTAAATCTGTTGGCTCGGTGCATGTGCATTTTCTATATAAAGTATCCAGTGAAAATCATTACAACGCATTGTTCTTCGTTTCATTTTTCAGGAGTTTTACCTTGTGTAGCCTTCTTCACACAAACTACGCTCTTTTCCTCTTTTTCCAAAGCAAAGGAAAAGAAAACGTGGCCTAGCTTTTATACGTATATTCTCAGTAATGGCGTCAAGTGTACAATTAACAAAATTCGGCAATCAAGTGGCGGGCCATGACAAACTTTTGCAGTTCTCGACAAACGATCTCATGGTGATCAAGCCGTCGACACAGACCGAGCTACAGTTCTACGAAGATTCTCAAAATGATCTCGAATTTCGTTGCTGGATCCCAAAGTGTTATGGCAGTTTACACGCAGCAACTGAATCCGAGTTGCAAATGCTAGAACAACAGCAAGGAAACGGCCAGCTGGAACAAGAGGGAGCAGCTCAAGTTCCCTTATTGCCACAACAACAACAACAACAGCGCTTACAAGACAGTGAAGGAAGACCACTGGATGATATCCTTTTTTTAAATACGTTTCCAAATCAACACGAAAACGCGATACAATGCTGATTCGAAAAGAGCGAACTTAAAATGTCCTTAACCAATTATACACAGCATCTATGTTTAGAAAACCTTCTACACGGATTCACCAGACCCTGCATAATGGATCTCAAAATTGGCAGCCGATTGTATGACAACGATGCTGATGAGGCCAAGATTACCAAAATGAAGGAAAACGCCAAAGGAACCACCATCGAATCATTGGCTGCTCGGATAGCTGGTATGAAGGTCAGTTTCTCTCGTTTTGGAGTTATCATGTCCTTTCTTCTAAGCTGACATAAAGTTAAACAGGTATATGATACGACTCGAGGCGAATGGGCATTATACGATAAGAATTATGGTAAATCCAGGACAAAGGATGATATTGCCGATGCGATCCTTGCCTATTTCTTCCCCACAAGCAGTTACGCACACATATCTGAAGAAGCCAATCGCAAAACATTGAAAGACGAAAAAGCCGCCATCACATCGAAACGTATTTCTAGCAACAAGATGGAATGGCTTTTGGAATGTTTTATCGAAGAAGTATCCGGCATCCGAGAATATCTGGAGGAGCACCCCAGCATCCAATTGATTGGATCGTCACTGCTGTTCATATATGAAGGCGACAAGAATGCTGCAGATGCTGTATGGAAGAAGATGCTAGAAGAAGATCGGAAAGAAAAGCAGCAGCAGAAAGAGAATGAAGACAAAGAAGGAGACGAGGACGAAGAAGAAGAAGAAGAAGAAGAACGGCCACCAATGTATGATCTTCGATTAATCGACTTTGCACATTCTTCATGGAGCTCTAAACAAGAAGAACAGGACCCAGGAATCTTGAAAGGATTAGACAGCGTTTTAAAGTTATTGGAACAATGTTTAGAGCGACAACAGCAAGAAAAGCTCTAGCTTTCTATCCACTTGTCATGTACCTTTTTTAAAACAGATGAAAAATTACTATAGTACCTCTTAATATAAATCTTATTATCAAGATAATTCATACAAACACAAAAGAAAATCATACGTATTCTCGAGTGATTACTTATTGTCAGTGTAAAACACCGTGCTGAGATAAAACGCGTGCCGATTTTGAAAGGAAACAAAAAAACCGCGACCGACGCGTTTATTTCTGTTTTTTCGTGTTTCACCAATTCTTTTTATCATTCACCAACCAAAATGGAACCCTCCAAGAAACAGGGTCAAAAGTCCAAGCCATTACGAGCGCATGAAGATAATAAACATCCTACAAAGAAACGACGAGTGATTACAGCTTCAGAAAAACGAGCAGCAGTTTTAAAAAAGCTACTTCAGCAGAGTAATAACGATAGTTCTCCTGCTCCTGCTACCGCCACCAACACCACGAATGACAAAACCAAGGACGACAACAGCGAATGCGCCAATAACAACACCATTTATAATAGCGACAGTAACAGTAGCGATGAAGAAGATGATATACCACTGACAAGGCGTCGTGCATTTACCCAAAAACAACAGCAGCAGACACCATCGCCATTGCGAGAAATAGAATCCCCGTTACGTCGAATGCAACTTCAAAAACCTTCCAGTCACAGCACTCCAAGAACTGAGAAGAAACGAAAAGCACCACCTCGAAACCACATCCCGTCGCCAGAAGCAATGAGCGAAGGAGAATCAGAACTAGAATCGCCCTTACGCATAATGGAGATCGATCAGTCATCGTCTGATCTCAAAGATACGGAACCAAGTGAAAAAATTCCACCACCTCCTTCACGGGCCCGCAGCACTAGCAGCAGCAGCCCGCCACCAGATAACTCTATAGACGAGGAGCAGCGACGGCACGTTCAACATGAAAAAGGCGAAGACTCGTTTGAGAAGCGCGGAGAAGGTATAAGCATGTTGTCAACGAGGGGATTGATTCAATTCTCATGTTCCTGGGATGGATTGCTTGGGTCGGAAAGAAACATAAAAACAGATGGAGTTTGGAGTAACTATCACTAAATGACCCAATACTACAATATATGATATAGTGGCACTCGCGAAACTCTCAGCTTTTGTGGACATTATACTTGAACGACTGGATAATATAGATGACGATGGCGACGACAGTAATGCTGTCGCCGACGATAAAAACGCAATACTGACCATAGACGATCCGCCCTTATTGCAACCTTCAACAATGCAAAAGTTCACCGCACTTGCGCTAAAAGCAGCACAATATCGTGTTGTTACAAGCAATATCGACCTTATTCCTAAGATTGCACAAATTATCCGGTCAATGGAGCAGCATTGTGTCCAGGCAATGGAATTACAAATTATTTCGACATATGCGAAAGCACGAGAGAGCAAAACCGGCTATGCTGGAATTGTCAAAATGCTGGATCGAATCGTCAGCGGATTGGAAGCCGCTGCCATGATAGTCGATTTATACTCTGTTTGCAAAATTGATAAGCAGGTAATAATCGATGGTTCTTTTAGTCTGCACAAGACATTCCCAATTTGTTGACAAAACCACTTTTATGTTTGCTTAGCATCTTCCCGAAAACTTAGTCTTAACATGTATGCAATACGTCCGAAGTCAGTTGGATAATACCATCTATCCACTCATTGATTTGAATGGCTTTGAAGAAGACGCGACAAGCTGTAAGTGCGCTTTTCCCCCATGACGCACCTTTCCTCTTTATATTCATATGTCTTGGTCTGGCATGATCACGGACAAGGGTTATTATTGTTTTGTTCTTGCTAACTTTTCATCAAAAATGGGGATTTATCAAGTGAACAACGACGCGCGGGCTTTTTTGCGATTCGTGGAAGCGACACCAGTAGCGAAGAACCATCTATCACGTATGCTACCACTAGTCACTCACCTGTTTTGCCGTATTAGTAACAACTTGTTACCGATGGAAGGTTTGGATGACCACGGTATTATCGTCCTATGCTACATTGCTCTCGGTGCGTTTTTCCATGATTACACGGACGAGAATCACTCTTGCCTTGTGAAGACAAGTTCTACGACAGGCGGCGACACAATTATCAATCCTTATGAGCAGATGAAGATGGCGGCATTGGATGTCTTGCGTCTCTTATTCAACAAATATCCACAGCATCGGAAATGGATCCTATCCGAGATTCTGACCAGCCTCAACTCCTTGACAACGATGGATCGAACGGTCAAACGGTATCGACTGCGAGGTGGTAGTGGCGATAAGATCCATGTCATGAGCGCCCTCTTAATGCAGCTGGTACAGTGCTGTACGATTACCGCGGATATGGAGGACCACCGTCAATGGCTTCGAAAATGGGAACTGCGGTATCAAAAGGTCCGAAAGGAAGGTGACAGCGCACAGATCCAAGATCTTCAGCAAAAGATGGCGCAAAAGACAGTTTCTTTCTGGAAAAGTGGCATTGACGCTGCAACGGAAAGTGCTTCGTATCTCCTGGAACATCTTGTGTCAAAGTAAGTTGTGGGATTAGTTGTCCGAGTTTTTTGCTGTGAATTGCTTTGTGATCAATGACCACTAATGTAAAAAAAAACCGAAAAACCCCGATAGATGTAAATCCAGAAAACGCGACAGCTACTCAGTGGCAGAATATCGGGCAATATTAGAAAGCACGTTAAATGACATGCTGTTAGTCTTGGGCAAGCCAGAGTGGCCTGCTGCGGAACTCCTTCTGCAGGTGCTCAGTGTGATATTGGTAAGGGGATCTATAAATATCACTTGTATGTATGTTTTGTATGGAAGGGAATTCACTCACGGATAATGGCAATATAGACATCCAAACTCAAATCTAGAAAGTCTGAGCTGTATTTAAAATCACTTGCTATCGACTGGCTTGGCATCATTTCATGCAGAATCAAGGCCGGCATCGATTCGGTCAGCGGAGGGACCTCGGCATCTCTCACCCCCAAATGGATCTACGAGTTATACGAGAAACTTCCTTCGGAAATAAACAGCACCACTTCGCCGGACGTCATTGATTTACTTCACCAGTGCCATATGAAACTTTACGAGCATTTCGATCAGCCCAACGATACAGCACGCCAGGTAAATAAGAATCTCTAATGTTTTATATTGCCCTACTTCTGGTGCTGTAATAGCTATTACAGGCACGTATTTTTCTATCATAAAGATCAATTATTGAATGCTATTACCGAATACACACAGTTTCACTTATGCGCTTGGGGATTCAGCTATGCAAGTTGTTGGACGAAAGCGACGCAAAAGAATGAACAAGAATGGGGATCCGAGATCCAAGAAGCCCTTCAAGTCAATATGGGCCGTACCTTTTACCTCTCCGTCGCTGGCGGCATCAGTGGGCGTTATCCTGAACAATGGGCTAGCAAAAGGTACACATATAAACTTTTATGTCAAAAACGTAGCGTCGTCAAAACATCATCAACTAACTATATCTGTTACTTTATGTAAAGCTCCTTGTTCGAGTTTCCTGAGATGAGCTGGGCAGATCTTACTTTATTATCCGAGCTTCTCGTTTCGCGCAACACTTTATACAAAAGCTTCAATATGTTTTTGGCAGAGATCATGGAATGCTTTCATAGTGATGTTGCTACTTATCGAAACAAGGCTGTCAAGGCAATTCGACATATCGCTAATGGTGTTCCAGAAATTCTTGATGAGGTATGGATGGACGTTGTTAATATACCAAAGCCCTCCGCATCCACGCTGTAATTATTGACAAGATTTAATATTATCGATCGATACTAGTCTCGTATCAGGATACCAATCATACAGCGTATACACGATAGCTCACCCTCGGTTCGTGATGCAGCTGTTGAGGTTCTTGCCAAATATTTGGGCCGCCAGACCGATGTCCCACGTAAACTATACGACATTGTGAGCATGCGTATCATGGTAAGAAAGATACGTGTTTTCCTGAAAAAGAATGGTAGACAATAACATACTTGGGAAATTTTAGGATACTGCAATTAATGTCAGAAAACGAGTCATCAAACTGCTGCGTGAACTCTATTCCAAGTGCAGTGATGAGGAGCTCAAGATTGATATTGCATCAAAATTGATTTTGCGAATCAGCGACAGTGAAGTGGGGATTAGTGACCTTGCACTCAAAATGTCACAAGAAGTGCTATTCTTTCCATTTCAAGATATCGATAAGGATGATGGCGATTATTTTGGATCATCCTATGACAATGCCCCCAAAGCACGCAAAGAACGGATAAAGGCCCTCACCAATATTATCACCGGAGCCGCTTCTCGAATAGAGGGTGGGAAGACTACAGCACTTTCGCAGATTGTTCAGAAGGTAATTTTATTAGCATTAGCAGCGGATATTGACTTGGTTATTCTTCTCGTGACCAAACCGAACATATTCAATACGGTTTTCCTCTGATACCCCCAACCTACCCCAATGATAGACTCTGGATACAAGCAACGACAAATCGCGGATATGGTTCGAAAAGGTCTTCCAATGGATTATCGACTGCCTGTTCCAGAGCATGATGGCACATGACGAAGCTGGAGAGATGCGAGAATTCAAGTATTGTCTGGTTACTGCACACTCGTTCATCAAAGTCTGCCCTGATTTGCTACGTGAAACGCAGATGACAGCGCTCCAGCCTTACTTGAGTGTATCTGAGCAGGTAAATGACGGGTCATATCAGCTGAAAATCAGATATACACAAAGAGCAGTGCATCCGTCTTATACCTAATATTCTCAAAGGACGATTGGCCATTAGCACGTCATGTTCTCAACATCTATGAGGATGTTTTGCCTCGTATCAAGTATCATGATCCTGATTTTATTGCGCTGATTGAGCGTGTGCTTATTCAGCTGGTGGGCACAAGCCCCCTCGAGGTTCGCTATCCTTAAATTTTGTTCGTCTCGAAAAAGGTGTTATAATCGAAAAGTATTCTAAAAAGCTATGTCATCACTATTCAGGTTACGGCCAGCACTGTTTCCTGTCTTTGCGCTATTGTCGGTCGAATCTCCCATCACTATGGGATCCTGGTTCGAATCCTAGGGTCGTGCATAGGTAATAATGTCTGTTTTAAAGGAAGAGGAAGGGTAATCGTATCCAATAACTAAAGCTGTTGAGCAATATATAGTTAAATTGAGAGGATTACAGAAAGTCATTCGAGAAAAAAGCGCGTTGGATCGACCGGCTACCAATGCTACTAAGCTACTGGCTATTTGTGGGTTGTTATGCCAATACTTTGATTTCGACGGCAAGCGGAAGGAAGATCCAGAAAAGATGAAGGCGCTTGATAAAATTACCGAGGTAAAAAATTAAATAAAATAGCAACATCTCCACAGGTAGGGCTACTCATCTAACATGCTATTCTGTGATACTAGGGAACCATCGATTCGACCGTTTTCAAGTTACTGTTCTGGTATACCGACAAGTGGCATCAATATGCTGACAATACCTCCATACGATTGGCAGCGCTTCAGAGTCTTGGTAAAGTTTGAATAGCTCTTCTGAATCGCTTTCAGTTGCAGGAAAGAAAGTTAAAATTTGTTTTTTGTAGGTTATTTGTTTATGCGATACCCGACGCTAATAACAACCGAAGCTTGCTTGGAATTAATGGACGATATCTTTGATAATGGCTCTGTGATGATGCAAACGCGGCTTATGAAAGTGTATTATGACTTTCTTGCGTCAGAAGAAAACAGATTGAAAAAGAATGAAGAAGGTAAAGAGCTGCGGAGGAATCCATAAAAGAGAAACCTTAAACTAGCAAAGAGATATGAAAGTAACACTTCTTTAATAATAGTCGCGGGTGCGTCCTTGTATACGAAGGAAATCGATGTGAATGTATTGCTGGGAAACACAGCAGAGTTTGCAGAACTGGGCGTAAACGGCTCGCTTATGCAACGGTACCTTGGAAAGATCTTGGAATGTTCTATCAACGATTCGGGTGAACTACGCTACGCTGCGTATGAAGTTATATCTGTGGTTATGCGTCAAGGATTAGCACATCCAGTCTTGGTATAGTATCTTTTTTCCAGGAGAGACGGAAGTATTGTTGTTCTTCGTTGTTCACAAGATCGAACTAACTTGGAAATGCATGTGTCCCACAGTGTATGCCCGCCATCTTTGCTGCAGAGACAAGCCCAGACAGTGCTTTACGACACAAAGCTTATTACCTCCATCGGTTTGCCCATGACAAATACGGCACACTGCTGTATACACACTTTCCACAATATTTTACCAAGGCATTTCAATACCAAAAGTTGCATGCTGGTATCACTGCTAGAGGTAAACACGATAACGAGAAACTTGAAGGATCGAGGCTGCGGCAGTGTATATCATATTAATGTTTCATCCTAATATTCTTCAAAGGCTACCGAATCAGTGGTGGCGATACCAAGTTTGATGCCCTCTTTGGATTGACATTCAGTATTATCAAGCAAAAGAAAAAGCCAAAGGTCGATTTCCTAAGCTCGTTATTAAAGCCTTTTAAATTTGATCTTAAAGAAACAACAGTGGAAGAGGTAAGAGTGCAAATATGTATATATGCATTTTTGAGGGACTACAAACGAGACCAAACAGGATCTGGACAATGTAAAGTAGCAGCAAATAATGGTGTAGGCTAACATATGTTGTTGTTGTGCAGGTTGATGTATACTATCTCCGGTTCCTCGCGGATAACGTCATTGCACTGGAGCTCACACAATCCGACGAAGTGTTCCACTTACTATACCATATCAGCCGAATCCAGGCGACATCGTGTGCGGACCTGGTCTCCTATATCCAGTATATGAGGAAAAATAATGGTCGGTCCGAGAATAGCAACAGCGGCAGGATCGATCAGCTTGCGTCAAAGTCGGCGATAGCAATGTACATCTTATTACGTATAAAGGCGTCTTTGAAAGATCTCTATGGAATTAGTGATAGGTAATGATGATGTTAATTTATATCACACCCTCGTGCATTTTGTCTCTTTCGTTTAACCGCTTACTAATAAATGCAATTTCTGTTGCTGTTTGTTTGTTTGTTAGCGACATTGCTGAGTTTGACCCCAATGAAAACCGAAAAGCTCGGGCAATATCCAAGATTGCCGAGACGGATTATGTGATAGATTGGGCAGACGAGTTACAATTTTTCCAGGAAAATCGACTTGACGAAACTACAGCGACAGATGCATACGACCAATTTGAGCTACTGGCTATGGCCACGACAACAGCTGAAGAAGAGGAAGAAGATGACGACGACGACGAGGATTTGGACGGTTAATTCCGACGAGATAGAAACGACAACACATTTTTTTTCTGCTTACTTACTCCTCCATTCGACCTCACTTTGTTTCTTCGAATTGTGCGATGCTTTTTTAACTTTCGCATAAAAAAGAATGCAGGAATGAATCATATACCCCGGTATAGCTGGACCGAGCATATTTTTATACGAGAAAAGCCAAGAATATATCCATCGGACAAGCCGATTCGGACCGATTTCCAATCATCAAGCAAAATGGCATGAACATGAGCACTATGTACATATCGCAGTCACTAGAAGAATGCATCTGTAAAACACAGCTTTTATTCTCAAAATAATAACAACAAAATGAAAATACGAATATTGTATCGTGCCTCGCTAGATTAGCAGCGAATTGAGAAGAAAAGAGAGAGAGAAAGGTCAGGCGGGTACAATTAGAAAAAGAAGAAGGAAAACACACTTTTTTTGTGGGAAAGAAAGACGCTTCCGTTATAAGATACGACTTCCTCGAAGATACTTGCACTCTCGTTTTGATCCTGAACAGTAGCCAACCCCTTTAAATACATCATCATCATATGCATTTCTGTTTATATCTCTCTATTCTTATTTGTAGTGCTGTCACCGTCATTTCTTTTGGACTCTCTGTCAGGCCAGTGACGATAAGAATAGATCTGAACGAAAGTACCGAGAAAAAAAGGTATACAAACAACTTGGTCCTTTTTTTCTTTCTTTCATTCTTTTTCTCTTCTCTTATTTTATTGACATACGTAGAAAAACATGGCTCGACAGCCTTCTACTTCTCAACCGCTGTCATCACCAATACCGACAAGTCACACATGTAATACAGCAACCACTACTATCACTGTGGACAACAATAGTAGTCTCCCCTTGACAGACCCAGATAGTCTGTCAACCATTATTGATGATGAAAAGACCCCTATACCCGACATGCACAGCCATACATTAAGCAAAGAACAGCCACATAGCGATTGTCTGCCCGACGACATGGATATGGCCATGGCGCCCATCCTTACGACATTGCAACCATTGCAGGTCGGTTGCACATATTTCAAGATTGAAAAAAGAGATTTTGAAATTCATTTAGTTACATGATAGATGTCTGCTATACGAAAATGGTTTATACTATTCATCGTAGCGTTGCAGGGTTTCCTCGGTCCACTCAGCAGTTCGATTTATGCAAGTTGTATTGATTCAATTGTGTGTGTGGCACTGTTTTCTAATTTTTGTGTTACTGACATTGGACTTGTGCATGAATTTGCGACATTGAATTAATTTGTAGGTACCGGCGGTGCACGAAGTACGGCGTTCTCTCGGTGCATCGAGCACGTTGATCAATGCCACCATCTCATTGTATGTGTTTACTCAGGGGATTGCCGTAAGTAAACGTTACTGTCATTGTTGGCTGTTGTAATATTTTATGAATTGGGCTACTTGTGTAAAAGAGTCTAAATATAATGGATTTATTAGCCAATGATGTGGGCAGCACTTTCAGAACGGTACGGACGTCGCTTGATATATCTTGGGGCAACATCCATCTACGTAGGGTCTACCATAGGTTGTGCATTGTCTCAACGCATTGGTGTATTTGTTGTGATGCGCATTTTCCAATCGATCGGTGCTAGTGCAGCTCAAGCTGTTGGCGCAGGGTCAGTAAGAAAAACACCGGAAAAAGAGAAAACGTGGTGGTTCTTTCTAAAAGGTAGATGGCTTGTCACAACGAGTGCTTACGTGATTGAAATGCACACAGCACTATCACAGATCTTTTTCTAGTTCATGAACGTGGAAACGCAATGGGCTTATTCTTTCTTGGTCCTCTTATCGGTCCGGTAGTTGGACCTATTGCTGGAGGCTATATTAACGAGTGTAAGTGCCTTACGAGTCACCACCTTGATCTCTAATTCATATACACCGAGAAGTAACATATGCGTTTCATCAGATATCGGATGGACCTATATCTTTTGGACACTCGCTGGCATGGGCGGATTCGTCTTGATCCTTATGCTGTTCTTCCTTCCAGAAACCTCAGCACTTGTTCTCGAACGATGCAAAATTCGACGGAAACTGCAAGAACGAAGGGAAAAGGCTGTAAACGACAAAAGAAGCCGACAGCAGCAACTAGATAGTCTGCCACGGCCAGCAGCACCAGAAGCAATACCATCTGCTACATCGGTAACAACAATCACAACGTCTATAGCAGCAGTCTCAACGGCAACAGCAGCAGCGATCGCACCTCCTGAATCTATGCTGAAAACATTTACACGACCATTTACATTCTTAGCCAAACCTGTCGTACTCTTGGCATCGACACCGTATGCGCTAGCGTACGGGTTCATGTACTTTGTCATTTCTAGCTTACCCCATCAACTCGGATATCGATATCAGCTGACTAGCTCACAGATTGGACTCTCCTATCTTGCAAATGGTGTTGGAAATGCAGTGGGCGCCGTGCTCTCTGGCAAACATGCTGATTGGTTGCTGCGACGGAAAAAGCAACAGCAAGAAGAACACGGGCAGCAACAGCAGTTGGAGCCAGAGATACGTCTCTCGGCCATGTGGATGGGTATTCTGTTACTGCCTATAGGCGAGCTCATCTATGGATGGTGCGTTCAGGCCCATGTTCACGCAGCTGCGGGTCTTACGGGACTATTTATATGTAAGACTTCGTCTTTTGTTTTATGATTATCTTGAAACATGTGGACGGATGTTTGGATTGCAATGAACTGACTTTCGGTCATGATTTAAATATAGTGGGAGTCGGCGTTGGCATCGTGCAAACACCAAGTAACACTTACCTGGTAGATGCCTACAATGGGTACTCTGCATCTGTCATTGGTGCGTCCAACTTATTACGAAGTACGTTCGCAGGATGTACACCACTGATGGCTCCAACCATGTTAAGATCAATTGGGAATGGCTGGTCTATGACCATCTTTGCTGTTATGAGCATCATGAGTGGTGGTTGCATCTACATTGTGCAAATGTTTGGTCAACGATGGCGTACATTGAACGCATCATGAAATCCTGTCAGAAATTTGTAATAACAAACATACTTTCTTCTTCTTTCGTTGTGTTGTTATATGTTGTATTTGCTCGCGGCCATTTTCGTAATAATAATAAAACATTTGGTACGATGCTTGTTGTCTAGGAAACAATAAAAGCTTTACCTCTCCTTTATTGCCGCATTTGAACACCCCCCTTTCTCTCTTTCGTCTGCCTACTTTCTCTTTTCAACTTTGTAATCATGATAGTCAAAACGTTTAGCTTCTGGATCACAGTATGGGCTGTTGGTGCCAATGCAGCAGCTGCAAATTTGCATATCGTCAAATTGAAGGATGCGACTGCACACAAGAACAATAATGCAACTATAACAGGTAATAACCACAAAATATAAAGTAGCTTTTATAAACAGAAATTAAACTTACTCTATTTCACGTCATGTAGCAGCAGCATTTGAACCAAGCTCATATATCCGTGAGCATTATGCATTATATCAATCAAAGCAGCATCAGGCCGCTGGAGGAGGCGTCAAGATGGCAATGGCACCCGTCGAGCCTACCATGGATACCATTCAAGTTGGCAAAGATTTTTCAGCAGTAGTTGGATCGTTCGACACACCATTCACCGATTATCTACACGAGCTTGATGCCATTGATTACGTTGAGCCTAATCAAGTGTACCACATAGCAGCATCGATTGCAGCAACAGCTGAGAAACGGGATCGCCAGGTGCAAAGTCCCGTTCCAAACTGGGGCATCGCAAGAATCACCCATCGAGACAAGGATGATCTAAAATCAAACATATTCGACGATGCAATGTCAGGGTGAATAAAACATTTCTTCATAGTTTGGTAGTGTTGTGTTGCAAACAAGCGCTGTTGTCTGTTGGTTAGCTCATCTTTTAAAAATTGTTTATAGGGAAGGAGTACATGTCTATGTTTTTGACACAGGCGTCAATGCCGACCATCCTGATATTAAGGGCCGCGTTACACGAGATGCCAACTTTATCGAATACGAGGATGATAACGACGCATCAGGCCACGGTAAGAAAATTTATATCATGACGACCCTTGTCCGGATAGTAGATTCCAGCCATTCTTTTTCTCCCTCTTACATAACACATACTTGATTTCAGGAACACATGTGGCGGGTATCATTGGTGGTACTACCTTTGGTGTGGCTAAAAAGGCGCAGATTCACAGCATCAAAATACTTGACAAACAAGGCGATGGCTCTACTGTTTCTTTACTTCGCGGTAAATGATATAGGCACATTACATATGTAATCCTATACACTTGTTATTTATGAATGTACTTACCTGTAACGATTATTCTCATATAGCGATATCATTCGTGGGCCATGTTGCCATACCAGGCAAGAGCATCATTAACTTGTCATTAAGCGGCCCACCCTCTCAATTGATCGACAGTGCACTCAGCAGTCTTGCTCGAGAACGCAACGTCCCTGTTTTTGTCGCGGCGGGAAATACCGGCGATGACGCCTGTGCCTACACCCCGTCTCGTAACGCGGCTGTGTTTGCTGTCGGCGCATCGGACAACATCGACAACGTGCCTATGTTCTCATCTTTTGGCAAATGTGTACGACTATACGCCCCAGGAGTGGATATCACCAGTAGCTGGCTTGGTACTGAATCGCACAGTTTGGATGGAACAAGGTAATGTGTGGAAAACCGGGTGACAAAAGATCCCTAATATTATGTTGTGTTTTTTTTATACCCTTAATCTCTGTTTCATGTATACTAATGATAATGTGCTGTGCGTAGTATGGCCAACCCGCATGTTACCGGTATTGCTGCGTTGCTCCTTGGTAAAAATAACTATGCCTCGGTCGACCAGGTTTACGACACGCTGACTTCTATTGCCACCAAAAACGTATTAAAGATGTCACCAGCGGCTGTGGGACATGAAAATCACAATCTACTAGCCTATACCGGCATCGATGATGCTCTTTAAGTAGTTAGCAGAAACGCACTCTTTCTCAATGTGGCGGCTATGACGGATTAAAATTGCGCCGTACTATTATGTATACAGACTTACTCCTCCTCCTTAAACTCTTTCTATAAACAGTGTTAAAAAAAAGACGTAAATTTCGAATATGTAGAGCTTTTGTTGTTATTGTTGTTATTATCGATATTTAAAAAAGCAGATGTTCTTGTTGAAGGGAAATAAAAAAAAGTATGACTTTTTATCGAGGCCATGCACACTTTGTGTGTTTCGTAGTGTCCTATTAGAACCATTTTAGGCGCGCTCGCGTCGCACACAGACCCTTAATATCGCACCACAACCCGATTTGATAAAATTATGCCAAGGATGCAGTACATGGATACTGCTAAAGTCGGCGTAAACCCCAACCACCTGGCTATTTGTGCTTGTCTGGGTGATATATGTAATTCCAGGCTGCACGTTCTTACCCGAGTAGACAATGTGTTCCCATCACCCATTATCTCTATGGAGCTGCAGTGGTATAAAAGGGGGCCCCCGTTCAAGCAGCAGTAAACGGCTGTATTCTTTCCTACTTCTCGTTCCTGTTTTCTATCTTTTTACCACCATGGTTTTCCTTTCCAACGCTATTTCCACAGGTTTGATAGTGTTCTCCAGCATCTATCCATAAATTTGCCGAGCGTTTTAATTCTGACATCCTTTGATAATAACCGCATTCCTTTTTGATGTTTATAGCTCGTATCTCTGCTTCGTCTGAAAATGCCGAAGAGAGCACTGGCCTTAGAAGCCCTGTTGGCACTACGATTTACGGCACGCGTTGGGCAACTGAGGAGATCCCACGGTAAGAACTGAAGGGATTTACATGCATCTTTTAAATGTAGGCTCATCATATTGTACGCGTTTCATTTTATGTTTTCACAGCTATGACATGCCAATTGTACGTTTAGTAAAGAAACAACAACAGCACCGTTGTATTTGGCGTTTGAACTAACAGTAGTCTTTATTTTCGTTTTGTTTACAATGCTTCCAAACAAACTCTAGGAAGAAATGCCTGCAAGTACGTGTCTCCCGTTGTCGTTTGCTGTACCTAGGAAATCGTCGTTTATGTTCTATCGTACATATATTCACACACGCACACCTTTTTTTTCCTTTCTCTACTAAAATAGACGTCGCATACCGCCTGATCAAGGATGAGCTTGCGGTACGTAGGTCACAGCACCATTATTTCCGTTTCCCTCTTCCAAATCCGTATAGCACCACCTGAAACTGCCATTTCTGACTCTTTCTTTGTCGCATATAGCTTGATGGCAATCCAGCCTTGAATCTTGCCAGTTTTGTTACCACGTACATGGAAGATGAGGCCGAAAAGCTGATGACCGAGAACTTGTCCAAGAACTTTATCGATTACGAGGAGTATCCTCAGACGGCCGAGATTTGCGTAAGTAAAATAAACATCTGAACGTTGCACAAGGGGAAGGGGGGCAAATGATCAGAAAGGTGAGGAGGGGCTAAGAACGATGATACATTTAGAATCGCTGTGTCAACATGATTGCTCGGCTTTTCAATGCCCCGATGCATGATCCTTGCTCCGAAGCGCTGGGTTGCTCTACCGTCGGCTCTTCCGAAGCCATCATCCTTGCCACACTGGCCATGAAGCGACGATGGCAACATGCTCGTCGCGCCAAGGGCCTCTCCACTGAGAACCCAAACTTTGTGTTGGGCGCAAATTGTCAAGTTGCGTGGCACAAGGCTTTGCTGTACGTATAACCCATCCATTTCCGTCTGGATGACCGGACCGCGTCGTCGTCGTCGTTCTCCGCTCTTTCTGCTGTGTACACAAAGCAAATTTCTGTAGTGTGTCAAAAGAAAAACTCACAAACCCAACGGGCTTGTTAACATTAGATACTTGGAGATTGAATCTCGTGAGGTCGAATGTACCGAGGACCTGCTTTACATGGATCCTCAGAAGGCAGTCGACCGTGTGGATGAAAACACGATTGGCGTGTGTGCTATCCTCGGCTCAACGGTAATAATTGCTTTTTGTTTGTTGTGTTTTGCATAACACTCTATGCAAGAGCGGGTCAGAGTGATACATAAACCCTCTCTTTAGTATACGGGTCACTATGAGGACGTCAAGACCCTTAACGACCTATTGGATGAGAAATGTGAAGAAAATGATTGGGATATTGGTATCCATGTCGATGCTGCTAGGTAACGGACAATGGACTCAATAAAAGTCATAACATGCAAGAAAGCGCGTGTCATAACTAACAACGTACCCCCGTCCGAAATTAGTGGCGGTTTCGTTGCACCTTTTGTTGTCCCGGAACTTGAATGGTAGTGTATATAATATTCACACAGCATTAGCAACAACGCATACAGTATATGTACAGAGCAACAGGATAAATGACGCTAATCTCTGTCTTTTATGGCTTACCAATCTATAAGGGACTTCCGTTTGAAGCGTGTGGTGTCCATCAATGCCTCTGGTCACAAGTATGGCTTGACCTACCCTGGCGTGGGCTGGGCTGTCTGGCGAAGCCCTGAATACCTTCCACAAGACCTTATTTTCAACATCAACTACCTGGGTAGTGATCAGGTAAACATATAAAAAGGACACAAGTTCGTGCCATTGGAAAACTGTATATCTTCTAAGCAGATATTAAAAACATGTTATCGTAGGCCTCCTTCACACTCAACTTTAGTAAGGGCGCTTCGCATATCATTGCACAGTACTATGTGCTTATCCGCCTTGGCCGCAGCGGTTTCCGCAAGATCATGGCCAACTTGACTGCTACCGCCGACCACCTTGCTGAGCGTCTCAAGAGTACTGGCAGATTCTCTATCCTCAGCCAAGGTGAAGGTTTGGGCTTGCCACTTGTTGCTTTCCGTCTCAATGCACCACATCACTACGATGAGTTTGATATCTCTGCTCGTCTTCGTGAACGCGGCTGGATCGGTAAAGTACTCTTTCGGAATGATCACGTATATTGTACATGCGTTTGTGATCATGTATAGACTGATCCTGTTTGCTGGATTCTATTTTCTAGTCCCGGCTTATACAATGGCACCCAATATGGAAAGCATGAAACTTTTGCGCGTTGTCGTTCGCGAGGACTTTTCACGATCGCGTTGTGATATTTTGGTCAGAGACGTTTTGGCCGCACTCAAATCTTTGGATACCTGGGATGAAAAGGCTGTGGAAGATACCCGTGTTCTTACTGCTGAGCATGCACACAGCGCTATGCACATCAATCCTACCAGCTTCCGTCCTACTGTGGATGAAGATGAGAACGAGAGTGGTCTCAAGTCCCCCGCTACCAAGAAGGCTCCTGGCATTTGCTAAGTTAGATTGCTGCAGTAAAGAACCACTATTTATACATGTTAACCTTTGTTGCTCTCATGAGGGGGATTCAACAAAGAACCAAAAAGATTATCTTTGTATCAAAACGACTCTGTTTATGTACCCTTCAAAAAAGAACAAAGATAATATATCAGAATAGAAGGAAAGAAATACTATATACAATTTTATGCTTTTGTATGCGTGGGCTGGATTTAGTAATAACAGGATGCTGTATAACACAACAATAGTGCCATCCTCTACTCCCTTCATCCCCTTTCTTCGCGTTTTCGCTTTGCTTCTTCCATTGTAGAGTGTTGTCCATCATTCGATCGCTTTGCAGGTAGCACTAACAAGGCTTGCTGGTCTTTGGGTTGGGGCATGGGTAATCCCTTCTGTCGACTGCATTCACGACAATACCAAGGGTCCAGCTCTGTCTCGAATTGTGCAATAGTCGGATCTTCACACAGTTGATGGACGCCCAAGTTACAGTGGTCGCAATAAAACATGTTGTTTACATCCTCAATGATCTCGTCAATGCCACATACTTTGCAGACCTTGTCGTCGTCAGGATTTTCATACATGTAGTGTTGATCATCCTCGTCGAGGATGTAGTCGGCCAAAGTAATGCCGCTTTCTTCTTCTGCAGCAGCAGCACTAGCTGCTGCTGCGTTGCATGCCTTGGTATTTGACGTCGTTTGTCCTGCTACTGAAGTTGGTGCTGTGTTTGAGGATGCGGATCCTTCAATTGTGCTGTGAAAGGTTTCAGCTACCATGGTGCGGTTACAGTAAAATAGATAGACCGGGCGGAACTCTCTTGGATGTGCGCTTGGTTGTACCGTTTTTCCATCTTCATCCACAGTTGCTTCCCCATGAATATCTGCCAATGCTTGATCTGAAGTGATCTACATTGTGTAAAGACAGAGGTAAGCCAGTTAATTAATCGCTGGATGTTTTTGGTTTTGTTCGTTTGTTATATCGAGACATTCAATAAAGAGCTTTTTTTCTTGGGTTACCTTGGTTTCGTTTCTATCGGCATTAAGCTCGGAGAGTATTCTCCATAATTTACCGTTCTCACTTGAAATGTAATCGCGTAAATAAAGCTCCCACTCGGGCTGTCGTTGATCGTAGTTGCTGCGATGCATGAGTGCACCCATCAAAATATAGTCAGAGGAGGCTTGCAGGGTATACTCTTGCTGCTTTGACACTGCTTCATAGTCGTGCTTAAATCGATCCAGTCTTGATTGTACCAGCTGACCCAATGTTTGCATCGACGACGACGACGACGATCCTTCAGATCCATCATGTTGGGGTACACCGTTTAGGTATCCCATTGTAGCGTTCAGGATTGAATCGATACGGACTGTGCTTCCCTAGCGTAACTGCAACGTTCATTATCGTCACATGAATTTCATTATAAAAGAAGAAAAAAATAAAAAGAAGAAGAAAGCCTCCCCTCTAATGGGCTTACCTGGTATGGATAAAAGAATCGTTCGTCGCGGGCCATGGCTACTTCATGGCCATATTTGATGTGCACTGCACCTTTCCGTGCCTGACAACATTATTTTTAACCTTATTTACAGAAAGAGCATTTTTATTTTACTACTACTACTTACTTCTTCGGTCATGATCTGGATATGCAAGCTTATCGGCTCGCTCTGGTCCCTGAAATAACGCAGGTCCAACCGATGCCAATCACTGGTTTGAAATGTAGTCAAATCCTTCCACCACCAATGATCAACATTATCTGTGGTCACTCTGGCTTGCTGCAAGCAAAATTCAAAAAAGCCATTCAAATCCGATGTGGTTCCAAAACGTTGTAATCCGGCGAGGAGGATCGCAATAAGATTAAATCGTGCATCGCTGACGAGTTTTTGAGGAAGTATATACAGTTGGACCAAGATGCGAGCTAAAAGAACGCGTGGAATGCTGTCCACGTAAAGTCCTTCCATGCGGCGGGAAAGAATTACCAGAGACGCGTTGTTGTTGTTTTCTGTTGTTGCTGTTGTGGTGGTGGTGGGGGTGCTGTTAAGAGATTGCAGAAAGAAAGACAATAAATCAAAAATCTGCTGCCTACAGCGGAGAAACGTGCATTATTTGCCAACGCAATGCGAGTTCATAATCAGGGCTACACATTTGGCATATCCCCCTTCTTTTCCGTATTTACGCTAACAGCATTGTTAATCCGAGTTTACGGATGTTACTGTTCCGACACAATCCACTTCAAAAGTTATCTCTAGTGACTTTTTCAAGTTTTTGATCTTTTATTTGACATATCATTGACTTTGTTGAGATACAGTTGTAGTTTGCGGTGAAGATGTTGATGACGCAGTAGCATTGTTATTATTGCTTAATTCAGAGCGGAAGGATTCTCGCCGCCGAGGATGGTATTGAGGGACGTCACGGACAGGAGGAGTCGTTGTTACTGGAGAAGAAGGTCGACTGTTGTTGCTGCTGCCGGTGGTACTAGTAGTATTTGCCATAGGAAAGTTTCGTCTGTTCAACAGCATGCCTTTGAAGCTTCTGATTTCGCTCTTGAACGATTGTACTGCAGGACTGTCGTTCGAGTGATTCGTTCGTCCTGGGGTGTATCCATACGAGCTGAACTGGGACGCATATGCCGAGTACATGTAGTCAGGATGGGTGATGGCATCCTTTAGTTCGGTCACCTTGTTGCGGAATCCAGTGTATGTTTCATTGTCGCTTAATACTTTGACACGTTCCTCGGCAAGATTTACCACGTTCGCTACCCGTTCGCTCAGCGTCTGATGTTTTTCTACAAGCTGCTTATTGCCTTGGACCGGTTTGACATCAGCAATTGTCTTGCTTAGTCTAGAGAGAAGCGCCGCCCGTTGGTTATAACGATCGCTTTGGTATCTTGCTATTGAGTCGAATATCGGCCCAATGAATCGCTAGATTGGTAGTGACACATGCATCTGAATGATTAAATTGTTCCTAACACTCATTTGCTTTAAAAAATATATCCCTCTCTAATTACCTTGATGATACGCAGTATACCAGCAGTGATACCAACTAATCCAAAACCTGCAAGTAATGCAATTCCAAGCACCTGTTGTATCGGCATGACAGGTGGAGGAGCAGGTTGATAATAGACAACTTGAGGCGGTCGTGGTGGGACGGCAGGTCGGCTTACGACTGGAGGTCCTGCTTGTTGTAAAGCCATAGCCTATTTATCCCCATCCCGTTTAGTTTTTTACCTTTTCCATTTGTTATGGGGGAAAGGAGAAATCTTGGGAGGCGGAACTAACCTGTGCCGGTGCGCTTGCCGTAGCTGTTACAGCTGCTCCATTCTCTCCAACCCGTTTAAATGATTCCGTGATTTCGTCCGCTGTAAGGCCTTTTTGGCGAAGAAATGCGACCTTTTTGGCATTGTCTGCGGATCGGACATTAGGAGACGACAAGAACGAGACGGCTGACTTGATCATGTCTTCACGGAGTGGTTGTGAGGGGGTGGTGGTCGCTGGTGCTGGTGCTGGTGCTTGCTGTTTGGCAGGAGCAGTACTACTGATTGTACTTGAATTGGTTAATGTTGGAGATTGCGTAGTTGTTGGTGATGTTCCTGCCTCATTGGTGCTTGGCTGTTGATTGCCGGGTGGTGGCAAAGAGGTGGTGCTTTCGCTGTTGTTGTTATTGTCGTTAGTCATGAAGAACACTCCTCCACTTTGCACAGGATTTCGTACTTTTTTGATGGGTGGGGAAAGAGGGAGGGTTTTAAAAAATCAAAAACTCGGGTAACACAATTTTTCTTGGGCAGTATCTCGGTCAAATAAGCATTGAGTATACTTACTGCGTCTTACAGCGTGCATTTTGTTATTATGGCAATTACACTGCTGACAGCTGCCGAGACGGAGGCCCCCCCACCCCATTAAGTTTATTATATTCGATATTCTATAAACCCTAATATGTACGGATCAAGCCAAGCTTATTTAAATCTTTCATGTAGCAGCATCTTCCGAAAAAGTTGCCCGCCTCTATTGTTTTTCCGTCCTTACTAATGCAGATCAGCAACCTACTTTGTGCATTCCTGGTCGCTGAGATACATTCGCTTTGGTGCACCCTCGATTGTTCAAAGGTATTTTGTCTCGGTATGGGGTCCCTTTACTTTCAAATTGGTCGTCCGCTCGGACATATACTTTGTATATTTATCAGCGCTAACCGGGATCGATGATAGAAGAATGGATTTAAACACATCAAACGTAAGTTATAATACATGAAGAGTATGCATTCGCCTTCCAAAAGTTTATTATTCATATATCAATGGTCAAGCCCTATTGACATTCTTGTTGTTGTTTCTTGTCACCAGCAGAAGATTCAGTGATTTCTAAGTTCTCTTCTTGCATTCCTTCCACCTTCACTTCTTCCTTCACTTCATCCTTCACTTCATCCTTTGCTTCTTCCTTTGCTTCTTCCTTTGCTTCCTCCTTCACTTCTTCCTTTGCTTCTTCCTTTGCTTCTTCCTTCACTTCTTCTTTGTCTTCTCCGTTTTCTGGTTTGCCCTTTTCTTGCTCCTTCTTTTCCATATTTCGGATCATTTCCTCAGCAGCTTGTGCTTCTTCTTCTTGTAAATCCTTCAGGTATTCACCACGTACAAATTCAACCATCAATTCACAGTGGTCCGTGTGAGGGAAAAGATCGATGGAGATGGCGCGTGATGGGCGGAAAGGTTCGCCTGGTGCTCTGTTTGACGAAGGCTTGCATAATCTTTTAAAGAAAAGTCAGTTTCTGTTTTTTTTCTCCCTAGATCTCTTCGAGTAGTATGGACGTATTGCTTACGCGAAAAAGTTTAATAGAGCTTGCTTTGAATCACAGCTGATGTAGATAATTCGGTCGACCTTTGATCCTCGAAGTGTATAGATGACAGAGTTGTGCACGCCATTTCTATTTTCCAATTTGTACATATCAGAACAATTTAGTGACATGAGTATAAATGATGATGAAAGCAAAGACTGTCATTTACCTTGGTGGATCAAGTACAGCTACCACATCTTCATTGATTTGGCTGCCAATGACATCCATTCGTTCTTCTACCTTGTTCGCGTAGTACGTGACGTTGTCGATATCTACACACAAAGTAGCAAAGAATAAGTTTTCTCGTCTGTATCAATTCATCCTCTTTGCTAGTTACCACAAACATTGCTCCAGTATGTGTATATTGTACACACACAAAGCACTGAGTAACACACCAATACATAAAAGGCAACTTACTGTTAATGGAAGCATTAAGCTTCGCGTCCTCAATGGCTTCAGGTACCATCTCGATACCAATCACGCGATCTACGGATTTGGCCATCGTAATACCGATCGTGCCTGTACCACAGCACAAGTCCAAAAGTGTCGTCTTTTTATCCTTGTTGATTCGACACCACTCTGCACACTTTGAATACAAAACTTCTGCAGCTGGCGTATTGACCTGGAAAAAGGCGCTTGCCGAGATCCGGAATCTATTATCTCTCTTTTAATAACGAGCTGCTCCTTTCATCCAGTCTTGAAGTAATAAAAAAGCGACAGAAAGGGTTGCTTACTTGCAGCCGAGCAGTTCTTCGTGGACGATGCCGTCGCCAGTAAGTACTTCGATAGGGGCACGATCTGTAATACCGTTCGAATCACCATTCCATGCTTGGAACAATAATGTCGTGACGGTCAATTGTTCACCTTCGGGCTTGTCTTGGAAGCTGTTCCAGTATTCAATCAACTTTTTCTTTTCATTGTCCACTTGTTCTTCGGTCAAATCAGCAGTTTTCACTTGAATCAAAATCATGTCTATACAACATATCACCCAAAAAAAAAGAACGTTTCGAATTAGTTACAACACTGCTTACTGATATCACCCACTCTTTATCCTTCCAACTTACTTTCACCGCTACGCTGTGTCTTGGTCATCAATGTTCTCCATACGCCGATCTTTTCAGTTCGATCATACACTGGGTATTCAGAGTTGCGAATGTAATCCTATATGATCATTCATAAATCAGTATATGATTCAATGTAAGAATTGTATGCACTACCAATATCACTCGATCAAAATCGAGATCTTTCTCTTACCTGCATAGAAGAAGCAATACGCTTGGCAATCTCGGGCACATTCAAGCAGTCCTTTGGGTCCAAAACCGCCGTGATACCCAACTTGTACAGGCCGAGCAAAAATCCGACTGTTGGCTTGCCATCCAAATCTTTCCCAATAGTGAACTCACACTTTGTGCGGTATCCGTTGACTTCGGGTGATCCAATAGGATCATACATTTTGCAGGGCATCCTGGATCGACGGTGCACTGGTCTGCGCAATCATGGTACATTAGATATCCTACATTCGCTCTCCCTCTCTTAATCTCCCCTTGTTCTCCAGTGTACTTACTTTGCAGTAGCCCATTGCATTTGCTCAATAGCTTTTGGAGTAAGATCTTGTTTTGCAATATTCTGCAATTGGCTCTTGAGTTTGCCCATGGCAGTGACGCCCTTGTTGTTCTTTCGCTTCAGCTGTTCTTCATATGGTACTCTGCGTATACATTACGGTTTTATAAGATAAGCGGGAGACGACCCTATTGTTAACGGGTTTGATAACCACTTACTTGTGGAGTGGGGTGACTTGATCTGCCAGTTTTTCTGCGGGTGTACGGGTGTCATTTTCGGCCTCTTTTTCCTTTTGCACCTTACCGCCCCTCATTCTATGATTCTTTTCCATTCGCTTGGTATAATCGCCTTTGAGTTCCCGAATATGAGACGCCTTGAGTTCCTTGCCCTTGAACTTTGCGTTCTCTAACTTTTTCATCATATCGAGCGCTTCCTCTTCCGACTATAGTTGGTATGTGAGAGAAAAAGAAAAAAGGCATAAGCAACTGGTTGGTTCTATCAAACTCGATATATTCTCATATATTTTTGTTTACCGATGCATTTATAATGCCGTAATCCCACTTGGGATTTTTGCTCATCGAATTGCAGCCCAACTCCAAAAGATACTTTTTGACTTTTTTCCAGTCTTTCTTGTTAAAGTTGGTGACCTTGATGCGATGCACGGTGGTGACATTTCCGTCTTCGCTACGAATTCGTTTCTGATCAGGCTCGTTGACTTGGTCATCTTTACTATCTTGCTGCTGATCTTGAACGTCGTCTTTGTCGTCGTCACGGGCACGCTTGCCGGACCATAAAGAACCAATGAATGATTTCGCGTACTGGAACATTTTCTTCTTTTTGTGTTCGTGCAAAAAATAAAGGTAAAAAAAAGCGCTGAGTTGTAACCTTTTTTTTTTTAATGTGGAGACTCGGTGGCTGGATTACTTCTTATGCTTTATGCGATCTTATTTTGCAATGATTGGTTCACTCCTGAAGAACGAGAACGGCATCATATTTCCATGATTTGTTTGTTTCTTGATATACGCTCCTCTCGGCACACTATACACTTTGGTGTATATAAGTTATTCGCATCGTTTCTCCCATATGTCTGATAATAGTATTTGGTCATCATGATTTGACAAGCGCAATTCCTGAAAGCGCCCTGATTCTAATACACAAATAAGGTAAACAGTATATACCAGCTATTGGACGTACATGTAATTATATGGCTGGACTGAAGTGTCTTTCTCCATTCAATGGGGTGGAGGAAAGTAGCAGATACTCGTAGCTTACTATGCATTGAGCTGCTGTTGATGGTGCGCACTTGTTTTCCCCCAGTAAATAATAATCACAGCGATTAATACGTTCCACAAGTGCGGTAAATGCAATCCTGCAGCTCTCTTCCGCAAACACTTGTAAAAAATGACGTTCGAGCCACATAAGAAACAATCTAGGATGACTGCATTTTTTCATAAACAACCAGGTGAACAAGGTGAGGCAGCCATAAACGATACACAACCAGCGTCACGAACACAAGTCAGACAAGAATATCAAGCCGTATTGGCAAGGATCGAATCAGCTAGTCAAGACGATCCATGGAATGTCGAAGAACCCCTTGACAACAAGAAGCAATCGTGCGAACGACACGGCGATTTATCGAAACTTGTTTCTAGGACGGGTGGTCCAACAATTCAACCACGCATTATAAAAATGAACAAGAGGAACAATCTTGATTCGGCCATTGTGAAAATGAAGGAAAAGGTAAAAAGATGGATCTTGATGGGAGGCAAGGGGGGCGGTATAGAGCTCCAACCTTCTAAGCTGTTTTGCTTTACGTATTAGTGTTCCTTGGAACAACAGAAGAAACAGCTACAAAACGTAGTGGTGGCTGCTGCTACTAAGGTGAACAATGGCATAACTGAGCCTCGCATCAAGGTAGCCACGATACGGAGCGATACGAGTGTGTCAGCGAAAGAGTTTGAAAAACGATTGATGGAACGGATAAAAGCGAAGAGCAGGAGTAGTAAAAAGTAGTATACTTTTCTCCTTAAGATGATGTATGTGTACATAGTGTATATAATAATATTATTATTAGTAAACAAAGAAAGGATACACAATGTTTGCTTGCTGGACTATTTACTACTACTTTTCAGAGCCAAACCGTGAAAACGTCCCTGCCTTGATCAGATGCGACCACCGTTTGCGATATTGTCGAGACGCGTAGAGTCGGATAAAATGTTCGGCCCGCGCGCTTGCACAGACATCCAAATCGTCCGCGTTATAGTGATGGGCCGGTGACGAGTCAACCGTGTCGGTTCCAGGAGGTTGGAAGGACAAAGAACCTGATGTTTCAATGTCTTCCATCGTCGGTTGTCGTTCCAGGTCGTAGACCAGGTCCGTGAGTGAGCGTACTTTGCGTGCTGACAAGGGTGTGTTGCCCCTTGGAAGTGACTCTGCACTGATCATCGCTTGGATTTGGACCACGGCGTCACGGTCGTCCTTCACACACACAGAGAGAGAGAGAGAGACAGCAGCAGGACAATATACATATTAGGACAACCCGAAAACAATACCCATTTCTCTTGTCTCGTCTACATCCCACCTACAGTGTGTTTCCCTTATTCATACCTGCTCTCGTGATGGTCTAAAGTCATGCATACTCTTCTTTTTCCGCAAGTTGGTGATATCACCCGATACTTTAAGACCGTGTTGGCTTTTTTTCCTTCGAATGACGTTGTGGTTGTTGTTGCTATTACTTGAATCGTCGATTTGAAGATCGAGATCGGTAGATACTGTTGTCGCTGCTGTGGTGATGGTGGAAGTAGCAGCAGCTATCGGCGCTGCACTAGTGTGGTGGTACTGCAGGTCTTCAGGCATCGCAATTTCAACGGTCCACAGCTGCTCTACTGTGCCTGGACGAATCATGTCGACTTCTTTTGCTAAAACCGGATGCATGTGATCCTGCGGCGGCGTATGATTATTATTATTACTGCTGCTCGTAAAATGTGGAAGGAATGTTGAGAATTTGTTGGTTGGTGAATTCGTGTTGGATGTACTCGTGTTGGCTGTACTGCATTGTGGTGGTGATGAAATAGTGCTGCTGCTCGGTACGCTTGTGCTGCTGTTGCTTAGAGGCGACACATCTGTTGTTGCCAATGGCAACATGGAAGGTGGTGCTATGCTCGGAGGTAGCGGAGGCGATGGTCGAAAAAGCATGTTGTTGTTATTGGGAATGTCGTTTGTTCTCGGTGAACAGCAGAGATAATGTACTTGGCGCAGCGCAATGATATCTCCATGCAGAATAGGCTTTCGTCTGCCAATTTCAATGTCCACATTGCGGCCCATGTCCGTTGATATAATGTCATCATGCTCAAGTCCCAACCCTTGCAATTCGATGGTCCATTGATGCTGCAAGGTCTCGTCGTCGTCCGACACATCCACCAACTCTAATCCACGCAAGCGCTCCTGAAACTTGTGAGACAGTGGCGAATTAGGTACACCAACACGGGTAAGCGCCATCTGGTCTGATTGTTGTTGTGTTACGGCGGAAGGTGATCTGTGCATCTCTGTTGTTGGCGCTGCTGTTGTTGTTATGGGGTACAGGTACACTCGACTGCAACACCGGATATAGGCTGGTTCATATACCGCTTCCACAATATGTTGTCGTTCCCGTCGTCGTCGTTTGGGCGAGTTCAAGGCTGACCATTCGAGTCGCCAAAGATAGTTACTGTGTGATGGCTGCATAGCATGGACGGGTAAGGTTGCAAAACGTATAGTCGCGCCAGACGACGACTTGTTGTTGTTGTTGTTGCCCCTTTGAGATTGTTGCCGCCACCCGAGATACCCGGATGTGCACAGGCTGCGTAGCTTGATCGGGCGGTGCACAGGTATGCGGTGGACAAATACGCTGATCAAATCCACAATCACATCACGTTGTTGTTTCCGAAGGAATTCATGGAGTGGACGTATGTCACTTCGCTTAATGATATCCCATGCTGCTTGTTGACGATGACCTTCTGGCTATTGCTGCTTAGCGTATAAAATATATGTGGTGTCTTTTTGTGTGTGTGTGTGTGTGTGTGTGTGTGTGCCTACTGCTAGGGATACACGCATTTTCCTAGTTCACCTTACCTGAATGATAATTGGAAGAAGATATTTCTGCTTGCATCTGTGCAGTGGCCTCATCACTTGCATGGGCTTGTCGAAGATGCTGTATATGAGCACCTTCCTCTGCTGTCGTGACTTTATAAACTTGTTTCACGTGCCGCCTATGCCCTTGAAAAACATAACAACATCAAGAGCAGAGAAGCTTAGCCCAAAAATGAACAGCTAACAACATTAGCAGCTCTGTAACCTACCGAGCATGATCTTCTGAGGCCACAGGAAACCATACACTGTCCATACTTTACACAGCCCTTGCCATGCTTTTGCTGGTTCATTCGGCCAGTACTGTAGAGCGTCATCCAATGCGTCCTGGACCTTTTTTGTCGGTTGTAAAATATCGTCGACACGAAACCAAGCAACAGTTTCGAAATTCAACATATGCAACGTTTTCCTGTGCGGTTTCTCGAGTCGGTGAAATATGAGCTGGCAATCCGATAATGCTCGAAGGGTTGAATCGTCGGTTAGATTGTACACGGCGCCCGAGTGGACAAGGTTGAAAGTCCAGTCGCTTTGGGTAACTAGGACGGGTTGTACTGTTGCTTGGTCAAGCACGTAGAGTTTGATGATAGGCATTTCCTGAAGCACGAAGCACGGGTCGGTCGCTATGTCGCCGGAGGGAAGAATGCCATGGCGCCAGTTGATCTGCGATAGAATCTTTTCGTTCAACTCTCTGTCTATCGCCTGACTATCCATATGCGTCGTGAAGGGTGAAAGGGAAGAAAGAGAGAAAACGGAAAACAGGGTTGTGCACAGATGAAAAATAAAATGTTTTCTGTGGCGTTCAGACGGTCACCTGAAGCAAAATTCCTGTGTTACGAGTAAAGAACGAAAAATGGAAAGTTTGTTTTAATATTATTATTTACAACTGTAACAAATAAATCAAAGCTGTGGGGGGATGGTAATACAATCTATGAACAACAAAAGTCATGAATGCAAAGAGGGGAATATATGTGATGAGCTTTTTAAAGAAGCCGCTATGGTGATGATGCTGTTGTTGTTGTTGCTGGTAGTGATGATGATGATGCTGATGCAGGGAAGACGTGTCGTACGGAAAGGGAGGTAATAGTGGATAAGATTTTAAAGTTTTTTCTATGCCCAAACATCTTCTTGATATCTGCCAGCATCTCTAAGGTTGCTGATATAATCGGCTGCAGCAGTATCGTCAAGGCCACCGTATTGCTTTGCGAAACCCGTGATAGCTGCCTGCACATCCTTGGCCATCCGCTTAGCTTCACCACAGACATAAACATAAGCACCCTGGTTGGCAATGAGATCCCAAGTCTCTTGGCCGTTTTCACAGAGCTTGTCTTGAACATAGACCTTGCGATCGGTCTCTCGAGAGAATGCAGTGACCAATCGAGAAGAGCCACCCAATTCATTGAAAAGGGCGGGCCACTCGTCCTTGTACAGAAAGTCTTCGTCTTGTCGTCGGCAGCCAAAGTAGAGGATGGTCGGGCCAATGGATTTGGCCTGATTCTTTTTACGATATGCACGTTCACGGACAAACCCACGGAAGGGAGCAACACCAGTACCAGGTCCAACCATGATGACGGGCTTTGTATCGTCGACAGGCAACTTGAAATTGGATTGGCGGATATGGACAGGCAGCTTGGCAGCTTTGAGCTTTTCATCAAAATAGCTACCGTTGGGACCTTGGACAAAATACTCTGTTTCGACCTGGATAGCCTCGTCATCGTCATGGAGAGACTTGTGGACAGCCCAGAGATAGTTGGTGTTTACGCCATACACAGTACGCTCGGGAGTGGGGTCGGGTCTGTACTTGAGAGTGACGGCGGTAACGCTGACCGAGCTGGGGCTTTCGCTGGAGGAGGATGAGATGGAGTAGTATCGAGGCTGCAGACGGCTAAAGCATTCCACCAAAACATCACCCGGAACGCGGAATGCTGAGCCCGTTGACGCATAATGCAGCACCTCGGCCAAATTGCGAGCCGAATCACTGACAACACGTCGATGCTCCTCCTTGTCGCTTGCCAACTTGTTCATAGTGTCAGCTGCTTCTGGTGTAGGTGCGTAGGGAGCAACCATCTTTAGCACGTCTCTTGATGGCATTTGGCAGATATCCAAGTAGTGGCGGAACATGGCACGATAGGTGGTTGGCTGAGGGAAAGGCGACTTCTTGGCAGATGACTCGTCCGCAGCAGTGACGCAAATAATCGTGTCGAGCTTGTCTTCTAAATCAAAGGCGCGAGCCAGTCGGAAAACCTCGTCTTCGCTGTTCGTTGGCCAGATCGCAATATGGTCGCCCGTGTTGTATTTTATATCCGTGCCGCTAATATTGACCTCGAGATGCAAACAGTGACGGTCCGACCCATTCAACAAATCGCGCGAAGTAATGGGTGCAGGGTATGGCTTCTTGGCACCCCATGCTATCTGCGACAGATCGCCCAACTCACCACAATACACGTGGCTGCTGCCATTGTTCGTCTGGTCCAATTCAACAACCTTGTACGTAGTCTCAGGCATAGCATTGCTGTCCTGGCTTGCAGCATCAGCCTGAATGGCTTCGCCAAACAGAGGCCACAACTGCTCTTCTTGCCAAGCTTCAAAATCGTCCTCTAAAGACTTTTCATCGTCACCCAAGCCAAGCTCGCCAATACGGGTGGCACCAAATTCAGTAAGCTTCGTGTCGACGGTCTTGGAAACCCAATTATAGTATGTATACGAGCTGTTTCCGAGTCCGAAAATGAAGTAGCGGAGGTTGTTGAGATCTTCGCCATGTGAGAACTGAGGGCTGTCGCTGTCGAGGAATTCCCAAAACATTTGAGCATTGTCTGTGGGTTCGCCTTCACCATAGGTGGCCATGACAAAGATTGCGATGCTGTCCTCGGGGATCTGATCCAGGTATTCCATGCCACATTGTTCGATATCGAGTACCAAGGCAGGGACATTGAACCGCTTCTTGCATTGCTTGGCAAGACGTTCTGCACAGTCTTCTGCAGTACCTGTTTGTGAACCGTAGAAGATGACTACTTTACGATCCTAGACAAGAAGTTAAAAGAAGGCTGTCAGCTACTTTATAATAAGGGGTGGGGACAATACCTAGCTGGACAGGCACAAGAAGATTAACAGCTGATGATTTTTACCTGTTTCTTCATGGTTTTTGCAAAATTGGATGGATTTTCTTCGGTGATCTGTTGGGCCTTGCTTTGGGGAACGTCAGGAGTATGTTTCGAGGAAGCGTTGCTACTGCTGCCAAAGAAGAATTGGCTGGCCAGGTAAGCGACGGCACCAAGGCCCAAAGCGCTCACAAGTAGCACGACTTGTTTGTTGAGTTGGATTTGTTTTGACATAAAGGAAAGTATAAGGTGTAGAGAAAAAAGAGAGTGGATCAATAAATTGGCCCGCGTGCTACCGCTGCCTCTTATATACCTCTTTTTAATTTTTTTGTTCTATCAAGGAAATCGAAAATAGCAAACGTTCGTGTGGAACGGGGTGAGTTGCGCCGAACCAATCTTTTTGCTCGGTTATATATTTGAGCCGTGCTCTCTCCCCTCGCTAAATTGATCCGTGCCAGTAAATTTGTACCTGACGCTTGCTCTATCGGGCGCCGGGCTTTCCAAAGTTGTTCGAACCTCACCTCCGCTTCCTCCGCATGAATCATATTTCGCGGGCAGTGGTTCCGGATAAATCTTACTGCATTATTTTCAGGAAGCATCGATTCTTTTTTCTTTTCGAAATGTGTAGGAAAAGTAAGCCAAACTTTGAGGCAATAACCCTAAGAGGTGGCTTTTCTTGCGTTTCTTTGCAGACAAACCATCGCTATCCAAAAATATGGTTCCAGTAAATCAATAAGATATTGTTCAATCACATTGCATAACCATTTATTCGAACATTTCTGCACTCGTTCATGAATACTTGTCTCTTAATACTCGTAGAAAAGATCCAAGTACGGAATAAAGATAAGCTTCATCCACTGAGCCAAAAATGCAATGACATTATCTATCCAAGACACATGCTTTCTCTCATAAGGTGGAGGCGGCGGTGGGACAATATCGGTGATCTTGAAAGGATGTGCTTCCGTATTTAGCACCCATTTCTGCAACGAAAGACGTTCTTCCTCCCATGGCTCATCAAACATGAGATAAAGGTATTTGAGAGTCTCTGCGAAAAAGAAGCTATTTGGGAAAGCATAATTGCCAATGGCCATACATCAAAGTGAGTAACATATAATATCACTTTTTTTCGTATCACAAAAGATGGCAGTTTTTTTTTACCTTTCCTGGCGATCATCCCAGCTAGGATAATATGTATCCACATTACTGATCCCCGAGAACCCGGAATTGGCTCGGCAATATGTGTGAATTGAATTAAAGATATCCCAAGCCATATCTTGGTATCGACGATCCTTCGTAAACCGATAAAAGTAGAAAATTGACTCGAGCGTTTCTGCCAGGTTTTAATAAAGATTAAAAGCGTTTTGAGCAATTCATTTGTCTAATAGACGGTTCATTATTACAAACACATACCTGGTCGAAGAATATAGCTAGCAGCGACTGGGAATACCCCATGTTCCTTGGCAAGATGTTTGCGACGGCCGGTCAAATTGCCTACAACGGTGTTTCCACCTTCGTCCATATATCCAAATACTTCAGGTGCAATTCCCGTCTTTGTCGAAACCCAAGCATTGTAACATCCATGCATCAGGTCAAAGGCAAGATCCTCGGTATCGGCCAGCTCTGGTATTGTTCGTGCCGCCAACAATAAATTACCTGGTGCAAAGCATGCCTGTATGTAATGACATTGCATCTGTATCAGTATCGTCCACATATTTACTATAAAAATGTAAAAGTACATGCAAACATTACCAATTCATCCATCTTTGGAGTTTGTGCCTCGCCGTTCAAATCTGCAAGAAGCGCCAGCTCAGGATGATCTTTTGGTCTTGCTATCAAATACTTTTCCAAGCTACGAACCGCTTGGATGACCATTTCCTTTTTTGCAGCGTCCTTGCCGCCAGACATGACATATTGCTTAATCAAGTACTATATATCGTTTATCATTTTTTAGTCTGTCTGAAGTGTAGGTAGAATTAATTTGCTACCAAACTACGTACCTCATAAAAGCTATCTGCCATTCCGCCCCAGGTTATGTAATCTGATTTTTGTTGTCGTATACATGAGTTTCCAAGAATATGCATATATCAGATGGCTAAATAGAGTTCATAATACCTCCCACGGCATCACCGGTGTCAGGGTTGATCAGATGAGGAAACAACCCCGGCTGGTCTGTTTTAAGCTGAATGAACGACTGATACACCCGTTGTCCCTGTCGACGGTTTCCAAGATCACAGCAGATGTGAGTATCAATAAGAGAATCAATCTTGAGCTATACCCATCCAATTATATACGATACGATACATACAACATGGTGATATGTCCAATCCCCGGTGATTTCAGATAACCGGGTAAATTCCAGTTGGACAGTGCCCAGTTCGGCAAGGCATGACGCACCGTCTGGGAAACCAGACTTCACTGCTTTACCACTATTGTGTAACCATGTTGATTAGCCACGAGCTATGTCATACGATCTTCCAAACGATTCTCATCAAAATTTTCAAAATAATGTTTCTGGTTCACACTTGCGATCTAAAGTTTACATATTGGTAGGGGATACCGGTGGGTGTGTCGAATGCTGGAAGAAGTCGATCCACGAGTTGAACTGTTTTTTCGACAAATATCTCATCGCCTGACAGATCATAAGCTGACAATAGGCCGCCAACGTATCGGATCGTCGTCTCAAACACCTGCACCAAACTGCTACCGTGTGTTTCATCCCAGTCAATGTTGGCTACATAGTCTCGCGCTTCGTTGAATTCGCCATAAAGTTCCATCAGGTATAGTGTGTCTAGTCCGTCGACAAGCGAGGCTGTTATGTCAAGTAATTGGATCAGTGATATGTTGTAATTAAACCTGACGTAATTGTTACTTATTATAAGAGGGTACTAGTGCTTCCTTACCACCCCATCCATTTCTTAGATAAGTGATATTGTCTTTTTGTCAGTAATAGGGTCACAAAAAAAAGAAGACGTTGAATAACATGAATCAGCCCTAACGTACCTTGTGTTCACTGGACGATTCGTAACGGGACGATTCTCATCAGAGCCCCAGCTAAACGTCCGGTAACCGTCCCATGCAAACAAAAATGCATCTTTGATGTACCGTTGCTTCTCGCTCGGCGTTAACTGATGTGCATCCGGAAGACGTTCGTGTACCCGGCTCGGGTAGTATGCTACGGGAGCGATCTCTTCGTCTACAATAGGCGTGGGTCGAGGAACATATGGATCGTAGTATTGAACTGCTGGTGTTGGCTGATAATGATCGTCATACGCATAGGCGGGTTCTTGATGTTGTATAGCAGCGTCGGCTGCAAGTGTGGCACTAGCAGTCAGCCATATTAATATGGACGAACGGCTTCCTAGCAGCATCATATTTTAAGGAGAAAAGAAAATAAGAATAAAAGAGGTCTGCTACTGGCAATATAAAAAAAAAAGAGCCGAAATGTTTGCATTAACCCTCGTGACCTCCAAATAAGTTCGAATTGATATTTGGCATGTTACTCCTCGCGTCCTACCTACCTCTTTCCTTCCGGGGATAAAAAAAAAAGACAAACTGTGGTTAGCCCCAATTGCAAGAGTAATTTTGGCTTTCGACTGCGAGCATCACCATTCTTACCATTCAATTTCAACGAGCGTTCTACTACGTAGGGACGACCTTGGTAAAATTGTCACCGTTACAGTTAATTTTTGGCATATATGTTATACTAGTGATCTGCGGCTAATTTTTGTGTTTGCACTGCATTGTTTATCATACTTTTAACATCATGTCCTTTTTTTATATTGTTTTCCAAGGTGAATGCTTCCCGATAGCTTTGAATTTCTAGGCAAGTAATAGAGCAGTGTCCTATCTTTGTTAATATAGACTTTATGGGAGTGAATCAAATGCTATATTTTGTTTCTGAAAACCTGTAAGGTCACTGAGCAATCGCTTTGAAAGCTTGTGATATTGTCAAAGTTTCAGGCATCCAGTTTTATGATGATGAATCTTAGGAAGCTCGAGGATTGAAAACAAAGAGCCATGGATAAATATAATATAAGTAAATTTTATATAGAAAGTAATATTTTTATTAGCTACCTACAGTATTGTCCTGCTCCCTGTCTCTTATTTGTGCTTCCTCTCACTGTGTGCCTCTTTCGTTTGAAAATGGTTTATTCATGAAATAAAAGGGCTTGCATCTTTTATCTGAAATTTTGTTGACGAAAGCTTATATAAACTGTATTCTATCTTATTTAGTGCTCTTGTTTTGACATTTTAATCTTTAAGTAAGGCCGTGGACTTCGGCAAGCTATTTGCTGTGTTACAGAAGTGATCTAACTTCCTCTCTGAGCTCTGTTCTGCGTTATCCATGATGTCTGCTGCCGATGGGTCAATGTATTGTCGCTGCAATTGACCACCCATATTTCCACACCCGTTAAATTTCAATCCTCGTAGAGATTACTAGCAAAAGTTGTTCTCGCAAGCCTCCACTCTCCCAGCCACTTTCACACAAAATATGGGAATTTACGCTCTGAATTAACAAAAATCTACTGTAATCAAAGAAATACAGGCTAGGCGTCTTTGCATACTAGGCAGGCATGGATACAGTAGGTACTTTATATGCCATAAACCGACAATCTTGTTGTTGGGCTGCTGGACAGGCTTCAGCAAAAACAAGTAGTGCATAGACAGTGTAGATGGTATAGCCCATTGTCTCATCAATGCTTCAACTGAAATGCTACTGTATGTACATAGAAGGGAACGGGTCAAATCACACAAAGGCCGTATGATAGCATACATGCTAATAAATGCTTATAATGCTTAGTGACATCCAGATACGGGCATGAATATATATCATCGGATAGGCTGGAGATAGTACCAAACTGCATGAAGCGAAATGTTAGCGAACTTGGATATATAACTAAAGCGAATGCGCCTATATCTTCTGCTTAAAGCATTTGTCCGGTAGTAAGCAAAATCAAGAAGGCCGGAGCTCAAGTTGACATATGTACATTCTCAGTGTTGTGTGTATGTAATGAAGATGATACTTTATTTGATAGATTTGGTTTGACAACAATATAAGCACATTCAACCGACTCTGGAGCATAATTCTGAGCGAAGCATCTGTACTGTTTAACTCAGTATTAATCGATCCGAGCATCCTACTTCCGGTCAAGTAACGAAAGAAGCTTCAGCGTATAGCAGTAGAATATCTGACCTCTATTTCTTTTACAATATACTGTAATAAGAATTGATCAAGTTTTTCAAATATGATATGTAATGAATAATAGCATTTTGAGCTTTACAGTAAAGCTGCTGAAGTCAAGTAAAGTTGCAAACTTCTACTAACCAGCTTTATATGATGATTTAATACTGATTTGGAACCATATTGTTAGCAGTTTCTGATTTGACTAACTTACAAATATAGCGCAGCCTCGAGCAAGTTCGCTACAGGGGGATTGGCAGAAGCTTCAAGCGAGTCGCCAAGCTGAAGCGAAGCGGAGGTGTGGCAAAGGCTCGTGCATGTATAAGTTTACATGGAGTCATGACTGGCCGAAATATAAGCCATTTAATTACATATTCATACTTTTGAAATGTGATAGCCGTTACTTTGGTAGAAGCAGATACAGTAGCCGCTCGCTAAGCCGATTACCTCGGTCATGACCCAAAAGTGATCGGCTTAGCGAATGATCGGCTTATCGAATTCGAAGCCCGATATAATGAGTGGGGTCTTCGTCTGTTAATACTATATAGTATATACACAGTAAACATTTTGATCGCTTGTTCGACTTCCGCATGTCTCAGATATATTAAGAGATGAAATACTATGATTTTATTGGTCTACATAAGCCGATATGTCACAGAGAAATGATCGGTGATCGGCTTAGCGAGCGCCTACTGTATAGCTATTGCATTTTGGGCACTGATGATACAGATAATCCGTAAAGAAAATACACACTCTCTAAGCAAACTTGGACGGTAAAGAGAGAAGTGTAATGTCGAGGGGGGATTAGTAACAGCGACAGGACCTGATAGAAAAAGCCCTGCCATGTGAGCCAAATAGAAGGGATACGGCAAAAATTCCAGCAAACTAACTACCTTAATAAACGGTTGAAAATAGTCCAATCGTATGGCAGCTCTAGACCATAATCGAAATACAATCGGCAGAATATACAAAGTACGATAATACAACAGGGGAAGTGCGAATACTTCGCTAACAATACAAGTAGACTACGAGAATCAAAAATGAATAAATAAGTATACAGAAGGTCTTCTATGCCTACGGGGTGTACTCACACGCAGGGCCTTTCCAACAAGTCCGCGAAAGAAAAGGTGTTTCTTTGTTCTTCAAAGTAACATGGATATTTATATGTGTGATACATGATGTGACAATTATTGTTAAGAGAGGGGTGTTGCTATGTTGCTATGTGTGTATATGGTTTTCAGTGTGGTTCAGTAGTCTTAGCGTCGGACTATATGGGTGCTATGTGACCTTCTTCGGCCACAGAAGGAAGAAAAGTCTTTAATTTGATTGGTTTGCGTCAAGAGAGATAAATTCACACACTTATTTAATTCTTGAAAATTTTTCTCTTTCGTCTCTCGCTTTCCTTTCGTCAGGATTTCTATTAATGTCCGAGTAATTGCACATCAGATGGCCTCGAAGGTAACGCCCCAACGAGATGTCCCTCTCACGGGTGTGCAATTGCGACTATAATTGCGTTACCAGATGGCCTCGAAGGTAACGCCCCAACGAGATGTCCCTCTCACGGGTAGCGCACTGAGCCTTCTGCGTTACCAGATGGCCTCGAAGGTAACGCCCCAACGAGATGTCCCTCTCACGGGTAGCGCACTGGGCTCAGTTTATGTATAATTTTTCCCCTTATTTGTGATCGTGTACTGAACCTTTACACTTGCGTCGGTTCCAAGCTTCAAATTATTGTTCAAGTTAAGTATATGCAGTATATTCCGCGTTCTCACTTAAACTAGCCCAACGAAACACGCATCGGCTGCGTCGGTTTTGTTAGACACACACTTTACTTAGGTTAGGATCGTCAAAACACCGATACAGGGCTGCAGACAGCATCGATAGCAAGAGTATCCAGGGGGATTGCTTCACTAGCCAGCCGTCATGGGGTTCCTTGGTTCTCCTGTTAGTTCCGGATATCCAACGTTAGGCTTAATGGTTGCGGGCGAGGACTAGCACTGGTTCATGGAACTTTGAAGTTTGGCCATGTGGACATTATATAACAGCCTTTTGCAAATACATTTTTTCTTTATTGGTTGTCCTCCCTTTGTTTTTACTTTGTAACCCGTTTTATTCCTTAACTATCATAACGAATGTACCTCTTTATAAAGAGGAACCTGTATTTAGTTTCTAGATCACATTGATCAAAATATGGATCCATATTACTGGCTTACACCTTATTCTCCCTTGATACTAAATGCACATTCAGCGCAATAAACATGAAGCACGTGTAGAAGCAAACCAAATCTGTACTATAGCGACCCAAGAGCTATATGATTCATTCAAAGAATGTTAGCTTGATACTCCACAATATATGTTTCCACTATCACCGCCATCAATACTGAACATCGTCCGCAATATGGAAGAGAGGGTTTCCATGGAATCAGTGATCATCAAGTCGGAAGTTTATTATGCACAGATAAATAACCTGTTTACAGTGCGTGTAAATGTGGCGTTAAAAATAGCCAAAGCTTTCAACATACCTTTGGGATTCATTATACAGTGTTTTCGGAAGAGGCTACACCGACTAACTTGTAAAAGAGATCGTTGAAGTAATACTAAGCAGGAAAAAACGCAAAATTGGCCGAGCTGCGTAAGGCATTTGTTTTACTGCATAGTAATGCAAAATTGACAGGAAATGATGAAAGACTAGCGTTTGACATTTTTACCTGTCCTTGTTGCTTTCATGGTCGCAGTGGAGAAGCCCTATACAGTGCATCTATGATTTTCATTGTATTTGCATGTATTAATATCTCACTGTAGCTAATGCTAGTTTGTAAACAAGAAGAGGCCGTGTAGTATTTATATTACAGGATGTGCTAGAGCAAAAGAAATATTGCATAGGTTATGTGTGACGATTATTCCATTCGGCTTTTTATTCAGTAACACGGTCGTCATACAAAAAGGTAGAAGCAGGATACAAACCTCTTAGATGCCACAGATGGGAGAAACTATTTACAGTTATGACCAACCGGATCGAAGGGTGGCTTCACAAGATCGTCTTCACATGCTAATGCGGCACTTCAATAATTGTTGCTGTGGTTATGTCTTTACTGCTGTAGTTCTGTCTTGTTGCTGTGGTTACGCTCTTATTACATGATGACCGACCAATTCAAGGAAATCAACCAAGGTAATATATACCGTCCCAAAATATTTGTCTCAAAAGATAAA